GGGGAGAGCCCAAGAGTCCAGGGCAGGACTCTTGCTCACCCTCTTGCTCACTCCTTGCTGGGCAATTGGGGCAAGTCATCACCCTCTCTGAGCCTAACTTCCTTGTCTGTAACACAATGAAGTGACTCTGAATCTCTGTCCCTCTCTATGGTAGAATGGCTCACTCTGAAGATCAAGAAATCAAGATCTTGGTATCCACTACACACACACACACACAAAACAGCAAAGCGCAGTCCAAACTTCCAGTCACAGGAAGAAAGTCCAGTCTGAAGGGCCCAATTTCTCCTTCTTAGAATCCTCATCATCTTACCTCAGTTTTCCTCTTCCTTCCTTCCTTCCTTCCTTCCTTCCTTCCTTCCTTCCTTCCTTCCTTCCTTCCTTCCTTCCTTCCTTCCTTCCTTCCTTCCTTCCTTCCTTCCTTCCTTCCTTCCTTCCTTTCTTTCTTCTGTTTGCCAGTCCTGGGGTTTGAACTCAGGGTCTGGGCATTGTCTCTGAGATTCTCTGTGCTCAAGGCTAGCACTTGAGCCACTTCTGGCTTTTTCTGTGTATGTGATGCTGAGGAATCAAACTCAGGGCTTCATGCATGCAAGGCAAGCACTCTACCACTAAGCCACATTCCCCCCACCTCAATTTTCTCTGCCTGGTTTTCCCTTCTCTTTTATAGTTAGCATCTACTTGTTTACTGTTTTGTTTATTTTTTTAGACAGTATCTCACTACAGAGCCCAGGCTAGCCTTGAATTCTCAGTCCTCTTGCCTCTGTCTCTAACGTGCTGGGATTTAATAGGTGTGCCTTTCTATGCCATTCTCTCTCTCTCTCTCTCTCTCTCTCTCTTTCTATTATGCTTTACCACTGAAGTGCACCTCCAGTCTTACTTTTTTTGTCAGTCATGGGGCTTGAACTCTGGGCCTAGGTGCTGTACCTCATCTCTTCAGGCTCAAGGCAAGTACTCTACCACTTGAGCCACAGCACTACTTCTGGTTTTCTGGTAGTTTATTGGAGATAAGAGTCTCAGAGAGTTTCCTGCCAAGGCTGGCTTTGAACTGTGATACTCAGATCTCAGCCTCCTGAGTAGCTAGGATTACAGGCGTGAGCCACCAGTGCCTGGCTAGTCTTATTTTTTTTTTTTAAAGACTCAGCTCAGGTCTCATCTCCTCCAAGAATCCTTCCTTCCTTCATCTCCTACCCACTGGCTATTTTAGATGCTCTTCTGGGCTCCTGGAATATTCAAGTCATTATGTCATTGTTGCCATTAACAGTTATGAATTGTAGCTGACATTTATTGAGCATTTACTTAGTGCCAGGAACTTTCTCAGGCTTTTTCCCAGGGCCATCCAGTTAACTCTATCAACCCCTATGAGGAAGCTGCTATCTTTATCCATCTTCCTGGTGAGATCACTGAGCTTGAGGGAAGTGGAGGATGGGTAACACGAAGCAATGAGTCCCCCCAAACTGTTTTCATCTTCTATCATACGTCACCTGCTTCTCACCTGAACTTGATGCATTTGTTTGATCTAAAGTCTCAGAGTCAGCTTGCCAGTTAAGGTCCTGCCCTGGGTCCCTATCTGTTTACAAAAATCTGTTAAGTTTCTATTTCTCTGATGGTGTATTATTTTCCCAGAGTGACATACAAATTCCCACCCCAGTTGCAACAGTCTCCTTACTCTCTTTCTCAGAATATGACTCTCTCCCCAATTCCTGGAGTCCATGTAACACCTTCATAACATCTCTTCTTGGAACTGGTCCTACCCCCAAATTCCCATAATCTACATAATGTGACCCATGTGACTGCCCCCTAAAATTCTGTTTAAATTCAGCCTACATCTGTCCATGGCCGCTGCCTCCATTCCTGCCTGGAGCATCCCGGCAGGTCTGTCCCCCAGTAAAGCCTTGAGCTTGTATTGGCCACTCTTGCTCCCTCTCATTTCTTACATCCTGGTGCCAAAACCCAGAAGGAGTGGTCTTTGTTTGGAGGATCCCCCTATAGGGGTTAATTGGCTCCCAGCCCTCCTCCCGAACCTCCTCAGAGCAAGCAACTTTTCCTCTCCTTTGCCAACCATTTCAGATTTCTGCATGCTCACAACTGGCTCTGAAGGGTGAGCACTGACCTCCTGTTTCTATGAGCCTCCCCGCCTACTTCCGGTTCATTCTTGAAGGACCAGGTACCTGGCCAGGGAACGCTCCAGTTGACTTGTTTCACTGGTGATGATTCTTTGAGGCATTGTTCTACTCTACTAAGAATTCTGTGCTCCCAGGGACACCCAGAATGTCAGAAAATTCCTCTACCGGTATCTCAATTGCCACCCTCTGCCTAAATGGGCACCCCTCAATCTAAACTGTCTCAGAACACCCCTGTGGGCTGTCTCTTGGCTAATCTCCATGAACAGGGTCTCTCAGACATTATTAAACCCAAGAGACTCATTTTCTGTTGTAATGTGGCATGGCCTCAATTCCAATTGGACAATGGGTCTCGATGGCCTGAAAATGGTGTCTTCACCTATATATGCTCACAGACCTGGATCACTTCCGTCACCCAAGTGGCAAGGCTGGAGAACTCCTTATGCTCAGGCTTTATTCTGTCCCTCTCCCTGACGCAGACCTGCCCTTCCACCCTGCGGACCACTCTTCTTCTTTCACATTCCCCACCCCACTCCACACGTTGCTCTCCTCCTCCTTCTCTACCACCTATCAATCCCCACCTTCTTCTACTCCCTCCCCCTCTTCTCTGCCTTCTCTCTCTCTACCTCACACGGGTTCCTGCACTGCCCATCAATCATCTGCTGTGGCACCGGCCCACCTCTCTCCCTTTCAGGAGCTGGCTGGCTCTGAAGGCATTGTTCATGTTCACATTCCCTTCTTCCTCTCTAGCCTGTCCCAAATAGAAGTCGCTCTTGCTTGTCTCTCATTTCTTACATCCTGGTCCTGAAACCTGGGAGGTGTGGTCTGGATTGGATGATCTCCTTATAGGGTTGATTGTTCTCTTCTCTCCTCCCCCTCCACCCCCCCCCTCCTCCTCCCAAACCTCTCACATCTTGCATTTGAAGATATTTTCCTTTTTGGGGGGTTGGTCGTGGGGCTTGTACTCTGGGCCTGGGCGCTGTCCTTCAGCTCTTCAGCTCAAGGTGAGCACTCTACCACTTGATAGTGGTTAATTAGAGATAAGCGTCTCATGGACTTTCCTTCTTGGGCTGGCTTTGAACCATGATCCTCAATCTCAGCCTTCTGAGTAGCTCGGATTATAGGTTTGAGCTACCTGCTTGAGTTGAGGATACATCATCATTATTATCATCATCATCATCATTGCCAGTTCTGGGGCTTGAACTCTGGGCTTGGGTGCTGTCTCTGAGCTTTTTTTTTTTTTTTTGCTCAAGGCTAGCACTCTATCTCTGGAGTCAGCCACAGCTCCACTTCCGGCTTTTTCAGTGACTAATTGGAGATAAGAATCTCAAGGAGGGCTGGGAAGGTGGCTCAGTGGTAGAGCGCTTGCCTTGCATCCATGAGGCCCTAGGTTCGATTCCTCAGCACCACATAAGCAAAAAGAAAGAAGCCAGAAGTGGTGCTGTGGTTCAAGTGGTAGAGTGCTAGCCTTGAGCTGAAGAGCTGAGGGACAGCGCCCAGGCCCAGAGTTCAGGCCCCACGACCGGACCCAAAAAACAAACAACAACAAAAAAAAAGAATCTCAAGGACTTTCCTCCCTGGGCTGGCTTGGAACCACGATCCTCAGATTTCAGCCTACAGAGTATTTACAGGTGTGAGCCACTGGCATCCAGCCCAAATCTCATTTGGATTCAAGTATTGATTCTTGCCCTTGGGAGTCCTGGAAGAATGTGGATGTGCCAGGGCTACTTGGTTGGTCTAGACTAGTGTCTCCTCCCACCATGCACACCACCAAAGTTTTATTCCAGGCAAGGGGCCTCTTCTTAGAGGCCTGTGCCTGTTTGCCAGCCTTTACGTCACCAAATCCTTATATGGGATTCTCACCACTAAGAGAAAGACAAGAGTAGATTTCCATGTTCCAGGTAAGGGAAACAGGGGCTTCACTGCTATCCTAGAACAAGTGGGTGGAGTCAAAAGCTTGTGTAACTCCACAGCCTTCCTTCTCTTACGAACTGGACCAAACACATGGAAATCTTGAGGACCGGGATGGTGATTCACTTTGTAGAGGGTGTGGGTCACACCCAGGTCTGGAAGGGTTGTGAAAATCTGGGCAGGGTGGCCCTGGTTCTCAGTAACTGTTTATTGACAGAGGTCAGGAGGGCAGGGATTATCATCCCTGTTTTATAGATGAGGAAGTTACAACCAGAGGAGAGAAGAAAAGTTGCCCAAGGCCATCCCTGAGTCAGAGGAAGAGCCAAGACTTGAACTCAGAGGAACACGGGTGAGAGGGAGGGGGGACACTCTAGGTTTGGCTGAGGAAGAGGAAGGAGACTGCTGAAGGGTTGGGGCGCTGGCAAGGTTTTCCCACTCAGGTTGTCTGAGCTGGCAGTTTTATGAACCTTTTATGGGAAGTATCAAGCACTCATCTTTGCTCTAATGACCCTAAGTCAGGCCTTCCCTTTTAGGGAAGGGGGCTGCTGAGACGATGTGATAGGTGACTGATTCATGGCAGGACAGGACTGGAATTGGGGCTAAGAGATAAGGTCCATAATGCTAAGATAGGAGTGAGCACATTATTGGCCTGGGAAACTCTGGAGTCCTGGATGGAAGACAGACACACTCCCTGAGCGCCCCAGTACCTGCTTCAGTGCCACAGCTGGTTTTACATGTGTGAGAAGTGGGCGTCGCTACCCTGGCCCCGGGTCCACAAACATACCCAAGGCTCCTCCCACACTTCTGTCTCTAGGGACCCCCATGCACCGGACTTTGAAGTGGCCCAAAAGTTGTTGACCTATAACCCCTTAACTTCCCCCAAGGCTCTTCCCTGCTCATCAGGGGGGGCTGCCTTGGGTCCCCAGGACCTCCTTGATATCAGGGTCTTAACTCCCAGGGAAAAACTTTCTCCCTGCTCAGTCCTGAAAGGAACTTTTTCTTTTCTGTCCTACAAGCACCAAAGGTTCCAATGAGGAGAGTGGAATCCTTCCCCTCCCTGTCCCTGTCCTGGACCGGTGATTAAATTCTAAAGCAGTGTAGACAATAGGAACCCCTCCCCCCCCCCCCCACATACACCTGCCTGTCTCTGCGGGATCAAAGCTGCTTTGTGAGGGCTGTGTGTGTGGGGGGGGGGGGGGGTTTGCGTGTGTGATCCTGGGCCAGAGGGGGGAGCTGGCTATGAATCTGAGCAAGGAGGAAACCCCTTTGCCTGAATTGTTTTGGGGGAGCCAACGCTCCCCCTCCCTTCGGAGGTCCTTAGCCCAGTTCAAAGGCAGAGAGGGGATAAGAGGTTGGCAACTGATGAGGAAGTGCCTGGACCACATAAGTGGAGCTTCCTGTGGATGAAGGGGGTCAGGGTTCAAGGTCATCCGATCCTTGTCCCTCTCCCCAACCCCTCTGAGCTTCCCGCACGTAGACTGCGTGGACGCAGAGAGGCCATAAGAGACCCCAGCCTGGAGGAGGAGGAGCTCCCTTTCCCTTTCCACTCAGCCCTGAGCCTCTTCCATCTCATCTGCTGGGTCGGGGTGGGGGTGGGGGGGTAATGGGAGCCAGGCTATTCCCTCTCACACCATCATGGCCTCCCTCTCCCGGGCCAACCATTTCTGAATTCTCCATAATCCCCAGCACTCACCGCTCACCTCCCTCCGCCATCTCCCCACCCGGGTCATCACACAAACACCCGCCAGGGAGCTGTAGGGACTGCTCGACTCCAAGTTGGAAGGCTCTTTGGTGTGCTTACAGATTGCATTGGAGCGGAATGGTGAGGTCGTAGGTTCGATCGCCAGCACCCTGAAAGGAAAAAGGAAAAGGAAAAGAAAGGAGGAGAGGAGAGGAGAGGAGAGGAGAGGAGAGGAGAGGAGAGGAGAGGAGAGGAGAGGAGAGGAGAGGAGAGGAGAGGAGAGGAGAGGAGAGGAGAGGAGAGGAGAGGGGGGAAGAGAGAGAGGAGAGGGGGGAAGAGAGAGAGGAGAGGAAGATTGAGAGGAGAGGGAGAAAAGAGAGAGGAGACAAGGGAGGGAGGAAGAGAGGAGAGGGGGAGAGGGGGAGAGGGGGAGAGGGGAGAGAGGAGAGGGGGAGAGAGGAGAGGGGGAGAGAGGGAAGAAGGGGAGGGGACCCAAGAATCAGCGACCTCGGCCTGAGTCCCCCCTTCCACAGTACCCCCGTTTCTGGAGCAATCGATTAAAAGCACTGGACAGCCTTCACCCCCCCCCCCCATCTTTCCGAAGGTTTTCCACCCCCACTCCCAACCTGAAGCCGCCCCCCCCAACCACCCCAAGGACCCACTCCAGAACCACTGGCGCCAAAAGGATGCCAGTCGGGGATGCGGGCGTCACTCCGGTGGGCTGAGTACCCGGGGATGAGGCTTTCCCAGACCCCGGGGCGGGGGGGAACCTGGGCGAGGACGGGACCCCGAGACCAGCGGGTCCCCGCGCACCGGGCCGGAGGTGTCGTCGGGGCGGGCGGGGAGCCCGGGCTGGGGGCGGGGAGGGGCCGCCCCGCCAGGGGGCGGAGCCGCGTCCCCGCGTGCGGCTGTCGGGGCTCCCTCCCGCCCGGCGCGGCAGGGCTATAAAAGCCGGGGAGGCATGCTCGCGACACCCCCGGCGGCGTCCTGGGCAGGCGCGCGACCCCCGGTGTGGCCGCGCCCGGGCCCCGCGCACCATGCGGCTGCTCCTCGCCGGCCTGGTCCTGGCCGCGGCGCGCTCCTTGGCTCTCGCAGGTGAGGGGCTACCAGGTAGCCCTCGGGGTGCGCCCCGAACCCGAGGCTCCCCCGCGAAGAAGGCTCGGCCGCCGGATAGCCAGGACGCCAGGGTTGCGCATCGGGGCTGGGGTGGCGCGTGCGGCGGGGGCGCCCCGGGAGCCGGGCGGGGCGCGGGCGTGCGGGGGGCGTGCGGGGGGCGGTGTGTGCGTGTGTGGGGGTCCCCCCCCTTCACACACACACACACGGCGAAGCGCCTACGTGAGTCCGAGATGCAGATGCTTCTGCGATCCGCCTCGACGCACGCCTGCTTTTCTGGCCCCGGTGGGTCCCGCCGGTGGCTGTACCCACCCCACCCCCGCCCCATCCCCGCGCCGAGGGCTGCAAGTGGAGGGCTATTGGGGTCCTGGCATTTCTCTGTCTTCACCATCCGTCTTGGGCTCTTGGCGCGGGGTTTGAGGCTCAGCCCTCCCGGCCCCCGGGGTGCCGGATTGGGAGCCTGGCGGGGGGCACCTGGAGACCCGAGTCCCCGGCTGATCCGGTCTTTCCGGACAGGGTGATTTTCGTTTAAAGATTAATGGCGAGACCGAGCTCTTAATTATTCTGCGAGGTGGGAGGTGGCGGGAGAGGCGTGTTAATATTTGATAAGGAGCTAAAGGCGATTCCAGCCGCTGGCAGCTTCCCGGCTGCCCCAGACCCCATCCGCTAGCTCCCAGCCAAGCCAGGCCAACAGTGGCTCTTGGGGTCCCTTCCAGCCAAACTTCTGCCCCAGGCTCTGATGCTTCGCCTGTCAGAAAGGTAGAGTGAGCGATAAGCGTTCCCTGAGGGGTTGCTGGCCTCTTATGATGGGGGTTCAGGAGAGCCTTGTAGTAAGTCCCATCCCAGATGAGAAGAAAAGAGCAAAAACAGAAGGTTCAAAACAAAAACAAACCCAGCCCGGTGTCATTGGGCACCCCTATAATCCCAGCTACTCAGGAGGCTGACATCTAAGAATCCTGATTTGCCAAACTTTTATCTTGGGGGGCGGAGGGAGGCGGGGAGGCTGTAAGTGGAGATGTGGCTCAAGTGCTAATGCCCTAGCCTCTGAACAAAACAGAGCAGAAGCACAAAGGACCACAGTTCAAGCCCTGGTATCGGTACATACATCATCAAAACCCCCAATCATTTGTAAGGTTGGATATTTGAAAACAAATGCTTTGCAGTTAATCTGGGTGCCAGATGGCCTTGGATAAGTCACTTGCCCTGTTTCTCACTTACAAAACCCGGTGTAAGTAATTCCTTAACAACACTAGGTGTTGTTTTAAAGATTTGAGTAAGATAATGGGTTAAGTGTTTAGTGCTATGCTAGGTTGTAGTACATGATAGTCTCTACCCTGGCTTGGAGCCAGGTGAGCCTGGAGTGATCCCAGCTAATCACACACACACACACACACACACACACACACACACCTCCTTTTTTAAGACTTGGAGCTTTTTAATTGGAGCTCACCATAAGGGTTGAGCATGTGCAGGTTCCACGTGGGAAGAAATCCCTAGAGCATCTTCTCTAGGGGAGAGAGAAAGTATTTGGCCCCTTCAGAGCTCCAGACCCCTGGCCAGGAGGTGCTGAGACTTTGCCCAGGCCACACTTGGGTTTTGCTGAGTTGGTTTTCAGGATAATCACCCCCCCACCCCCATCTGAGTGAGAGGGTGGGGTGAGCAAGGTCCATTAGCCAGAGCTGCTGTGGTCATCTCTAAACAGATGGAGCAGGGGGGGTTGAGAAGTGAAGGTGATTGGCAGCTCCACTTCTGGTCAGGGCACATGAACAAATAACCAAGACATGTCTTTCCCAGGTCCTCTTAGAAGTGATCTAAGACAGTGGGCTGGTAATTGTTTGCAAGGGTGGCCCTCTGGGAGACTGGCACCCCTAATCCCCTCCTTGACTGAGAGCCAGTTACCCTCACTCTACGACATTGTCCTGGCCTTGGCTTCATCACCAATGTGTTGTCTTGGCTTCTGTGTCCTGGCTCCTGGGGAAGGTAGTTTACACGAGTGTTCAGCCAAGCAGGTCAAAAGTCTCAATGATTAAGACGGTGGATCAGAGGTCACCACTACAAACCAAGATGTAGCCAGAGCCAGGGAAAGCAAATTCCTAAGGCCTGGACCAGATGGGACTCCAGGGGATTGTGAGGAGCTCCACCCTTCAGAGCTAGCTTTGGATGACTCTGGGCTAAATGGGGATTTCTCCCAGAATAGGCATTTGGAGCTTGGAAGTATAGGGAAGCAGCCTGACTCTCCCCAAAGAGGCACCTTCTGCCTCTGGGACCTCAGGGCTGGGCACACAGGAGGATCATAAAAAGGAGCCGCTCATTACAAATGACCACCAATTCTTCATCTATTGGAATGAGGAAGAAGGGCTCCTGGGCTCAGAAAACTGAATTCCCTCTCTGAAGAAATGAAGCAAGAAGCCAAGCAGGAAGCCAAGGGAACAGAGTGCAGCTTCTGAGCTCTGCTCTCCTAGGGGAAAAGCCTGGATGTGCAGGTCCACTGCTCTATGTGAGGGGTACCCCACACTGCAGCTTCCGGGGGTATAGATCATCACTTCACGGGGAAGACCTTGCATCTCTGAAAAAGGATTTACCAGCAGAGCAGCCGGCACACTGGTCCAGAGCCTAGAAAACTCAAAAATCCAAAGTAGCTCTTGGGGGGCCAAGAGAAGGAATCAACCTTCTATAGACACTTGCTCTCCTAACCTAGAACTTTCCCTAAAACCATTACCAAGAGCCTGGCCTTCTTTGGCATCCTTCCCTCCCTGTCCCTATTCCAGGGAGCACTTCTATGCCCAGACCCAGGCAAGGAGAGAGGGCATTGGGTGTGGTGGTATAGTCCTGTAATTCTGGTGCTCAGGGACTGGACACAAAAGAATCTAGAGGTTGAGGCTACTGTAGGCTCCACAGTAAGACCTTGTCTTCAAAAAAAAACAAACCCAAGAGCTGAGGATATATAATGTTTGTTGGTATGTCTCAAGCCCTGGGTTTGGTCCCAGCATTGCAAAAAAGGGGAAAAAAACCAGGATGGGAGAGAGGTTGCCGAGCTGAGTGTAGTCTTTTCTTAGGAATTTCCTCATCTCTGAATTCTTTCCAACTTACTCCATGTCTTTCCTCTCCCGTCCCTCCCCCACTTAGCTCTGGCCATCTGCTCACTGAGAGGAGGCCATCAGAGGGAGGGAAGCCGGGGGAAGGGACTGTACTAGGCACCAGGCTGCCTAAAACTCTATACCATCTCTCAGTTAATCTTCTCCATGGCATGATGGGTAGTTTATCAGTCGCATTTTGCAGATGATAAAACTAAGGCTCACAGAGATTAAGGGACTTGCCCTAAACCTATAGTTCCCTAAATGGCTCAGCCAGAATTCTAGGTTTGGGTGAAATGCTTTGTTCACACTGTTTGCACAAGCCTTCTTTCCTCCCATCAATTAATAGATTATTTTTAGAACAGTTTTAGGTTTGCAGAAAAGTATCCGAGGGTACCCACAGGGCCCTGCATTTCCTTTATTGCCCACAGCTGTAGCACAGCTTGGTATATTGAGAGATACTCTGACCTCAGACAGAGCCATAAGGGGAGACAGATTTATCTTCCCTCTACCTCCATCAGTCCCAAAAAGCAGCCATGCTGAACCTGTTCCCTTGTTCTCTCCCCTCACCAGAGCCTCCTCCTTCCAGGTTTAGGGGAGAGATGCAAAAGCAAAAAGGAGAGCCAGGCACCATGCCTGTAATCCTAGCTATTCAGGGGGCTGAGATCTGAGGAGCCCAATTTGAAGCCAGTTCAGGCAGCGAAGTTCAAGACTCTTCAGTTAACCACCAAAATGCTGGATGTGAAGCTATGGCTCAAGTGTCAGAGTGCCAGCCTTGAGTGTATAAAGCTAAGGATAGGGTCTAGGCCCTGAGTCCAAGTCTCAGTACTGGCACACACACACACACACACACACACACACACACACACACACACAGAAGAAAGAAAAGAAAAAAGAAAGAGAAAGGAAGGAAGGAAGGAAGAAAGAAAAAAAACTAAAAAAAAAAAGTGTGTGTGGGGAGGGTTGTTGACCAAGGTATGGCGCATGCTCAGGCCAGCCCAGAGGCGAGCTGACCAGCTTCAGAGAAACCACTGAAAGGGGTACCCAAAGGTAAGATGAGCCGGATGAGTGGTTCATGGGTAGCTTAGGACTTTTTTTTTTTTTTTCAGTGCTGGGGATTGAATGCAGAGACTTATCTAGGCTAAGCAAGGTCTTTACCACTGAGCTACCTACCCTAGCCCTTCCAGTAATTTTTTTTAAACTGTAGACAGGTTCTCACTATGTATATGAAGACAGACCAGACTGGCCTTAAACTTACAATCCATCTGTTTCCATTTCCCAGAGTTTTGGGATTCCAGGTGTGAGCTGCCACCATTCCCAGCTGCCTAAGCTTCTGCTGCTACTTTCTTCCTCCTCCTCCCCCTCCTCCCCCTCCTCCTCCTCCGCCTCCCCCCTCCTCCTCCTCCTCCTCCTCCTCCTCCTCCTCCTCCTCCTCCCCCTGCTCCTCCTCCTCCTTCTCCTCCTCCTCTCTTTCCTTTTCTTCCTCTTCTACTTCTGCTTCTTTTTCTTTCTTTTTTTTTTTTTTTGGTGGTCTTCTGGCTTGAACTCAAGGCCTGGATGCTATCCCTGAGCTCTTCTGCTCAAGGCTAGAGCTCTACTGCTTTGAGCCACAGCTCTACTTCCAGTTTTCCATTGGCTAATTGGACATAAGAGTCTCGAGGACTTTCCTGCCCAGGCTGGCTTCGAATCATGATCCCCAGATCTCAGCCTCCTGAGTAGCCAGGATTTCAGGTGTGAGCCACCAGCACCCAGCTTCTCTTCTTCCTTCTCCTTCCTTCCTTCCTTCCTCCTCCTCTTCCTCATCTCCCCGCCTCCTTCTTGTTCTTCATTCTGATACTTGGGCCAGGGCGCTGCCCCTGAGCTCTTTTCACTCAAAGCTATCACTCCACCACTTGAGCTACAGCTCTACTTCCAGCTTTTTGTGGTTAATGGGAAATAAGAGTCTCGCAGCCTGGCTTTGAACTGTGATCCTCAGATCTCAGTGTCCTGAGTAGGTAGGATTATGGACATGAGCCACTGACACCTAGGGCTTTAAAAAATGTTTTAAATTATCCTTAAGTAGTTGTACAAAGGGCTTTTGGTTCAATGTGTCAGTTTATGATCACTATGCTTTGTTTCTTATACCCCACCCCTCAGCCATCACACACCCAAGAACGCTCCATCCCAACCCAAGAGAGCAGTCTTAACACCAGCCTCTGATTTACCCATGTGTGTGCGTGCATGCATGCACACGCACACACACACAGTGGTGTGTACACAGTTCACACACATTGATAAAGATGCAGATGCTCACAAATACATAGATTTGCATGTGCACACATGAAAGTCTCACATTCTCTTTCTAGCTACTTCAGGACAACACTGGTGCTATGAGATTCAAGCCAAGGAGGTCAACTCAAACTGCCTAGGTGAGTAGAGCCAGTGTTGGGGAAGGTGCCTTCTGCAGTGGGGGCTTTCCGGATGAAATGGAGGTTCAGGGAGGATGGAGAAGATGAGGGGTGCCAGCCATCAGTTGCTCCCCAGGTATTTGGAGAACAGAGAACATAGAGTGGCCTTTCCTGTCATGAGAGACTAAGTTCCCTGGGAACGAATTCAGCAACATCATTGAAGAGAGAAACACATTTTGCATTTTCTCCCAACACAATAGAGGGCTGGTTGTAGTCCAGCGGCACCCTGCCAGGTGGGCCTGGGAGATGGTCCTTGACCCTTTTTTCCCCCTCTTTTTTGTGGTGCTGGGACTGGAGCTCAGGGTCTTACACATGCTTCACTGCTGGGTTACAGCAGCCCTCCTGGGCACTTTTTGCTTCAATTCTGACCTATTCCCCTGTGGCCAGCTTTCTTCCTGCCCTGCTGTGTTGAGGGCCTGCCCAATCCTTGCTGGATGTTGGGGTTGTGTTAAGGGAAGGGGATCCAGACTGACAGGAGGAGACTCCTCCCACGCCTCAGATAATGCTGTGTCACAGTGAGATTCCTCTCCTAAGCAGCCCTTCTAGAAGGGCTCTTTTCCTCAACTTCCAAAGCCCTCTCCGTGCATCTCCTTTATACTTCCACAAACTGCCTGCAGTCACTTCCTGTTTTATAGTTGAAAAGGAGAGAGCTCCTGGGGTGGTCTCTGCCCCACAGCTCACAGCCACTGGCAAGCCCAGTCCCGCCCTGAGCCACACCATACACACTCTGGCTTTACCTCCACGTTTGGAGGAGGAGGATAGGGTGGGTAAAAGCAGTAAAAGAGGTACCCCGTACTCTCAGCCTCTTCCTTCCTGCTCAGGGCCAGACCAGTGGTCTGGAGACTGCCATAAGAGCCGCCAGTCTCCCATCAACATCGTGAGCTCCAAGGCCAAGGTAAACCACAGCCTGGGACACTTCTCCTTCTTTGGTTATGACAAGAAACAAAAGCGGACCGTCCAAAACAATGGGCACTCAGGTTGGTTCTCAGGTGTCGGGGGATGGGGCAGGCACGGGCTCCTGGCTCCAGGTACAAGTGCAAGAGACTTTGATGGGGACTGAAAACCTAGTGAGGATGAGGAGGGCAATCAGAACGGGCGTCCAGAGAGAAGGCTCCCTGACTGTGTTTTCAGTGGCTTCTTCTGACCAGTCAGTTGGGGGGGGGGGGGGAGGGGAGAGGAAATCCAGGAAGGATGGACGCTATTGCATTGCATGGCAGGGTAGAGGTCAGAGCGAAGCTGGAAGGGACTGAGTAAGGCCCAGGGCTGAAGAACCTGGGGATGTCAGAGGGGGATCCCAAGCAGAGGAGGAACCAAGACAGATTCCAGCGTTGCCTTTGGAGGCAGCAGGTGTGGAGGATTGTGCAGGAGAAGGGGAGGCCAGAGCTGGAGCCCATAAAAGGGTGGGAGATGGGGGATGCGGGGTGGGGGGGGAAGGTCTGGGTAGAGCTGGGATGGGAGCTGGAGAGACTGAGGTGGGGACTCTGGCCATCCTGTGTCCCCCAGTGATGGTGTTGCTGGGGAAAGAGGCCAGACTGTCTGGAGGAGGCCTGGCTGCACAGTACCAGGCCACACAGTTTCACCTGCATTGGTCCCAGGAGCTGGACAGGGGCTCGGAGCACACCCTGGATGGGGAACGCTTTGCTATGGAGGTACGGGGTCTTTTCCTAGCTGGGGGCCTTGGGTGGGAAGAGTGGTCCAGCCCCATCACAGGTTCTCTCTCCCCTCCCTCCCTCTCTCCCTCCCTCCCTCCCTCCCTCCCTTCCTCCCTCCCTCTACCAGATGCACATAGTGCATGAGAAAGAGACAGAGGCATCAAACCAGGCACAGAGCTCTGAAGACAAGATCGCAGTGTTGGCTTTCCTGGTGGAGGTAGGACTGCCATCCCTCAGATCCTGGAGAGCACTGCATAGTGTGCAGAGGCCTGGGATGATGAATATACCCTCGAGTGAACTAGGAGCCCAGAGCCTCAATCCTAGAAGCCACCTGCCCTGGGGACTCCTCTAAGCCCCTTCCCACCCATTTCAGGAGGGAGACAAGATGAACGAGGGCTTCGAGCCCCTGGTGGAGGCCCTACAAAACATCCCCGAACCTGGTGAGTCTGGGAGCTAGGGGAGAGGGCTGCTGTCAGAGGGAGGTGTGTGAGGGACCATGTCTCCCACTCCAGATATGAACACCACCATGAGGGAGAGCAGCCTGATGGACCTGCTCCCTAACCGGGAGAAGCTAAAGGACTACTTCCGGTACCTGGGCTCACTCACCACGCCCAGCTGCGACGAGACAGTCATCTGGACAGTGTTCAAGGAGCCCATTCAGCTGCACAGGGAGCAGGTACTCAGCACATAGGCCAAGCCACCTGGCTCCCTGGAAGCCATGTCTATTTGTCCCCCAGGGTCCCCTGAGGTGGGGAGCCCCCAGGGAATCTGAAGCTCACTGGTTCAAGGAACTCCTGGTGTGTTTGTGGGTTGAGGGCTGAGGGGCAGGCTGTGGAAGTGGGTCAGGTTAGGACAGGGAGCCAGTAACCTAGGGAAGGGGTGCTTTGAACCAGGATCCTCAGATCTCAGCCTTCTGAGTAGCTAGAATTACAGGCATGAGCCACCAGCGCCCTGCTGGACATGCTAAGGTTTGAGAAGCAAGGCAGCCTAGCAATGGAGAAGACAATTGTTAGAGTGCATTTCAGGTGCCCCCCCCCCATCTCTGAGTTGGGGAAGTTCATGGGCACTTAGCTCCCTATGGTACGGTGCCCTTGTATCCTTGTATCCCTTATTCTTGGCCTTTTCACAACACTTTGAGGGATCTTGAATGGGAGCCCCCTTTCCTGAGGAGTTTCAGAGAGGTGAGTCCTCCCTGCCACCCTCCCACCCAGCAGGGAATGTGGCTGCACCTGCTCCCACTAGCTGAGCCCTGTCCCTTTCTGCAGATCCTGGCCTTCTCCCAGAAGCTATTCTACGACAAGGGGCAGAAACTGAATATGAGCGACAACGTCAGACCTGTGCAGCGCCTGGGAAACCGGGTGGTGTTCAGGTCGAGGGCCCCAGGACGGCTGCTGCCTTTGCCCCTGTTGGTCCCCACACTGACCTTCCTGATGGCCAGCCTCCTTCCGTAATGGCGCACGGCTGGCTACATGACCCGTCTGACCTCAGCTTGTTTAAAGGACTTGACTTCTATTCTTACTGCTTCCTAGGGTGAACTTTGGGAATGATTAAAATATGGATGTTTTTGGACAGATCATTGGCAAGTCTCTATCTCCTCACAACTTCTCCTACCTCCCCCTCCCCCTGTTCTAGGGCAGGGGCCCTAAAGCCTGGAGATTTCCTCCAAATGAGGACCTGCCACCCTCTGCCCTTGTGAATTTCCTATCTATGCCTCATTTGTTTCTATCCCATCCTCAGAGAGAGGCTGATGCCACCAAGGATCATCATCACGGCAAAGGCCAGAGATCTGACCCACGCTCTTCATTATCTAATAGGGGAAACTGAGGCTTAGGAAGGACAGGCTGGATGGAGGCCACAATTGAAGCTGGTGCTGTCTCTGTCCCTTGTTTGGGGTACAGCACAGGCAGAGAGGACAATAGGAAGCTTATTTGTTTCTCACTCTCTGTCTCTGTGTCTCTGTCGCTGTCTCTTTCCCTGTTTCTGTCTCTTTCTGTGTGCCTCTCTCCCTCCCTGTCTTTCTCCCTCTCCTCTCTCTTAATGCCAGTCCAGGCACTTAAACTCAGGGCCTAGGAGCTATTCCTGAGCTCAAAACTAGCACTCTCTCACTGGCTCCACTTCTGGCCTTTTCTATAGTTAATTGGAGATAAGTCTCATAGGGCTTTCTTGCCCTGACTGGCTTTGACTAGCCAGCCTCAGATCTCAGCCTCCTGAGTAGCTCAGCTTACCTGTGTGAGCCACCTTCCCAGCCCTTCTTTCATTATCTGTTGAGCATTTGTGTTGTGGTCTGTTGGTGGGGAAATGCCTGCCCTCCTGTGGCTCCCGGTCCTGAGGAGGGGGAGAAGACAATGAACTGTGGAGAAGAATAAACCAGGGAAGGACCGTGTTAAGGGTGGCCAGGAGAAGTGGCATCTGGAAGACTGGAGGGAAGCCATCTGGACTAGCAGCGTTCCTGCAGGTAGGGAAGAGGCCTGTCAGGAAATGGCGAGGAAGAGGGGGCAGAGCCTCAGCTAGGTCTGTTGTGGGGGAGGGGTGGCACAGGCCATCCAGGCCTTGCAGCATCCAGAAAGATGCTGGAACCTATGGCGGGTGACATCATAGAGCTGTGCTGTGGAAGAGGGGCTGTGGAGGCGAGGGCCAGGCTGCGGGGTAGAAGAAGGGGGTGGGCAGGGGGAGAGGTTCCTAAGGCAGAATTTGCTGGAAGAGCAGTAGGACTTTTATGTCTCTATGAATTTTTCCCTTCTGGGGTCCAAGGAAGGAGAGGAGGAAGAGGAGGAGGAAGAGTGAGACTAGGAGGAAGCAGATGGCATAGGAGAGTTCAGAAAAGCAGGAAGGAGGAAAGAAGGAACCCACAGGCAGTCCAAAGCCAAGTCAGGGCTCTGGCATGTTAAGGAATGAGGGGCTCTGGGTTCAGATCTTACCATTCAGGACAAGGTTGCTTTGAGAAGCAAGGGAGGGGGTGAATAGACTCAGCCCCAGGGGTGGGGCTGAGGACTGCCGGGGGAATGGTGTGTCCCTACAGGAAGGTGAGGTGGGGGAGACACAGAATCCTAGAAGGCCTGGCTGTTGGGGGTGGAGGGTAGGGTAGAGAGAATAGCTAGTTGGAGGGTATGACCTCTAAGCCTCTCACCTCAAGCTCAGGACACCTACCCTGAGGGAGAAAAAAGAGCTTCCCCCTTCCTTTCCACCCTCCCTTTTTCATTTGTGACCAAAAATAAGTCTCCCTCTTCCTCCCCCCCCACTTCTGTTTTACTAGTGACCACATGCCTGGGGGTTGGCATTGCAATCACTATGGCAACGGCAGACAGCCTATGCCAGCAGGAGGTTTGGATGCTGAGCCTGCTCTCCTCTGGCTCCCAGGAAGTCAGCTTTCCCGCAGGGGTGAGGGGGACAGGGTGGAGGGGAGCGTGGCCCGGGGTGGGCCTCGAAGGTCAGAGCTGTCCCTCCTGCTCCCCCTCACCTCTCCCCTCCCTCATCCCTACCCACCTGGATTCCAACACAACCAGGCAGTCACTGCTCTTTCCAAGAGACTAGGGGAGGCGCCCACGTGGAGGCACACAGCCCGTCCTGCCCCGCTGCTTTGTGCTGAGAAACTTGGCCAGCCAAAGTCAGAATGAGCACAACTTGTCCAGGGGCCAAGCCTCCCCAGCATTACTCCCCCCCCCCCCATTTTTTTTCCTTTGGCCCCAGAAGCAGGGCTTGGCAAAGTCACGTCCAGCACAGTTGTCCTAGCAAAGTCACTGGAACAGCCCTCAGGAGTAGGCACTGGCTCCCTTGGTCTGGTTTCCCAGGTCTGGAGGCCCAGCTGACACATCGGATCTGGAGAAACTTCTTTAGAGTGTGTTCACCCCATCTATCCTAGCCCCCAGGCTCCCAACCTGTTCGAAGATGCTCTAACTTCACACCTGGTTCCCAAGACAGCTATCAGCAGGGATGAGGGTGGTGAGCAATAGACCCCTTGCTTACAAAGGGGGTCCAATCTGTGCCCACTCTAGCCCTACTTCCTTTTTCCTTTTTCTCCCCCAATCCTGGAGCTTGAACTGAAACCCTAGGCACTGTTCCTGAGCTGTTTGTTTTCTTTTTGTTTGTTTTTGTTTTTGTCAGTCGTGGCGCCTGAACTCTGGGCCTGGGCGCTGTCCCACAACCCTTTAGCTCAAGGCTAGTGCTCTACCACTTGAACCACAGCGCCACTTCTGGCTTTTTCTGCTTATGTGGTGCTGAGGAATCAAACCCAGGGCCTCATGCATGCAAGGCAAGCACTCTACCACTGAGCTACCTTCCCAGCCCACCCTGAGCTAATGCTCTACTGTATGAGCCACAGCTCCACTTGCAGCTTATTTTGGTGGTTCACTGGAGATAAGAGTCTCATGGACTTCCCTGCCTGGACTGGTTTCACAGTCCTTAGACCTCACCCTCCTGAGTAGCTAGTATGATTACAGGCCTGAGCCCATTCGTGCCCTGTTCTACTTCCTTTTTTTTTTTTTTTTTGTCGGTCGTGGGGCTTGAACTCGGCCTGGGCGCTGTCCCTCAGCTCTTCAGCTCAAGGCGAGCGCTCTACCACTTGAGCTACAGCGCCACTTCCGGTTTTCTGGTGGTTTATTGGAGATAGGAGTCTCACCGTCTTTCTTGCCTGGGCTGGCTTTGAACCGCGATCCTCAGATCTCAGCCTCCTGAGTAGCTAGGATTACAGGCGTGAGCCACCAGCGCCCGGCTTCTACTTCCATTTTTCTTCATCCTTAGGCTGACTGCACTGGACATTCACACACACACACACACACACACACACACACACACACACACTCACAAGCACACACATTTTACTGCAGTTATCAGGCCGGAGGAGGCTATTTTGGCTAAACCTCCACTTCTGGCCCTTTTCTAGCAGGTTCCAGCGCAGAATATGAAGCACCTTTGTCGAATGCCTGCTCTGTGCTGGATGCGGGCCTTCCCTGCGGTCCTGTTGAGATGTCATTCATCCATTGTAAGGATGAGGACTCTGGGTGAGGGGTCAGGGGCTGCATCTGGGCAAACCTCTGCTTCTGCACCATCTTCCTCATTCCTGTATGGGGAAGACGCATCTGCAGCAGAGTCTGCAGCCCTTTGCCCACATTGCTTTGTACCTCTGTTGGGTCACCTCTCTGGCTCCGTTTAGGTTTGGCATTTGGGTGGGATCAAGGGGCTAAAAATATTCTCCATGTGTTTAGATAATTCTTGGAAAATAAACTTTCCTGTCTTGGCTCTTTGGTTTGCGCAGTTGCCGGCGCTAATCTGATGGGGGAAGGGTGGAGAGGAGAAGAAGAGGTGAGTAAAAAGGTCCTAGAGTCAATCCTGGGTAGTAAGTTACATGTATGTCTCCATGCACATGCACGCACAGAGATGTGTCCCAGAACTCCAGAGGACACCTGTACACAGACTGTACCTGTGCTGAATTTGAGGTAATCCTCAGACAATCCTGAGCTTCTGTGTCTACTAGTGGGAAGAGGTAAGGAAGCCCAAAGCCCTGCTGGCATGGCTCCTGCTTCAGGGCCGTGGGATAACCACCTGCAAAAGAGACAGCTTGGCCTGTCCTAATTGACCTCCGTGTCTGCCGAAGACTCCAGGAGGAAGGCCAGGCCTATCTCTGTAGGTAGGGCTCTGTGCCTGCACCTCCAACGGCCATGTCTCAGCTGCTGTGTTTATTTATCTGAGTAGGGACAAAGGCCTGACCTCCTGTACGGATGAAGGACTTGTCCTGGGGCCCAGGGAGGGGCTTCCTCCCTGGAAGGACAGGGCAGGTCACAAGCCGCAGGACAGACAAGTCACAAGCGACTTCCTTCCGCTGAGATTGGACACATAGGACGCTCTTCAGGTTGTTCCAAGTGTCAGGGGCTGCAGGCCGGAGAGGACAGGGAGGACACAGGGAAGGGGAGATTTATTTTCAACAAGATTTAATCTTTGCCGGGGTGTGGTGGCACATGCCAGCGGGCCCCAAGACTTAGGAGGTGGAGGCAAAAAGGATTGCCAGTCTGAAGCCAGCCTGGACAGTCAGTGAGACACTATCTCAAAGCAAGCTAAAAGCAAGAGGATGAGGGGCATGATTCAAATGGTAGAGCATTCTGACACGAAGCCCTGAGTTCAAATCCCAGTACCAGGCAGGGACAGGGCCCCGGGGGGGATTGACTTAAAATCTCAACAAACACTACTGTTTCCTCTGTGCTAGAGAATCAGGATTCAGGGAGAAAAAGCCCAGTGTGGACCCTTCCTCTAAGACCCCCTTAACCATAAAGGCAGATTCACTGGACACAATAAATACCAGCTCTCTGAAATTGAAGCTGGGAGAGGGATGCAGACAAATGTGGGGTTGGACCACTGCTGACAAGTTACCTTTGGTGATTTGATTTACCTGAGCTTCAGTTTCTTCATCAATAAAATAGGAATGATGACAGCATTTACCTCATAGGATTAGGGTAAAGGGGCTGGGAAGGTGGCTCAGTGGTAGAGTGCTTGCCTTGTATGCCTGAAGTCCTGAGTTTGATTCCTCAGCACCACATAAGTAGAAAAAGCCAGAAGTGGTGCTATGGCTCAAGTGTAGAGTGCTAGCCTTGAGCTGAAGAGCTGAGGGACAACACCCAGGCCTAGAGTTCAGGCCCCACAACCAACCAAAAAAAAAAAAAAAAAGATTAGTGTAAAGATAAAACAAGAGGGCTGGGAAGGTGGCTCAGTGGTAGAGCGCTTGCCTTGCATGCCTGAGGCCCTGGGTTCGATTCCTCAGCACCACATAAGCAAAAAGAAAAAAAAAGCCGGAAGTGGTGCTGTGGCTCAAGTGGTAGAGCGCTAGCCTTGAGCTGAAGAGCTGAGGGGCAGCGCCCAAGCCCAGAGCTCAGTCTCCACGACCAGACCCCCGCCCCCCCAAAAAAAAAAAAAAAAAAGATAAAACAAGATGCTAGACTTTGGTGGCTCACATTTGTAATCCTACCTATTCAGAAGGCTGTGATCTGAGGATTGTGGTTGGAAGCCAACCCAGGCAGGAAAGTCTGTGAGACTCTTATCTCCGATCAACCACCAGAAAACAGGAAGTAGCACTGTGGCTCAAGTGGTAGAGTGCTACCCTTGAGCAAAAGAGCTCAGGGCAGCATCCAGGCCCTGAGTTCAAGCCCCAGGACTGACAGAATAAAAGAAAAACATAAAACAAGATGCTCAAGAGGACAAGAGGACATAGTCAGTACTTTGTAGTTATTATGATTCCTTTTTGGTGGGGGGGGGGGGCTTGCACTTGCTAGGCAGAACAATTCTGTATTACTGAGACATTTGCTCTGCTTATTTTTGAGATAGGATCTAGCTGGGTGCTGGTGGCTCACACCTGTAATCCTAATCCTAGCTACTCAGGAGGCTGAGATCTGAGAATCGTGGTTCAAAGTCATCCCAGGCAGGAAACTCCATAAGACTCTTACCTCCAATTAACCACCAGAAAACCAGAAGTAGTGCTGTGGCTCAAGTGGTAGAGTGCTCACCTTGAGCTGAAGAGCTCAGGGTCAGTGCCCAGGCCCAGAGTTCAAGCCCCACAACTGAAAAAGAGAGAGAGAGAGAAGGAGAGATAGAGAGACAGAGACAGAGACAGACAGACAGAGACACAGAGACAGAGAGACAGACAGAGACACAGAGACAGAGAGACAGACAGAGACACAGAGACAGAGACACAGACAGAGACACAGAGACAGAGACACAGAGACAGAGAGAGACAGACAGAGAGACAGAGACAGAGAGAGACAGAGGGAGAGAGACAGAGAGACAGAGAGAGACAGAGAGTGAGACAGAGAGAGATAAGGGTCTATCTTTTTGCCCAGATCAGCCTGGACTGCAATCCTCTTATTTACACATCCTGTTATAGGTGAACGGCAGATGTACACTACTACTATGCCAGCTTTTTTTTTCCTTTGAGCTAGGATGTCATGAACTTTTCCCCCTGGGCTGGCCTGGAACTATGGTCCTCCTTATCTCTAGCAGCAGTCTTCTCCCAGCTTAAGGCCTGTGCCTGGCTAGACAATATACAGGATACCCAGTTACTTTTACATTTCCGATGAATCACCAAAAATATTTTTTTATAGAACTTCAGATTGCATATAGTTGTTATCTGAAATTTAACTGGTTGCTATAATAATTTTTTTTTTTTTTTTGGGTCCAGTCATGGGGCCTGAACTCTGGGCCTGGGCGCTGTCCCTCAGCTCTTCAGCTCAAGGCTAGCACTCTACCACCACTTGAGCCACAGTGCCACTTCTGGCTTTTTTTTTTCTGCTTATGTGGTGCTGAGGAATTGAACCCAGGGCCTCATGCATGCAAGGCAAGCACTCTACCACTGAGCCACCTTCCCAGCCCGCTCTAATAATTTTTAGTTACTAAGTCTGGTGATTCTATCCTCAGTCTCTCTCAAAGAAACAGAGGCTGAGAGAGAAGAGTGGAATGGAAGGGGACCAATCAGCTGAGGCTGCCATCCCCTCTTCTTTCTCTAGTGCTTCCTTTTTTTATTTTGTCGGTCGTGAGACTTGAACTCTGGGTCTGGGCGCTGTCCCTCAGTTCTTCAGCTCGAGGCTAGTGCTCTACCACTTGAGCCACAGTGCCACTTCTGGTTTTTTCTGCTTATGTGGTGCTGAGGAATGGAGCCCAGGGCCTCATGCATGCAAGGCAAGCGCTCCACCACTGAGCCACCTTCCCAGCCCTAGTGCTTCCTTTTGCTCCTCCATCTGGCCACACCTTCCAAGAACTGACTGATAGCTGTCAGGCTTGGGACTTTCCCTGCTGAGTGATTCTGATACTGGGCTCCCCGAGGCAGGCAGTGAGGACTGCCCCAGAGAGGACACTGGGGCAGGCTCAGACATTTGTGGACTTCCATCATTTTCCAATGACTCGGGAAGCACCAATGCCGGGAAATCTTTCCTTCTCCCTCGGTGTCTACCTGACTTCACCCTGGCTGGGCTGGAGGTTCTGGCTCCCCAATATTCCAGCCACCTCTTGTGGCTGCCAGCTTGGGTCAGGTGAGGAGGGATCCTGTGCAGGAGTTTTATTTATAAGCCGAGGAGGCAGTCGTGCAGGACCTCAGGGGTCGGAGCATAGCCTGGAATGCAGGAAGAGTGGATCCAGGCATCAGAAGGAAGCTGAGTCTCTGCTCTGTCCCAATTCAGACGTGATCTTGCTATGCTTTCCTTTCGCTTTGTAATCTCAAACTGTATCACTATCTTTCACTATCTTATTTGCATGCTGGTCTCTTATGCCAGGCCCCTAGCAAGGTACTTTATTACCTGTTATTGCAAAATCCTAACAGCAACCTTTAGAACAAACTCTACCTGGAACTGTTGGGATTGTCCCATGTCGTGTTTACTGCTTATGGTGGGCACTAGAACCCCACCTCTCCTCTTTCTATGCTGGCATTGGGGCTTGAACTCAGGGCCAGGGCACTGTCCCTGCTCAAGGCTAGCACTCTACCACTTGGGTTACAACTCCACTTCTGGCCTTTTGGTGGTTAATTGGAGATAAGGGTCATATAAACTTGCCTGCCTAGTGTGGCTTCTAATTCTGATCCTCAGATCTCAGCCTCCTGAGTAGCTAGGATTACTTCCTCTTTAAGGAAGACTTGTCTTAGGTGCTATGAAAGGAGTCAGGGGCAGATGCCTTCAGGCTGTCAGCTTCTTTGCTCCCCTATGGGATGGCCTGTGTGAAAGGCTTAAGGAAGGGATTCAATTCCAACTTTGGATGACTCCAAAGGCCTATTGTAGCCTTAGGTGCTTCTGAGATGAGTATTTCTGATTTCCTCATTTTCAGATAAAGGAAATAAAATGCATAAGACATACAACAATCAAGTAGCAAAGACAAGATTTGAATTCTGAATTTCATACTCAGCCCAACTGCCTTAGAATCGTGAGGTTTTGCTACTTCTCAAAGGAAACTGAGGCTCATAGAAGTCCATCAGCTAATGAATAGCTAAAGCAGTACAGCCTGATGCTAGTGGCTCTCACCTGTAATCCTAGCTGCTCAGAAGGCTGAGATCTGAGGTTCTTAGTGCACAGCCAGTGGGGGCAGAAAAGTTTTAGACTCGGGCTGGGAAGGTGGCTCAGTAGTAGAGTGTTTGCCTTGCATGCATGAGACCCTGGGTTCGATTCTCAGCACCATATAAGCAAAAAGAAAAAAAGCCGGAAGTGGCGCTGTGGCTCAAGTGGTAGAGCGCTAGCCTTGAGCTGAAGAGCTGAGGGACAGTGCCCAGGCCCAGAGTTCAGGCCCCATGACTGGATCAAAAAAAAGAAAAGAAAAGAAAAGTTTTAGATTCATCTCCAATTAACCACTAAAAGCTAGAAGTGGAGCTATGGCTCAAGTGGTAGAGCACCAGTCTTGATCCAAAAAGGTGAGGGACAGTTCCTAGGCCCATAGTTCAAGCCCCAGGTCCAGTATAAAACCCTCCCCCCTCCAAAAAAAAGCAAGTTTATTTATTCATTTATTATTTTTATGTTAGAACTAGACCTTGAGCTTAAGACTTTACACTCTTTCTTGCCTTTCTCACTCAAAGCTGGAGCTCTATCATTTGAGCCATAGCTCCATTTCCTGTTTGTTTTTGCTGATTATTTGGAAATAAGAGTCTCTTGGATTTGTCTGCCTGGGCTGGTTTTGAACTGCTATCCTCAGATCTCAGCCTCCTGAGTAGCTAGGATTACAGGCGTGAGCCACCAGTGCCGGGCTGACAGGACACTCTTAGTCATCTGAGTATCAATATGACCACAGCAAGGCTGGCCACACACAGGGTCAGATAGCAAATGTTTGCAAGGATTAATAGACACAAGGAAAACGTTCACAAACAATGGAATGGAATTACCAGGTATCTTTCCAGGGTTGGGACTAAATATTTACCTTGCTCATTGGACAATACTGAGAGAAAAACTTGGTTTTTTAAGCTCTGTTTATATCAGCTTTCCTTCTGTGGCTCACACAATCGATTTGGTCTTGTTAGAGTTTGAACAGCTGCTGCCACCCGTGGGTTCTTCATTCTCAGCTTTTACTGCCCCCAGCTTGCTGTTCTTCCAAAGGGAATCTGCTTCGAATCCTTGAGTCTCAGGAAGTGTTGGCCCTCAATTTTGCGTATCAGCTGCCACTCTCGGCCTGAGGCTGCAGGTCAAACTGGGGTTTTACTCTAGCTGCAACTGAAGATTCCTTTGTAGCCATGGGTTATTGCTTGGATCATGGCAGTAGACTTACCTGAGTGGCCTACAGGAGACACCTCTCTTGAAAGAGTTGAGTTGCATTTGACAAGCTGGTTAGGGTCAAGCTTCAGACTTGCAGGGGAGGAGGACATGGAGTTTGTGTGGTACCTGTAGGACATTCTCTGGATTCACTGGGTCTTAAAGAGACCAGAAGTAGTGCATGGTGCTGTGGTTTGGATGTTGTCTGAGCATGCTCAGATTAAATTGAATTCCTTCCCAGAAGGATACAGTAAGAGAGTAGAAAGTTAACTGTGGTGTTTAGAAGTGGGACTTTGGAAGCCGGGTACTGGTGGCTCACACCTATAATCCAAGCCCAGAGTTCAAGCCCCACGACTGACCAAAAAAAAAAAAATAAATAAAAGTGGAAGTGGGACTTTGGGGAAATGATTAGGATTAGACAAGGAAAAGTGTCCTACCCATGATTTTATTTTTTGCCAGTCTTGGCCAGTTCTGAACTCAGGGCCTGGACACTGTCCCTGAGCTTCTTTTGATCAAGGCTAGCACTCTACTATTTGATCCACAGTGCCACTTCCAGCATTTTCTGTTTATGTGATACTGAGGAATCAAACCCAGGGCTTCATGCATCTAGGCAAGCACTCTACCACTAAGCCACATTCCCTGCCCTACCCATCATTTGTAACACACACACACACACACACACACACACACACACACACACACACACACACACACTCATTTTACCAGTCTCCACACCACCTTATGACTCTGCCAGCAAGAAAATCATCATTAAAAAAAAAAAAAAAAAAGCCGGGAGCTGGTGGCTCACACCTGTAATCCTAGCTACTTAGGAGGCTGAGATCTGAGGATCATAGTTTAAAGCCAGCCTAGACAGGAAAAGTCTGTGAGACTCTTATCTCCAATAAACCACCAGAAAACCGGGAAGTGGTACTGTGGCTCAAGTGGTAGAGTGCTAGTCTTGAGCTGAAGAGCTGAGGGACAGCACACAAGCCCAGAGTTCAAGACCCATGACTGACCAAAAATGAAGAAGAAGAAAGAGAAGAAGGAGAAGAAGAAGAAGAAAACCTATGGGTTCTAGTGGCTCATGCCTGTAATTCTAGATCCTCAGGAGGTTGAGATTTATATAGATCATGGTCCAAAGCCATCCTGGGCAGGAGAGTCCATGAGACTCTTATCTCCAATTAATCACCAGAGAACCAGAAGTGGAACTGTGGCTCAAGTGCTCAGGGACAAAGCCCAAGCCCAGAGTTCAAGCCCTATGGCCAGAAAAATAAAAATTCATTATCAACACATTTTTCAACCTTGTACCTTCAGAACCATGAGTCAAAATAAACCTCTTCTTTATAAAGTATTTCATAACAGTAATAGAAAAAGAATCCTAGACAAAAAAAATGGAAAATGATTTCAGCAAAACAGTAACGGGTGAGAAGAGAAATAAGTGTTTCAAGTGTGGGAACTCTCTAGTGAACTCTAGGCATCCAGGCTGGGGGTGCCCACTCTGGGAGAAAGGCAGTGGTGGTGGCTAGGGACAGGTATCCAGATCAGCAAATACCACACGGCAATGGAAAGAACAGAGACGCCCTCTGCCCTCAATATTCCAAGGGCGAGTGGAGCTCTGCAGGAGGGTGGGTCAGGGTAGGACCCAGTGAAGCAGAGTACCTCAGTGATGGCCTTGCACTGCGGCCAGGCCAACACAACCAGCATGGAAGCTGACCCATGGAGATGCCACTAACTTGGAGCAAGACTGAATCTGGCCTACATTCTCGATGAACACACATGATCCATTATCAACGCAACTGCACATGCAATGTGTTATCTGTAGACATGGCACGCAGGTTGCCAATTTCAGAGCAGGTATTCTCTGGGCAGGGAAGCAGGCGCTGGGCTACAACATTTGTTTTTTTCCCAAGTTGATGATGAAGTTTGGATTTTCCCACAAATGAACACTGGAGGAAGGATGAGCACACCCAAGCTAGGCTCATTAACTCTGGGGCCAGACAATGGCCTGTATCTTAGGGACATAAGCTAGTCAGGGTTGAATGGAGGCAGGAAGCTGGGGAGTTGGCCTGCTGTGTGAAGATCAACCATGCTGGCTGGATGGACATGTGGTATTTAGTTTAGAGCCCTGACTACCAGGGTGTAAGACTGGGGATAAATGATCAGGCTCAGTTGTTCTCTGTCCCTTCCCAGGCAAGGCCAGGAAGGAAAGGGCCCCGTGGAAGGAGGGGGCATTGTCTTCAGCGGGTTAATATCACCAGGTAGCCTAGTGTGGCAGGAGCTGGTGGATGCACACGGTTCTCTCAGCTACGGAGACTGGAGGCTGCTTCCTCAGAAAAGCTATGCAACCCGGGCTGGGAAGGTGGCTCAGTGGTAGAGTGCTTGCCTTGCATGTCTGAGGCCCTGGGTTCGATTCCTCAGCACCACATAAGCAAAAAGAAAAAGCCGGAAGTGGCGCTGTGGCTCAAGTGGTAGAGTGCTAGCCTTGAGCTGAAGAGCTGAGGGACAGCGCCCAGGCCCAGAGTTCAGGCCCCATGACCGGACCCAAAAAACAAACAAACAGAAAAGCTATGCAACCCTTCTCTTCCTCATGCTGCCTAACTTAGAAACTACCACCCCTCTGTAAATGTCTGATAATTTCTCAGGAAAGTCCAGTTTGGAACAAAATCTCTTTGCACAACCCAGAGTTTTCTCCTTTCCTGGGTCCACCGCCCCATCTACTACCCCACCTTCTCCCTTTACCCAGGTCCTAAGGTCCCTGCACCAGCAGTGGTGAAAAGAACAAACTGAGGGTGTCAGTCTCCATCAAGTTACTGTGCTGCTTTCTCTTTGTGCTTTCAAGTTTCTCAAATTCCAAGAATAAGAGGAGGAGCTGTTATAAGCATACCCACTTCCCCTCCTTGTGCAATAACACCACGCATTTGCAGTGTTGTCACTAGGAGGTACGCAGAATCATGGTGACTCTTTTTGTTGCTGTTGGTGGTGGTCATGGGGCTTGAACTCTGGTCTTGGGTGCTGTCCCTGAGCATTTCAGCTCAAGGTGAGTGCTCTACAACTTGAGCCACAGAGCCACTTCTGGTTGTTTGATCGTTAATTGGAGATAAGAGTCTCACTGATTTTCCTGCCTGGGCTGGCTTTGAACCGCAGTCCTTAGGCCTCAGCCTCCTGAGTAGCTAGGATTACAGGCTTGAACCACCAGTGCTCTTAAACTTTGTCAAAGATGAGCCATCGGGGCTTTGGGTGACAGCAGCTTCCAATTAAGGGGTGGTGGGGTGGTAAAGAAGCAATTGGGTTTGAAAACAATGTTTTTGTTTTTTTCCTTTCCCTAAGTCTAATCTTTTTTCTAGCTTAGATACATTCCAACCTGGCACTAGGTGGCTACACAGGAGTCTGAGATCTGAGGATCACAGTTCAAAGACAGCACAGGCAGGCTGTCCTGAAGAGTCCTTGAAAACTCTTATCTACAATTAATCACCAAAAAGCCAGAAGTGGAGCTGTGACTCAAGTGGTAGAGTACCAGGTGTGAAAAAGTCAAGCAACCTGGGCACTGGTGGCTCACACCTGTAATCCTAACTACTTAGGAGGCTGAGATCTGAGGATCACAGTTTGAAGCCAGCCGGGGGAGAAAAGTCCTCATAAGACTCTTATCTCCAATAAACCACTCAAAATCCAGCAGTGGTGCTGTGGCTCGAGTGGTAGAGTGCTAGCCTTGAGCACAAAGAGGCTCAGGGACAGTGTCCAGGCCCTGGGTTCAAGCCCTACAGGTGACAATAAAAAGAAAAAAAAGTCAAGCAAGAACATGAGGCATTGAGTTTATGCTTAATATTGACCTGTGTGTGTGTACACACGAGCCTGCTCCGTTGTATGACATCTTGGCTAAGCAATGTAATCTCATTGAGTCTTACGTTTCATTCGTTAAAAGGAATGATAATGCATCCCCTATATAGGTCAATGAATCACATAGAACATGGGCCTGGCAAACTCGATCATTAACTGTCCAAGGGCTCCCTCCAGCTTGTCTCCCAGTGCCATTCTCCATGCCTTCTTATGTGCCTTCAACAGAGCTCACACAGCCCTACACTGCCTCTGCAACGTGCTACCAGAGTCCTGTCTCTGTTCCTTTGTTGTCTTTTCTGGGCTGCTAGACTGTTCTCTAAAGTTTTTCACAACATAATTCAGACTATGCTTTATAGGAGAGCTCACTTGTCAACAACCTGACCTTGACAACACTGTCATGTCTTTAGTCAGTAGTTCATAAGGTCAGCATTCCATCCGATACCATTATGTCTAAGGAACTTTTGGTTAATGACTATCACCCCTTATATAGGTGCCTTGTACAGAAATGATTCATTCCCGGGAGCAGTGGTTTCTATAAATGACAATCCACAGACTAGTGCGGAAGAATCTCCCAAATTGCTTCCTACAATGCAGATCTTTGGACTGTGCAGGTTTGGATGGTCTTATAAATCTGGGTGTAGAGACCGATGGAATGTGATAAGCATGGGTGGGGCTCTGGAATCAGTGTATCCAACAGGATCCTGGTTGATTTCAATGATGATAATGAATTGCCAGGTTGGGAACTGCTCTACCCAGTAAACCTAACAGAAGCTCTGTGGGGTAGTAGAGGCTCATGCTGAATAGCAATGCCTCAGGATTGTGATCATGGTTCATACTTTACCTGTGTTGCTTCCGTAAGTGGAGAATACTTTTATTTCACTTATTTATTTATTTTATTTTTTTGGGTCCGGTCGTGGGCCGGAACTCTGGGCCTGGGCGCTGTCCCTCAGCTCTTCAGCTCAAGGCTAGCACTCTACCACTTGAGCCACAGCGCCACTTCGGCTTTTTTTCCTGCTTATGTGGTGCTGAGGAATCGAACCCAGGGCCTCATGCATGCAAGGCAAGCGCTCTACCACTGACCTACCTTCCCAGCCCCAGAGAATACTTTTATTTCAATACCCAATAGGTGCTAAGTTCTGTCTATATACATACATGATCTGTGTTTTTAAGAACCTTTGGGAAAAAAGTATTCTCAGTGGGCAGGAGAAATCTGAGGATCTAAGGAATTTAGTTTGTGGCTGCTTCAACAGCAGAGCTGGAATCTGATCAATCTCTCAACTGGCTACCACTCCATCACTTTTCTAATTACTAGAGGGCATGAGCTGGCAGTCTGTATCTGGCTTGCACATTTTATTAATTAGTTTATTTATTGAGATGGAGATTTGCTATATTGTTCAGGTTGGTCTTGAACTTTTTTTTTTGCCAGCCCTGGGGCTTTGTTGAATGAACTCAGGGCCTGGGCACTGCCCCTGAACTTCTTTTGCACAAGGCTAGCACTCTACCACTTGAGCCACAGCACCACTTCTGGCTTTTTCTGTTTATATGGTACTGAGGAATTGAACCCAGGGTTTCATGCATGCTAGGCAAGCACTCTACCACTAAGCCACATTCCCAGCTCTGGTCTTGAACTCTTAGGTTCCAGTGATCTTCCTATCTCAACTTTCCAAGTGCTGGCAGTTCAGGCATGGACTACTATATCCAATTTGCAAGTAAGTTTTGATTTGGATAGTATGTTTAAAACTGTTAACAGCCAGGTGCTGGTGGCTCATACTTTGCAATCCTAGTTACTCAGGAGGCTCAGATCTGAGGATCACGGTTCAAAGCTAGCCTGGTCAGAAAATCTGTGAGCCTCTCATCTCCAATTAATCACTAGAAAACTGGAGGCGGAGCTGTGGCTCAAAACAGTAGAGCACTAGCATTGAGTGAAAGAGCTCAGAGACCAGTGCTCAGGCCCTGAGTTCAAGCCCAACTGACAACAAACAAACAAAAACTACCCAAAAGGGCTGGGAAGGTGGATCAGTGGTAGAGTGCTTGCTTTGCATGCGTGAGGCCCTGGGTTTGATTCCTCAGCACCACATAAACAGAAAAAGCCAGAAGTGGCGCTGTAGCTCAAGTGGTAGAGCACTTGCCTTGAGCTGAAGAGCTCAGGGACAGCGCCCAGGCCCAGAGTTCAAGCCCCATGACTGACAAACAAACAAACAAAACCCACAAAAAATAACACCCAAAAAACAACTGCTATCAATTAGGCACTAGGGAAGGAAGTACAGCGAAGTTGTAGTGTGAGCACTTAATATGCAAGAGGTGCTGAGTTCAATCCCTAGTACTCCCTCCAAATGATTACCCACATTTCCAAATTGGCTATTTTGTATTAGTATTTTGATTTTCTTTGGGATAGAACTGAGGACCTCCCACTTTCTAGGCAAGGGCTCTACCACTTGAGGTATGCCCCCATTTGGATTTCTGACTTCTTTTTAGAAGGAACAAGAGAAGACTTGATTGACACCAAGCCTCACATTTTCCTACAACAATCAGTTGGTGCTTTAGATGCATGCCTGCCTAGAATACAGTCTCTACTGCTCTTCATTCTTACCCATGGCCACAGTGAATCTTACTCTTTATTCCCAACCCAGTTTTTATAGGTCAAGATTGCATGCCATGCCTGCAGCCTTCTCTGCTGTCTTGCTTCCTACTGGTCAGAAGTTTGCCAAACCTAAAGACAACATTTTGTTGTTGTTGCTGTGTTCCCTATGTCTCTGATCACAGAGTTGTATATGCATATCTGACTTCAATACTAAGTGATCTTCTAGTTTTCATAAAAGAATATGGGGATTCCCTGTTCCTCAAGTTATACATTTTTGTTTATCCTAGAAAAATTCTAAATTCAGCCTTTAAGTTAGCTGGGAAAAAATTACAGCAAATCATCCACTTGCTGTAATGCAAGGTGTTGACAAGAATGAAACCACAGCGAGCAATGCCACCAAGTGGTGGAGTGATTTGATGCAGAATTGCCACCAGTAGTCAGGAGAGAGAGGGGGAGGGGGGGAGGAGAGAGAGAAAGAGAGGGAGGGACAGAGGAGAGAGAGGGGGGGGGAACCTCACTCAAATTATAGGGCCATTCAGAAACTAGAAATAATAATGCATGCCTAGGACTAGGGGTGTGGTTCATGTGGTAGAGCACCTGTCTAACAAGTATAAGGCCCTGAGCTCAAATCTCAGTACTGAGGGGTGGGGGAAGCTTGCACTTTTCCATAAGCTAGTTCTTCTGAGGTTCTCTTTGAAAAAGCTAGGGACATAAGACAGCTACACCAGGAGCTATGCTTCTTCTTCTTCTTTTTAAACCACCTTTTGGATCCATTTTCTGTTTGTTTCTTTCCTTAAGCATGCAGCCATTTTCAAAAAGTGTGAGCAGGGAGCTATTGAATTCTTTTAATATCAGCATAGCAAGGAGGTTAAAACATATTAAAAGCTCCCCAAATTTCTCTTTGAAAAACAAGACTGAACCTCTTGAGAGTAGAATTTCACATGCATTGAGCACTTAGGAGGAAATAAAACTACTTTAGAGTGAAGAACTGACAACTCCAAATCTTTGTTCTCAGCCGCCTTGCCAGTGACCCCTGGGAGACCTGTCAGAAGGAAAACCAGGAACATCCCTAGTTTTTCAGTGTATTCTAGAAACCTAGGCCATTTTGAAGACACAAATGAGAATTTTTCTTCTTTTTCCTTTTCTCTCCTCGTCAGCATAGAAACCGTTGTGGGCACTTGCCAATCAGTTCCCAGTTCACTGTCAGCTCTCTTCTCCCTCCCCACTTCAATGCCTTCTGAATAATTTTCTAAAAGGAATAGTTTTCTGAAAGGAACATGAGTAGCTTGAGGGATGATGGCGGAGGCAAGATCATCAGTTCAAGGCCAACCTGGGCTTGAAAAATTAAAATGACCTGGTCACTTCCAAGTATCCTGTTCTACTGTCCACACATTTCTATCCCCTCAGAGGTGAAGTATTACCATTCTGAAAGTCATAGTCACTATTCACACAAGAGAATTAAAACAGGATCACAGAGAGAAAGGCTGAGAAGTCGATTTTTTTGTTTACTTGTATGAGGAAAACAACACATGGGCATCCACAGTATTTAATTTGTTTGGGTAATAGTTACAGATAAACAGATACACTCCATATATAATTACCAATACGTTTTATACAGTTCATATTTCAGTACAACACTATTTTATTTACACTCTATTTATGTACATTAACGTCTTTCTAAAGTCAGTGCATTGTCAACAAGTTTTATACAGAAATTTACAAGGTGAATGTAAGTTAATAGTTAATTTAATAAATTTTCTGCTAGTTCATGAATTTAAAAAATTAATTACAACCAATATAACAAACACAGATCAAACAACATTAGTAGATTGTGCTACCTGTTTAAATAAAACATCTGTAAGGAAATTATTTAAAATCTACTTTTTTCATGGGACTTGTCTAGGTAGAAATGGACAGATTGGATACACTGAAAATCTTGAGACTACAATGTATGCATTTTGACTTCATTACATTAAATCATTTGGCCATTCCTTCCTACTTGCAATTATATTCTTCTGAAAAAAGTTCCAACTTAGGAAGCCACTTAAGGCAACCTTTCTAAATGCTCTGGGAAGAACTAGTAGTTACTGGCCTCAGATATCACAACACGAATGCTTAATTACACTGGCATTTACTACCCATGAGGAAGGAAGGTTAAAAGGAGCTGACTGTGAGAATTAACTTCTAGGGTCCAAATAAAAATTTTTAAAAAGAACAAAAAATAAGGAGAAACATTTCCTTTGAATAGATATTAAAACACAACACAGGAAAAAAATGCTGCTTGAAAATAAATAACATTCATTTTTGTTCCAGTCTTGAATAATCAGAAGAAAAATGATATAAGCAAAGATACAACTTTTGATGACTAGTGCAAAAAAAAAAAAAAAAACAACAAATCAAGAACAAACAAAACAAAAACCCTAAATAAAAAAATGAATGGATGTGCAAACCAAACAGTTTACTTTCTAAACTCACCAATTTCATTAAAACTACACTAACTACCAAGGTTTGGGATGTGTTTTGTTTTTAAATTTTTATAAGATGGGGAAAATACCCCCAATCAAGTTAGTTTATAGCCCTTAGAGCCATCAAAATGTAAGTCTGTTTGCATGTATTTTCTTTTTTAAAGTGCAAAACAAGAAACAGGGAGAAAAACCACCACTAATGTGAAACACCATCTAACTCTGACGCCACATACTCTCCTAGAACCTCTGTGCAACACGTGCATGGAAGATGGTGCAAACATTGGCAACCACCCTGCCACACTCACAGTGTGTGGGGGAGAAAGTTTTGAGGACACTTGGAGTATCCTACAAGAAGGGATGCCTTTATCAGCGCAGCCATTTTAGTTGGCTTTCACAGATGCTTTCTTTCTTTCTCCTGGATCTTCCAACTAAGACCCCGGCCCAAAGGACATAGCTTTTTAAAAGATTATCCCTCTCAGATTGACCACTATATGTCTCTGCCACCAATGACTGGTTGTGTCTCAAACACAAACACAGTAACAGAAAGCAAGAAAGACTTAGGAAGAGCGGGGAAATGGGTTTAAAAGATGAAAACTCTGTGTTCATGGCATGAGATTCATTTGCATACCTTTCAAGATCTTGCTTTCTTATATTGTCAATATAACTTCAGGGAAAAGGAGGTAGCATATCATGTCGTCCTAGACAACACTACAATTTAAAAAAAAACTTTTTTTTTTACTTTGACTCTAAGGAAATCCTTAGTATTTTGTTATGATTATTGGTAAACTCTATCCTCACTACAAGTCTGTTCATATCTGGACAAGCACAATTTAATTCTTATTTGGTCCCAGGTGGTTGGTGCCAAACCCTTTTGTTTACAGGCTAATGGTAGAATCTGCCTAAAGGTTCTCAACCAGAGAGACTTCAAAACAAAATGGTTATTATTCTTAAGCTTCACTGCTATTTTAATTAGGATTTTTCTTTTGTGCTTCAGGGTCACAGAATAAAATAACTACATTTAGTCTGCCTTTCAGTGATGCTTTTGCCAAATGTCAGCTACAAGGAGTCATCTCTCCCACATCACCAGCCCATCTAGCAGCACAGCAGTAGCCTTCACTGTAACACACAGTACTTTTTGTAATCAGACTCAAAGTCTTCGTCCATGCTGCTCGTGTCTGCCATCTTTTTGCCATCAATCTTTGGCAGAAATTGTGCATAGTCTATCCCCCGCTGCTCATAGAAAAGAATGTAGGCAGAGTCAGTGTCAATTTCATCAGGGTGAAGTTCCTAAAGGGCAAGAAAAGCCTTTAATATACAAGTTATCATGATATTGGCTCTTTGTTTTTGTTTTTTTTTTTTTTATGCCAGTCCTGGGGCCTGAACTCTGGGCCTGGGTGCTGTCCCTCAATTCTTCAGCTCAAGGCTAGCGCTCTGCCACTTGAGCCACAGCGCCACTTCTGGCTTTTTCTGCTTGTGTGGTGCTGAAGAATTGAACTCAGGACCTCATGCATGCAAGGCAAGCAATCTCACTGAGCCACATTCCCAACACCATGGCATCGGCTCTTAATCCTAGCTAGGGCAAGGAAGACCAGCCCTCTCTAATGAGTGAACCTAATTGCTTCCATTCAACTTAATTTGTCTGCAGCTTCACACCTGCCCTGAAAATGAACTCCATTCTTCTTAATTTTTTTTTTTTTTTTTTGGGTCTGGTTGTGGGGCCTGAACTCTGGGCCTGGGTGCTGTCCCTCAGCTCTTTAGCTCAAGGCTAGTGCTCTACCACTTGAGCCACAGCACCACTTCTGGCTTTTTTCTTTTTGCTTATGTGGTACTGAGGAATCGAACCCAGGGCTTCAGGCATGCAAGGCAAGCGTTCTACCACTGAGCTACCTTCCCAGCCCCTAATTTTTTTTTTTAATGCTGGTACTGCAGATTGAATTCAGGGCCTCACTTTCTTGCTTGGCTTTCTTGCTTAAGGCTGGTGGCTTTACCACTTGAGCCACACCCCCAACTTCTGGCTTTTTGCTATTTAATTGGGGATAAGAGTTTCTGTCTGCATGGCTTTAAGCCAGGATCCTCAGATCCCAGCCTTCTGAGTAAATAAGATTGTAGCCATGAGCCACTGGTGCCAAGCTGAGCCCCATTATCTTTAATAATTATTTTAGGGGAAAATATGTTCTAAAATCCTATAGAAGTTTAATGTTTCAAAAGATTGGGTAGAGCCCAGCCCTCAGTAGAGTACTTGCCTAACATGCATGAATCCTTAGGCTTGATACTCAGCACCACAAAAAACAAAGCCAAAACACTCTCCCCACCCTAAAATTCTTGTCTCAAAACCCTGAACATTCGAATCTTTTTCCTCATTTCTTTCTTTCTTTTTTTTTTTTTTTTGCCAGTCCTGGGGCTTGAACTCAGGGCCTGGGCACTGCTCTTGAGCTTCTTTTGCTCAAGGCTAGTGCTCTACCACTTGAGCCATAGCACCACTTCTGGCTTTTTCTGTGTATGTGGTTCTGAGGAATCGAACCTAGGGCTGTATGCATGCAAAGCAAGCTCTACCCCTAAGCCACATTCCCAGCCCCTTTTTCCTCATTTTTCATGTTCTCATTCCTCTCCCAGCATTTCACTTTTGTTCCCTTATTAACCATCTATACACCAACCCTAACAGAAACATCTATGTCCTATCCAAGAGAAAGCTTATTACTTTAACGATGTTTCCCAGCTTTGTTGACATTTGGTTTCTATATTTCATACAAAGACTGTGAACATTTACCTTACAGCTGCTGTCATTGTAACAGTACCACTTGCAGTTTGGGTTTTTGGCGTAAGTCACGTAATGGCCCCCACCCAGGATTCCTGAATGGCACTAAAAAGATAAGAGAGTGGCAGATGTTAGTAGTTACTACCATGTCAGGGAATAACATGATGATCTGAACAAGAGAACAGCGATTACTTAGGTGGGTACAAAAGAAAAAATGATTTGGAACCATCTATTTTTTCCCCCAAGAACAAAAGAAAAACCCAAACGTTGTAAGTCTAAATGTTGTGTTGATAAACATCCATTTTCTAGTCAATTTTTTTTAAAAAACAGGGTCTTGCTATATAGCTCAGGATGTCAACTTGAGGTTTTATCTCATCTTCCCAAATGTTGGGATTATAGACATTATAGACATAAGCTACTATGCCTGATTCTCTCTCTCTATATTTATGTTGATCATGTGGCCTGAACTCTGGGCCTGGGCTCTGTCCCTCAGCTCTTCAGCTAGCATTCTACCACTTGAGCCACGGTGCCACTTCTAGCTTTTTCTGCTTATATGGTGCTGAGGAATTGAACCCAGGGCCTTGTGCATTCAAGGAAGGACTCTACCACCGAGTTACCTTCCCAGCCCCATATTAGATGGGGCTTTTTAAAAAGCAAAAATTCCTTAGAAGCACACAATAATGATTTGAACTTCTGACTCCACTTTTTTTCCATGATCTTTAAGTGTTTTTTTAAAAATTGTTTTAGAGGTGATATATAGCAAGGTTAACTTTACGTATATCAAGTGATATATACATTTCATTCCTTTTGCTTAGTATCAGCAGTTCCTTCCTTCTCTTTCATTTTTTTTTTTTTTAATGCCTGTCCTAGGGCTCAACTGAACTTAGGGCCCTTGGTGCTGTCCCAGAGTGTTTTCTCTCCTTAAGACTAGTGTTCAACCAAGTCCAGAGTTCAAGCCCCACGACCGACCAAAAAAAAAAAAAAAAAAAAAGACTAGTGTTCAAATGCTACCATTTGAGCCAAGCTCCACTTCCAGCTTTTTGGTGGGTAACTGGAGATAAGGGTCTCATGAACTTTCCTGCCAGGGCTAGCTTTGAACCATGGCCCTCAGATCTCAACTTCCTGAGTAGTTAAGATCACAGGTGTGAGCCACCAGCACCTGGCTTGACGCCACTTATAAATTATGTGACCATCTCAATATCATACTTCAAGATCCTTGGGTTCTACCCAGAAGGCCAAGATTTCTTTATTAACTTTTGTCTATCATCAATCTTTATGCTTAGCAAATAAACAAGTCTTAAAAAAACTCTTATTGATGACATGAACAAACTACTAAAAAGTACAGACTATGAAAACCACACAACAAATCACTTACTGAAATTGCATATAGATTATAAATAGGTTTCATATGACTATCTTCTCTTTGGTCATCAGTGCTGTCCTCTTCACTGTGGTTTCCAAGTTGACCATTGCTGTAGCCATTGCCACATGCCTCATGCTCATAAAGAAATCCATTGGCCAAAGTGACTTCATGGTCCTGAGGGGTGACCAGCTCCAGCTGGCTGCCTCCCAGCATATGCTCTCTGCTCAAGGTATCAGCCAGCTCACAGATCTGCCCAGCCCCATTCTCTCGGCTGGCATCCAAGTTCTCCTTACTACTTGACAACTTGTTTTTGCTACCTATCTGAGGCAGCCGGAGCCTCCCTTTGCTCCTCCCCAAAGTCCGTGGGCTACTGTTTGGGCTGCTGTTTTTGCTGGAGGGACAGCTAGTTCCACCTTTCCTTGATGAAGAAGGAGAACCTGTGAAGTGAGAGGGATATTTCTAAGTCCAAATACCACAAGTCAGATACCAAAGGCTATATTTGAAACTAGTGTCACAAATGCACACATAAAGTCAAAGCCAGGGGAGTCCTGACTGGCTACTCTAGTTCCTACAACAGAACTAAAAAGTAAGTTAGGCTAGAAATATCCTGAAAATGTAAAAGTTCTTGTAGGGATTTAGAAAATAACAAAGATAAATTAAACAATCTTCAATTCTAAATAAACAATATGATTATTAGACTAGGGAGTTTTATACATAGATATTCTTCTTCATAAAGGTAGATAAAAAAATATGACCAGGGGTGGAAGGGGGGTGGGAGATGGGAAGGGGAAACAAAGGAGGAGTCAACAATGCTTGATAAGAAATGTACTCATCTTGCCCATGTAATTGTAACCCCTCTATACGGTATTTTCACAATAAAATTTTAAAAAAAGAAAAATATGATCAGATGGGCATTGTTGGGCCATGCTTGTAACTTAGCTGACATATGAGGATCATGATTGGAAGCCAGTCTGGGGAAGCAAAGTCCATGAGATCTTATGTCCAATAAAGACCTAAAAAAGCTGTGACTCAAGTCACAGAACACAGAGCCCGGGCCCGAGTTCAAGTCTTAGGACTGGCACAAAAAAATTAAGAAAGAAAATATCTATATGACCACTATTTATTGAGTATTGTTTCCTATACCCAAAACAAATCTAACATGGAAAGAGTTCTACTCCATCCCTCTTTTTTTTGTAGTCAAGGCTGGTGCTCTACCAGTTGAGCCACAGCTTCACTTCTGGCTTTTTGGGGGTAGATGATTGGAGATAAGTGTCTCATAGACTTTCTTGCCTGTACTGGCTTTGAACTGTGATCTTCAGATCTCAGCCTCCTGAGTAAGATTACAGGAGTGACCCATTGGCACTGGCTTCCAGTGCACTTTTTGAGAATGAAGATTAAAAAGTCAAAGGGCTGGGGATACAGCTCAGTGTTAAAGAGTATTTGCCTAGCATAAACAAAGCTGTGGTTTCGATCTTATCTGTGGATTCTGCATCAATGGATTCAATCACAGATCAAAATTACTTGAAAAATGATTGCATTTCTTTTGCGTTGATATGTTTTCTTGTCATTTTTTCTTTCTTTTTTTTTGGGTCTGGTCATAGGGCCTGAACTCTGGGCCTGGGCACTGTCCCTCAGCTCTTTACCTCAAGGCTAGTGCTCTACCTCTTGAGCCACAGCGCTACTTCCGGCTTTTTTCGTTTTGCTTATGTGGTGCTGAGGAATTGAACCCAGGGCCTCATGCATGCAAGGCAAGCGCTCTACCACTGAGCCACCTTCCCAGCCTCTTTTCATTTTTTCTTAACAACAGTTTAACAACTACTTGCCTAGCATTTACATTGTACTTGGTATTATACAAAACCTAGAGATGATTAAAAATTTAAAGAGGTTACAAGTACAGGTTACATGTAAATTTTACATTGTTTTATGTAAGGAACAAGATCACTGTAGATTTTAGTTTCTATGAGAAGTCCTGGAGCCAAATGTCTCATGGAACCAAGAAATAAATAACAACTACATGTAGTTCTTAAGACTTCATCGTGTCTTTTGGACTTTTTATTTTGTGCTAGGCCTGGGGTTTGAACTCAGGGCCTGGCACTGTCCCTGAGTTTTTGTGTTCAAGGCTAGTATTCTACTGCTTGAGCAATAGCTCCATTTCCAAATTTGTTTTTTTTCTTTTTTGTAGTTAACCGGAGAAGTATATTACTCCTGATACTTCAAATCCTCAAACTTGATACAGACTTTCCTGCCTGGCCTGATTTTGAAATATGATTTTCAGATCTCAGTAGCTAGGATTATAGGCATGCTACCAGCACTTTTTTTTTTTTGGGTCCAGTCGTGGGGCCTGAACTCTGGGCCTGGGCACTGTCCCTCAGCTCTTCAGCTCAAGGCTAGCGCTCTACCACTTGAGCCATAGTGCCACTTCCAGCTTTTTTCTTTTTGCTTATGTGGTGCTGGGGAATTGAACCCAAGGCCTCAGGCATGCAAGGCAAGCGCTCTACCACTCAGCCACCTTCCCAGCCCCTGCACTTATTTTTTTATTGATTTTTTTTTGTGCTGCTTCTAAGGCTTAAACTCAGGACCTTGGTGCTATCCTGAGCTGCTTCCTCCTCCTTTTTTTTTTTTTTTGGGTGGTCATAGGGCTTGATCTTAGGACTTGGTTGTTTTCCCTGAGGTTTTCTGTTTTAAGGCTAGTACTCTACCACTTTGAGCCACAGAACCACTCTTTGGTTTTCTGGTAGTTAATTAGTGGTGTCTCTCGGACTTTCCTGACAGCTGGCTTTGAACCGAGATCCTCAGATTTCAGCCTCTTGAGTAGCTAGGATTATAGGCATGATAGCCACCAGCACCCAGCTTCTTCTTTGCTCAAGGCTGGTGCTCTACCACTTGAGCCATAGCCCCACTTGTCTTTTTTTGTTTTGGTAGTTTATTGGAGATAAGAGTCTTATGGATTTTCCTGCTTGGGATGGCTTTAAACCACTGTCTTCAGATCTCTGCCTCCGAAGTACCTAGGATTATAGGTGTGAATACCCGTATTTTTACAGAAATAATTTTTTTTTTGCCAGTTGTGGGGCTTGAACTCTGGACCTGGGCACTGTCCCTCAGCTCTTCAGCTCAAGATGAGTGCTCTACCACTTGAGCCACAGTGCCACTTGTGGCTTTTTCTGTTTATATGGTGCTGAGGAATCGAACCCAGGGACTCATGCATGCAAGGCAAGCACTCTACCACTGAGCCACCTTCCCAGCCCCAGAAATAATTTTGATATTGAAGACTTCTTGAAAGAGTCTCAGGGACCTATAGGGATTTCAACAGTATACTTTGAAGACCTGTGCTATAAAGAAAGGAGATGACAACTGCCATTCATGTTACTAAATATTAGACATTATGTAAAGTATACCTTTTTTTGTTGTTGTTGTTCGGTCATGGGTCTTGAACTCTGGGTCGGGGTGCTGTCCCTCAGCTCTTCAGCTCAAGGCCAGCACTCTACCATTGAACCACAGCACCACTTCCAGTTTTCTGGTGGTTAATTGGAGGTAAGACTCTCATGGAGGGGCTGGGAAGGTGGCTCAGTGGTAGAGCGCTTGCCTTGCATGCCTGAGGCCCTGGGTTCGATTCCTCAGCACCACATAAGCAGAAAGAAAAAAGCCGGAAGTGGCACTGTGGCTTAAGTGGTAGAGCACTAGCCTTGAGCTGAAGAGCTGAGGGACAGCGCCCAGGCCCATAGTTCAGGCCCCACGACCAGACCCCCCCCCCCCCCCAAAAAAAAAAAAAAGACTCTCATGGACTTTCCTGCCCAGGCTGGCTTTGAGCCATGATCCTCAGATCTCAGCCTCTTGAGCTGAGGATTACAGGCATGAACCACTGGGCCCAGCTAAGTGTATCATTCCTGATACTTCAAATCCTCAAACTTGATATTGTCTCTACTTTTTGATGAGACACTAGATTTAGGAAAGTTATATCTCTTACAATAAGTTACACAGCTCCAATATGGGTAGGTCTTATTCTAGAAAGGTTCCTTTCACCTCACCAAGCCCTAGAAGACAGAGGGAAATATCAGCCTATCAGGGATTAAGAAACCTTGCCTCTCCTCCCCCCCCCCCCCAGCCAGGTATGGTGGCATATGCTTCGAGTTTATTGCCATCGGGGGCTATATAGTAAAACTTGTCTCAAAGAAAAAAAGCAGCAGCAGCAGCAGAACTCTTCCATCAAGTCCTCACCTTTTGGGCTACTAGTGATGTTTGCACTGAGTGAAGAAGGACTTGTGCTCAGGAGCACATCTTCTTCACCTGCTGAGCTCTGGGCATCCACTTTCTTTACTTCTTCTGGAACCCTTGATTCAGAGAAGTCATCCCCCTGGGGTGTGAGAGCTTTGTGCTGGCAGATAGCTGGGTCTCTTGGTACCAAAAAAGCACTAGGATCAAAACTTTCACGAGGAAATTTAACAATTTTCTGTGATTTTATCCACCGGCCATTTACAAACTGAAATCTTTTCAGGTGAATAATCTGGAGAAGAAAAGGCAGGAAACATCTGCATTAAAGGATTCTGAGGATATAAAAATTCCATTATGAAAAACAATGTATAATATTTAATTTTCTTTTTCTTTTCTCTTTCCTTTCTTTCTTTCTTTCTTTTTTTTGTGCTGGTCCTAGAGCTTGAATTCAAGGCCTGGGAGCTTTCTCTGAAAAAAACATTTTTTTTTTCCCCCCTCAGAGCTAGTGTTCTACCATTTGAGCCACATGGCTTTTTGGTACTTAATTGTCTTAAAGACTTTCCTGCCCAGGCTGGCTTTGAACTATGATCCTCAGATCTCAGCCCCCTGAGTAGCTAGGATTATAGGCATGAGCCACTGGGCTTCCCTGAGCTTCTTTTTGAACAAGGCTAGCACTATACCACTATGAGCCATAGTGCCACTTCTGGCTTTTTCTGTTTATATGGTACTGAGAAATTGAATCCAGGTTTTCATGTATGTTACGCAAGCACTCTACCACTAAGCCACATTCTCAGTCCTCATTAGCCTTTAAATACCTCAAAACTATGTTCCTTATAACTGCCTTTACTCCATGATGTTTATGGGGTGGTTATAGGAGTATATAAAATTGTTAAAATCCATCCAGCTGGACATTTATTTATTTATTTTTGTTGGTTGTGGGGTTAGAATGCAGGGCCTGGGCACTGTCCTTGAGCCTTTTTCGCTCAAGGTTTCATGAACTTTCCTGCTTGGGCTGGCTTTGAACTGTGATCTTCAGATCTCAGTAAGCCACTGGTGCCTGGCAAACTGGACATTTAAAATCTATGCATTAACTGCATGCTAATTATACCTTAATTTAAAATCTCCAGATTTACTGTGTTCCCAGCTTTACTGTGTACCTGTCCTTTCCTTCCCTCCCTTCCCCTAGCTCTCACTTCTGGAGATAGCTAAAACAATGCCATCAGTTTTTGCCTTGGGAAGCGGTTTTGGAAAAAAAAAATCGACATTCAGTTTCACAGAGCGATAGGATGAAGACACAAATAAAAAAATACAATGTCTGTTTATAATATCCAAGCACTGCTGAAGTACAAGCACAAGATCCTGAATTCTATCTCCAGCAAGCTCCCTCAACACATTCTCTCCTGCTAAAAGGTAATTGTATCCATAGGGAAAATGCTTTCTTAAATAAATTTGTTGCTTTAAACTGTTCTATTGGGCAACAGGAAAGTCTCCTAATCCATGAAGGAAATAGGAAGAAGGAAATAAAATCTAAAGCAATATACAAACTCCTGTGCATTGGTGGAAATACACTCGACTCAGAAGTAAGCCGAGCATGAGACCACACTCAGTGGGCTCGGGAAGCTCCTGGCTTGGTTGTTCTACTATAATTTAATAGCCTAAGGTTTCCTTTCTGCATACAGCCAGAAGAGCTTTCATCCCTTTTGGAAGTTCAAATTTACTTAGGGTATTCTACTGTGGAACTTCAATGTCATGCTGAATTGCAGTTACTGGCCTGTTACTTCCCTCCTCCTAGGCTTAAGCTCTTCAGAAGCAAAAAACACAAATAGTTTTAGAACAATTAATCTCCATGCTCAATATAAAAACCTTGCACAGAAAAGGTGTTTTAGGAAATTTTTTTACTTTTGGTGGTACTGGGGAGGTTTGAATTCAAGACTTTGTGATATCTTAGGTGTTTTACTACTTTAGTCATGTCTCTAGCTCAGAAAGTGGTGTAAAGACTACCATAGCTTTTCAAAAACAACAATAACTCATTTATGGTTTATTTCCTTTACATCAGACTCTTGCTGTTCAGAGGCAGGGCTGGAACATACCAGGATGGGGGGAAGCCTCCAGAGATCCAGCTTCTTGGTTGCCAAGCAATGAGTTTTACACTTGGAACAGTAGTACATCTCATTTTCCCCTAGCTCCTCCTCACTGGTGAAAGCCCGGAGACAGTTGTCTAGGTTGATGGGCTCAGCTTGTGCTCGCCGACTCTGCTCTACACTCTCATGCTCATCTACAACCTGCAGGAAGAGGGGACAGGAGGGTGCTTAAAATAGTCACCTAGATTTTCATTAGCCTGTCAGTCACTCATTATCTGTATGAGTAAAGAGAAATTACAACCTAAATTAGAGTCCATGCCTTTTATTTCATAAATATCATATCAACAATATCCTGAATAAATTTTCTTTTCTTTTCCTTTTTTTTTTTCCAATCCTGGGGCTTGAACTCAGGGCATGGGCACTGGCCCTGAGCTTCTTTTTGTACAAGGCTAGCACTCTATCACTTGAGCCATTGCACCACTTTTGGCCTTTTCTGTTTATGTGGCACTAAGAAAGTGAACCTAGGGCTTCATGCATGCTAGGCAAGCACTCTACCACTAAGCCACATTCCCAGCCCCTGAATAAACTTTCTATCCATATGACCTGTCTTTTTTTTTTTTTCCATTTTGATAAATATTACTTTACATGATTAGAGGCACAGAGGCATTGAGCCTTTGGGTTCTAAATTTTCCTGAAAAATTTCTGACAAGGCATTGCTTGTCTATTTCACAATTTTGGAATTCTCAAAACTGTTTACATGTAAACTAGTTTTCAACCTAGGGTTACTAAGAATAGTCATTTTTTAACCAGCCTTATTAGTATGATGCAGGCCTTACAGATAGGAGAAATAGTGTCACTAAACACAGATGCCAAATTTAGATGAAGGATACAAAAAAAAAACCACACACTAAGACAACATATCAAATAATATAACTTATTTGCATATCAGCACCAGATTTATTAGAATACACAGATTTATTAGAGTACCAGGTGTACTAGCTGCTTCCTGCCTCTGTTTTGGGGGCCTTTTGTGGGAGGAAGTGATACCAATGACCCAACCAAATACCTCATACATACTAGGAAAGCACTCTACCACTGTGCTACCCTAGTCCTGTGGGGCCTTTAAATAATAAAAGGAAGAACAAGCTTACATGCTTTTGTTAAGAAGGCCCCTAACATCTGCCCAAACACCAGAAATTCTGGGAACCAGCATGCTAGGTTTTGGAATAATAGGGCAGTAAGTATAAAAGAGGAGAGAACAAGGGCTAGAGTATAGTTTAGTGATAGTAATGCTTGCCTAATATATTTGAGGGTCTGGGTTCAATCTCCAACATGAAGGGAATACAAAAACAAAAAAAGGAGAGGAAAGCAAGCGGTAGGGGGGACAAAAGAAAAGAAAGTGGCAGGAGGCTGAGATCTGAGGATCAAGGTTCAAAGCCAGCCCAGGCAGGAAAGTCCGGGGGACTATTTCCAATTAAACACTCAGAAACCTGTAAGTGGCCCTGTGGCTCAAGTGGTAGAGCATCAGCCTTGAGCTGAAGAGCTGAGAGACAGCGCCCAGGCCAAGTTTAAGGCACCTCCCCACCCCCAACAACAACAACAAAAAACGGGATGTGGTAAGAAGGAGCAAGACAGGGAAGTGGCTAGAATGCAACAGTAAGATTTTTTTCCCTCTCCCATTCCAGGCTACCATCTGAAAAACAATCCAGAACTACAGAGAACCTTCTTATTGTCTCTACTATGGATAAAAAGATGGGAAAGCCCTAAAATCAGGGATATGAAGGTCACAATGAGACTTCAGAGGTATTTTTAGGCAGAGCCTTCACTCCAAGCCCAACAGTGACTTGCCTCTCTTTCTGGCAAAGGTCATACATTTTTGCCTATCATCCCACTTATTACCTTTTCCCCACAGAGGTGGACTGCTTATCTTTACCTGAAGCAATTTCTTGCATGTTTCCCTCACTGAAATTCATGGGAACAGTGAGTTGCTTGGATTACTAACTGTCAGAACTTAGCTCATTCCATTTAGAATAGGTTTTTTTCTTTTTCTTTCTTTTCTTTGGTTAGTGGTGGGGCTTGAACTCAGGGCCTGGACACTGTCCCTGAGCCCTGAGTTGCTCAAGGATAACACTCTACCACTTTGAACAATAGTACCACTTCAGGTTTTCTGGTGGTTAACTGGAAATAAGATCTCATAGACTTTCCTGCCTGGGATGTCTCTGAACCGTGATCCTCAGATCTCAGCCTCCTGGATAGCTAGGATTACAGGCATGAACCACTGGAGCCCAGCCTAGAACAGATTTTCAGGAGAGACTTTCCCTAAAGGAGAGGATGGCTGAATCACCAGGCTGTCAAATGCCCCAATAAACTGTCAAGGTTGGAATCCAGCATATAATTAAGGTTTTAGCATTGCATCATCATGTGAACTAAATAACTCATTTCAAAATAGTAACTTAGGTCAGATGCCAGTGGCTCATACTTGTAATCCTAACTACTCAGGATGCTGAGATCTGAATGAAGATCAAGGTCCAAACCTAGCCTGGGTATTTAGTCTGTGAGACTCTTATCTTGAATTAACTACTCAAAAAAAGCTAAAAATGGAACTGTGGTTCAAGTGGTAGAGCACTAGCTTTGAGCACAAAAGGGCTCATACTCTAGGCCTAGGTGCTGTATCTGAGCTTCTTTTTGTTGAAGACTAGTGCTGTATCATTTGAGCCACAGCACCATGTCCAGCTTTTTTTCTTTTTTTCCCCTGTGATTAACTGAAGATAAGTCTCACAGGCCTTCTAGCCTCAGCTGGCTTCAAATCACAATCCTTAGATCTTAGCCTCTTGAGTAGCTAGGATTACAAGCGTAAACCACTGGTGCCCAGATAAAATCTGGTTGTTGTTTTTTTGTTGTTTGTTTGTTTGTTTTGGGGGGGGCCGGTCGTGGGGCCTGAACTCTGGGCCTGGGCGCTGTCCCTCAGCTCTTCAACTCAAGGTTAACGCTCTACCACTTGAGCCACAGTGCCACTTCCGGCTTTTTTCCTTTTGCTTATGTGGTGCTGAGGAATTGAACCCAGGGCCTGATGCATGCAAGGCAAGCAAGGCAAGCGCTCTACCACTGAGCCACCTTCCCAGCCCCTGTTGTTTGTTTTAACAAAGGAAATCTGCTTTCATCTTGGGTGACTGACTTCTGTGCATAAATTCTATTTTAATTTGTATTTTTGAGAAAAGGTCTCACTATGTATCCCAAGCTGGCCTTAATTTCCTGGTTCTCCTTCCTCCATTTCCAGAGTGCTAGGATTATAAGCATGAGCCCTCATGACTGTTTTTCTCAGTGTCTTTTGAGTTTGTCACTTAAAAGGAAAAATGGATGTGCTTTAAAGGAAACGTGTATCAGGGTTTTGGGCACGAGCAGAAACAGGTGTATCAAATATAGCAGTGTCTCTTAAAGCAAGTTAAATATTACCTCTATTCTGTCCAAAATGTTTTATGGCCAACCACATATTATAGTATGCTAGTAAAAGTTGTTGATTTTTATTGACTGTATATTCTGTGGAACACAGGCTATAGAGGGAGGTGGGTACTGGGGAAAAAGGAAGACTGACAAAAACATTTGTAGACCGAAAATAGTTTAGCAATATAAGTTCCATAAATGAAAAAGGTTTCCTTCTTGGGATCCATGCTCAGATAATCTACTATTGTTTAAGTAGCATAATTATTTAATAGACTCAAAACTATAAGAAGATAGGTAGAGAAAGCATACACATTTTTAGGATGGTACTGGTCTCTGAACTCAGGGCTTCCTACTTACTAGGCAGATTGATGCTCTACCACTTGAGCTATGCCTACAGTTGTTTTACCTTTATATTACTATATTTTTTTAAATTGAAATTACTGAGGTTTGAACTCAGGCTTTTTTTTTTTTTTTTTCATTTTTGTTGGTTGTGGGGCTTGAACTCTGTCTGGGCCTAGGCATTGTCCCTCAGCTCTTCAGCTCAAGGCTAGCATTCTACCACTTGAGCCACAGCACCACTTCTGGTTTTCTGTTAATTGGAGATGATAGTCTCACAGACTTTCCTGCCTAGGCTGGCTTTGAACCTTGATGCTCAGATCTCAGCCTTCTGAGTAGCTAGGATTACAGACTTAAGCCACCAGTGCCCAGCTGAACTCAGGCTTGAACCCACTTGGCTAGGCTTCCTTGCTTGGCTTATGTTCTACTACTTGTACCATACCTCCCTCCAGCATGGCTTTCACTGGAGATTTTTTTTTTGTAGATGTCATAGATTTTTTGGCCCTGATTGGCTCTGAGCCATGATCCTCTGGATCTTGCCTTCCAAGTATCTGCGATTACAGATGAGAGCCAATGGCACCTGGTTCCCTTTATATTCTTTTTTTTTTTTTTTTTTTGCTAGTCCCCAGGAGTGAACTCAGAGTCTGGGGCCTGTCCCTGAGCTTCATTTTGCTCAAGGCTAATACTCTACCACTTTGAGCCACAGCACCACTTCCAGCTTTTTCTGTTTATGTGGTACTGAGGAATTGAACTGAGGGTTTCATGCATGCTAGGCAAGCACTCTACCACTAAGCCACATTCCCAGCCCATATATTCTTTTCATTCTTTTTTTTTTTTTTTTTGCCAGTCCTGGGGCTTGAACTCAGGCCTGAGCTTTTTTTTTTTCCCTCAAGGATAGCGCTCCACTTCCAGCTTCTTGGTGGTTAATTGGAGATGAGAGTCTGATGTACTTTCCTGCCCAGACTGGTTTCAAACTGTGATCCTCAGATCTCAACCTCCTGAGTAGCTAGGATTACAGGTGTAATAGTAAATAGTTGTGTGTGTGTGTGTGTGTGTGTGTGTACACGTCTGTGTTTTGTACTCTTCTCCCCCTGCTCCTAGAATAAGTTTTTGGAAGGAATATTACTAGAATAAAAAATATAATAAAGCAGGGCTTAAAGTGTGGCTCAAGTTGTAGAGCACCTGCCTTAGAAAGCTCAAAGCCCTGAGTTTAAACCCCAGTACCAACAAAACAAACCAACCTCCAACCCTTTCATATTCATAGAAAGCATACTGACAATAATCTCAACAATGAACCCAGATATCTCCTTTGTCTACATGACTCTCTAAGCACATGAAAAAAACCACATGTAGGAAGAGTCCAGATGAGTCATGCGCCCCCATTTCCCAGCAACATAGGGGCTCTCTATAGCTCTTGGTAGTCTAAGTCTAGCTATCACTGAAAGGGAAGTGAGGTGTGACTTTACAGGTCACTTAGTTCACTTCCTTCTGGTGGGATGTCCTCAAGCTTTTCAGATTACACACTGGACTTGTTAAAAGGGAAAGAGATTTACAAATCTATTTTTTTTTTTAAATTTTTAGTCAATCGTGGGACTTGAACTCTGGACCTGGGCACTGTCCCTCAGTTCTTCAGCTCAAGGCTAGCACTCTACCACTTGAGCCACAGTGCCACTTCCAGTTTTCTTGTAGTTTATGGGAGATAAGAGTCTCACAGATTTTCCTGCCCAGGCTGACTCTGAACTATGAACCTCAGATCTCAGCCTCCTTAGTAGCTAGGATTACAGGCATGAGCCACTGGCGTCTGGCCCAGATCTAATTTTTTAAAATCTTTTTTTAATCTTTTTTTTTTAATATCAGAATAATGTCCTGCCAGATTTTGTGCTGTCAAAGATTTAATAGTCTATCAATTGCTAAAATTTTCAAATTCAAATTCAAAGGAAAAATTACTGAGGTTTCTGAATTACCTTCATGATCTAGAGCTTCAATTTCTTTTTTTATTTTTCTTTTTAGTCTAGTGATCTTTTCATTTGGCAAGAATCCACAAATCACTGGACACTGTTGAAAATGAACTATACAACTTGTGTGTGGGGATGAGAGAGAAAAATTGGGAGAGAGTGAGAGAAAGGGTGACATCGTCCAAAAAGAAATATACCTTTTGTTTTTGTCAGTTGTGGAGCTGCAACTCCAGCCTAGGTGCTGCCCTTGAGTGTTTTTGCTCAAGGCTAGTGCTCTACCACTTTGAGTCACAGCTCCTTTTCCAGGTTTTTGGTGGTTAATTGGAGATAAGAGCATTGGACTTTCCAGTCTGGACTGGCTTTGATCCTCAGATCTCAGCCTCCAGAGTAGCTAGGGTTACAGGCATGAGCCACCAGTGGCTGGCAAAGAAATATACTCTTTACCCAACTTATGTAACTGTAACTCCTCTGTTCATCGATTTTATAGTAACAATAAAAAAATTTTAAGGGGCTGGGAAGTTGGCTCAGTGGTAGAGTGCTTGCCTTGCGTGCCTGAGGCCCTGGGTTCGATTCCTCAGCACCACATAAGCAAAAGGAAAAAAGCCGGAAGTGGTACTGTGGCTCAAGTGGTGGAGCGCTAGCCTTGAGCTGAAGAGCTGAGGTACAGCGCCCAGGCCCAGAGTTCAGGCCCCACGACCAGATCCCCCCCAAAAAAATTTTTTTTAAAAAAGAATTCACCAATTATACTCATTCTTGTGCTAAAGGGGCTACCAGGACATTCAGTGAATGTGGGGGCATACTCGGGGATTGAAATAAGGAATTAGATCCAGAATTGGGATTTTCTCAACTACTTAACAGCAAAAAAGAAGTTATTTATTTGTATTGGGAGTGGCGGTGGTACTAAGGCTTGACCTCAGTGCCTTGTACTTAAATAAGCAAGTACTCTTCTACCTGAATCCCTAGTCCTGAAAACGTCAATAAATATTATTAACTTATCTAGAGGGAATGTTTATTAATTTTAAATTTTAATTGAATTATTTTTTGTGTCAGTACTGGAGCCTGAACTCAGGACCACATGTTCCTGCTTAGCTTTTTTTTTTTTTTTTGTCGGTCGTGGGGCTTGAACTCTGGGCCTGGGCGCTGTCCCTCAGCTCTTCAGCTCAAGGCGAGCGCTCTACCACTTGAGCTACAGCGCCACTTCCGGTTTTCCGGTGGTTTATTGGAGATAGGAGTCTCATGGTCTCTCCTGCCCGGGCTGGCTTTGAACCGCGATCCTCAGATCTCAGCCTCCTGAGTAGCTAGGATTACAGGCGTGAGCCACCAGCGCCCGGCCCTGCTTAGCTTTTTAATTCAAGGTTGATGCTGCTCTTCACTTGAGCCACATCTCCACTTTCAGCTTTTCAGTAGTTAATTGGAGATTTTCCTGCTCAGGATGGTTTTGAATCATGATTCTCAGGTCTCAGCCTCATGAATGTCTAAGAATATAGGCATGAACCTCTGGTGCCTGGCAATGTTTTTTAGTAATAAGGAAATTCCCAATTGTCAAGGGCGATATAGACAGAATACCTACTGCAATCTCTGATGTATCTTTTTCTTTTGCTGGTGCTGGGGTTTGAATTCAAGGCCTCACACTTTTAATACTCTTTATACTTTTAATATTCTTTTTTTTTGGGTCCGGTCGTGGGCCTGAACTCTGGGCCTGGGCGCTGTCCCTCAGCTCTTCAGCTCAAGGCTAACGCTCTACCACCTGAGCCACAATGCCACTTCCAGCTTTTTTTTTCTGCTTATGTGGTGCTGAGGAATGGAACCCAGGGCCTCATGGATGCAAGGCAAGCGCTCTACCACTGAGCCACCTTCCCAGCCCCACTTTTATTATTCTATTTGTTTGGTGCTGATCTTGAGCTTGAACTAGGGCTTGGGCACTTGAGCCACAGCTTTGCTTCTAGCTTTTTGTGTGATTAACTGGAAGTAAGCATCTCATGGACTTTTCTGCCTAGGCTGGCTATGAGCCTAATCATCAGATCTCAGCCTTCTAAGTAGATAGGATTACAGGCATGATCCACAGGTACCTGGCTTTTTTTTTTCTTTTTAAACATGTTTTTAGTAACCTGTTTAAAATTTTTAAACAATTTCTCTGGCTAAAGAGTGGAAGTAGAGGAATCCAAAGAATAAGTCCTCAATGAGATTGAAGTGTTGACCTTGAAACATTTATATTCCCGCCCCCCCCACGGTTGTAAGGCTTGGAGCCTGGATACTGTCCCTAGGCTGTTTTTGCTTAAGGCTAGCACTCTACTATTTGATCCAGAGCTCTACTTCCAGCTTTTTTGGGGGGTAATTTATTGGAGTTAAGAGTCTTGTGGACTTTCCTGCTTATGTTGTCAGGAATCGTGATCCTCAGATCTTGGCCTTCTGAGTAGTTAGTAGCAAACAGTGCCTGGTTACCTTCTTTTTTATACTCATTATACCCATTAAAGGTAACAGCTATTCCCCTGGAATGCAGGTGAACTTACTGTGGTTATAAAATGCTACAGCTTCAGGGATGTTTAACAAATAGAAAGGTATTTTTGATATGTTATGGTTAGAGAATAATTTTTTAATGACACTCAGTTTTGTTACAAGATTAGTTTGTTATAGGTATTTTATTTTTTTATTGTTATTATAAATGTGATATACAAAGGGATTACAGTTTCATAAGTCAGGTAAAGAGCACATTTCTTTTTGGACAATATCACCCATTCCCTCGTCCTCTCCCAGTGTTTCTCTCCAGTCCCCACCTACAAGTTTTATAGTTCATTTTCAACACAGTATCTAGTAAGAACCACTGCTACATTTGTTCACCCTTGTCCCTCCATTTCTGTGCTCTTCTTACCCTCCCAAAGACAGATAAACAAACAAGATGAAAACAAAAATAACAACAAAGAAAAAAATCTCTTGTTTCAATTTCCTGGAGTTCATTTTGATAAATATTATTTTATGTGATCAGATGCACATAGGCATTGCACCTTTGTGTTCCTCTCCTAAGAGTATCCTTCTTTGATCCCACTGTGTGTGAATGCCTAGATGTTACAAGTATTATAAAATTTCTAAAAAAACTTTTCTGGTCCTTGGGCTTGAACTCAGGGTCTGGGTGTAGTCCCTAAGCATTTGTGTTCAAGACTAGTGGTCTACTACTTGAGCTATAGCTCCATTTCCAACTTTTTGGTAGTTAGTTGAAGATAAAAGTCTCACATACTGTCAGGTGCTGTTGGCTCAACACCTGTAATCCTAACTACTTAGGAGGCTGAGATCTGAGGACTGAGATCCAAAGCCAGCCTGGGCAGGAAAGTCTGTGACTCTTATCTCCAATTAACCACCAGAAAACTGGAAGGGGTACTGTGGTTCAAGTGGTAGAGAGCTCACCTTGAGCATCTAGGCCCAGAGTTCAAGCCCTACAACCAACCAAAAAAAATAAAAAAATAAAAAGTCTCACATATTTTCCTATCTGGGCTGGCTTTGAATCTCAATCCTCAAATCTCAGCCTAGGATTATGAGCATGAGCCATTGGTACCTGGTAGCAGTTTTGAATTTTAATGCCCCAATTGATTCAACTGCTCAATTGATTCCAGGCATTGTAAAACAAACAAACAAAAAGGCCAAGTAACAATGTCAATATATCAAGTGCCACAGAGAATACCAATAACTATTTTTTCTGTTTGTATTTAAATAATCACAACCCAGCTAAACTGGAGAAAAACAATCTCTCATATAAAAAATTACATCTTACAGTATTGGCCTAGCAAGCAAGAGATCCCAAGTTCAACACTCAATATCATAAAATATATAAACAAAAAACCCCAAACTCTACTTGCCACCCTCTTTTCATCATTTATGGTGGACCTGAGCACTTACTCTTTCCTGCGATGTTTGATAACGGAGATGAAGGGCTGTGGGGTCCCAATCTACAGCAATAGAGGCATTTCCAATGTAAGCTCTGTCTTCATCACAAGCAATTTTGCAACCTCTGCAAAATCTAAAGGGGGAAAAAGATTTATAAAGAAATAAGGAATCTAAAATTTCAAATTAAAAACACTTCTGTTTTACTCAAGTTTGGTTTTAAAACTCCCTTGGGATTCCAACTTCAAATTCTCTCTTTTTTTTTTTTTGGTCGGTAGTGGGGCTTGAACTCTGGGCCTGGGCATTGTCCCTAGCTCTTCAGCTCAAGGTGAGCACTCTACCACTTGAGCCACAGCGCCATTTCTGGTGATTCATTGAAGATAAGAATCTCACGGACTTTCCTGCCCGGGCTGGCTTTGAACCTCGATCCTTAGATCTCAGCCTCCTGAGTAGCTAGGATTGCAGTCGTGAGTCACCAGCGCCTGGCAGTATTTTCTTTTTGCTAACATTTGAACTAGGGTCCTTTTGCTTGCTAGGCAGTGCTCTATCACATTAGTCATGGCACCAACCCATTTTTTTCCCCCTCCCAGTACAGGAGTTTGAATTTAAGGCCTTGTGCCAGCTAGACAGGTACTCTACCACTGGAGTTACACTCCCAGTCCTTTTGCTTTAATTCTTTTTTTTTTTTTTAGATGTTTTATTATTTATTGTTATTGTAGAGTTGATATTCAGAGGGGTTACAGTTACATCAGTCAGGTAATGAGTATAATTCTTTCTGAACCATGTCTCCCCTTCCTTTACTTTCTCCCAGTTTTTTCTTTTTATCTCCACCCACAAGATGTACAGTTCATTTTCCACATAGTATCTAGTGAGTGCCATTGTTGTATTTGTTTACCCTTGTTCCACCTTTTCTGTGTAATTATTGTTCAAATAGAGAGTATTGTGCCACCCACTGGTGGCTCACATTTGTAATCCTAGTTTCTTATGAGGATGAGGTCTGAGGATCATGGTTCAAAGCCAGCCTGGGCAAAATTTATCTCCAATTAACCTCTAAAATTGTATAAGGAGAGCTGTGACTCAAGTAGTAGAGTCTTGAACTTGGAGTCAAGGTGCTGTCCCCAAGCAATTATGCGCAAGGCTAGCCACTCTACCACTTTGAGGCACAGCACCATTTCCAGTTTTCTGATGGTTAATTGGAGATAAAAGTCTCTTGGACTTTTCTTCTTGGGCTGTCTTTGAACTGCGATCCTGAGATCTCAGCCTCCCAAGTATCTGGGATTGGAGGCATGAGCCACCTGTACCTGCCTTTGCCTTGGGTATGTTTTTGGTAGGGTCACTTTATTCCTGGGTTGGCCTAGGCTTTGATCTTCCTACTGGTGTCCCCTGATGTCCCTGAGTAAACTGGCACCTGGATTCTGGTGAATTTCTTATGCCAGGTCTAGCCTCAATTTCTGATCTTTGTTTCCCATGTAGCTAAGGGTTACAGGATTGAGTCATTGTGCTTGGCTTTTGTTTGTTTGTTTCCTTTTTGGTAAGGCAGAGTCTTCCTATGTAACCCAGGCTGGTCTTGAACTCAAGATCCTCCTGCCTCAGCCTCCTAAGTGTGATAACAGACATGTGCCATGCTATAACCATGTCTGGCTAATTGTATTTATTAATAATTATTATTTCAGGTAACTATGCTTAGGGCTTCTCAGTCTTTGGATTTATACTAAGTATTTGTTAACATACAGAAATGGCAAAATAAATGACAGCAGAACTGACTCTTTGAAATAATACAGCTCAAAAGAAATTCTAAATTCAGTTACATAATGCTTTTAGGTAAAATAACAACCTATCTGATTTGTAAAATGGCATGTTAAAGTATATAAAAGTTCATGGAGTTGCAGGGAAAAAAGATGACAGAGCCATGGTTCCCATGTCTATCTGAGACTCAGTTTGTTAACTCTACAGCAGTTCTCTAAAAGTTGACTATTATCAGCTTCTTTCCCTGCTGTCCCAGAAATGATCCATCATTCTTTACAACTCTTTGAAAAACCAAAAACAGATTTCTAGAAAGTCTAGTTAGTTATGAGACTATGTTCTACTGGCTCAGAATTGCCAAACTTAAAAATTATATATATATATATATATAAAATCATAGAAAGTTTAGACTAATAATAAGCAGGCATGGTCTAAGTCACTCTATACTTGGGAGGCTGAGACTGGAAGATAAACTGGGTTTAGGGACTTGAAAAAAGTTAGGGCAACATAGCAAGACTCCATTTAAATAAACAAAAGAAAAAGAAAAAAAGAAATTTGGAATAAAAATGATTATGTATTATGAATTGGAGGTATAGTTTGTAAAACTAGCTAATCTCATGAAGAAGAAATGAACAATTCCTACATTTACTACTTCAAGCTTTACATTATTCACTATTATGCCTCAATCTTGGCAGTCCTATAAAAAGGTGAAATATCTGATGCTGCAATTCTAATACAATGTTTCCTTTGCAGAAGATCACTTTACCTATACCATGGGCACCAAGCACAGGAGTTCCCGTCTTTCTGCACAACTCGTAGCGTGAATGGGTATTGATATCCCATACTGTCATCACTGAAATAGAAGAAAACATACACAAACCAAAGTCTTAGAAGCATTTCTGGTTTGCAAGCCAATCATATTCATTTCCTCTTAAAGTGATTCTCTAGGAAAAAGCATTTGCCTATCAGGTATGCTCATGCAGACAGCTGGGTACCGCCCATCCGAATCCATTAACTGCAACCCTGTAGCAGTCACAGTAAGCTATAGAGGGGTACACACTCTAGACTGCCAGATGTTCAAGAGTATACATGGTCCATGAACATTTTACAAAGGAGGTCATGAAATCAAATAACAATTATTCTCCAGCTCTTATTTTATCAGAGAATATAATTCACATTAAAGTAAAATAATTAGACCTTTCCAAGATTAGAACACTGACACACTATAGGAGGCTGTATATTTGAAGGCTTCTTTAAATAAATTCCCTATTTGTAGTACGTTAGGATTCGATCTCCTTTTCCCGACCATAGCTATTCAAAGCTATAAGGTATAGCCTCGGAGTAGCTCTTAAAAATTGTTAACAATTATGGAAAGATAAGACATGGTTTCTCCAAATTTTAATAAAACTTACTAATCTTGCTTCAATAAGAAGCAGAATTAATAATATACAAATAAGTACATATATATATCTGTATAACACGTCTAGTATTTAAATATAATTCCTGGGCTAGAAGAGTGTTTATCAAGTGTAAAACCCTAGTTTCAATTCTTAGCATCCACCTCCCCCAGAAAACAAAGCAACTTTCCAATTTCTATTTACCAATTATAGTTCATGAAGCTGGGGGAGAAAAAGAAGGAATAGTCTCATAGACTTTTTCTGCCTGGGCTGGCTTTGAACCACTATCCTCAGATCTCAGCTTCCTGAGTTTGCAGGATTTACAGGTATGGGCTACCAGCACCCAGCTTTGTTTTTTGTTTTTGTTTTTTAACATAAAATAACTTAGATACAAAGGGATGACATTTTCTTGGTTAAATGGAGATAAGAAACTCAGGAATGTATGTTCCTTGGATAAGTTTTGAACCACAATCTAAGGATCTCAGTCTCTGGGATTAGAGGCATGAGCAACTGGTTCTGGGCTCTCTCTTGATTTTTTTTTGCTCATGGCTGGTGCTTTCTCACTTGAGCCATGCCTCCAACCCAGCCTTTTTTTTTTTTTGGGTCCGGTCGTAGGGCCTGAACTCTGGGCCTGGGCGCTGTCCCTCAGCTCTTCAGCTCAAGGCTAGCGCTCTACCACTTGAGCCACAGCGCCACTTCCGGCTTTTTTCTTTTTGCTTATGTGGTGCTAAGGAATCGAACCCAGGGCCTCATGCATGCAAGGCAAGTGCTCTACCACTGAGCCACCTTCCCAGCCTTAACCCAGCTTTTTTTGTCAGTTGTGGGGTCTGAACTCAGGGCCTGAGTGTTGTCCCTGAGCTCTTTTCTTTTCTTTTTCTTTCTTTTTTTTGCTCAAGGCTAGCATTCCCCATGTTTACCTATAGCACCATTTCTAGTTTTCTATTGGTTAATTGGAAATAACAGTTAGATTTTCCTGCCTCAGCTAGCTCTCAACCTCAATCCATATGACCTCAGCTCCAGAGCACCTAGGATTACAGGAGTGAACCAACAGCTTCTGGCGAATCGAGCTTTGTTGATGATTAATTAGAGATAAGAGTCTCACAGATTTTTCAGTTTGGGTTGCCTTAGAAGAGTAATCTTAAGGGGCTGGGAAGGTGGCTCAGTGGTAGAGTGAGTGCTTGCCTTGCACGTATGAGGCCCTGAGTTCAATTCTCAGCACCACATAAGCAGAAAAAGCCAGAAGTGGCGCTGTGGCTCAAATGGGAGAGTGCTGGCCTTGAGCTGAAGAGCTGAGGGACAGCATTCAGGCTCAGGCCCAGCGTTCAGGGCCCATGACCGACCAAAAAAGAAAAAAAAAAAAATCCTCAGATCTCAGCCTTGGGAGTATCAAGGATTCTAGGTATAAGCTAGTGGTACCTACCTTAAATCTATTTTTTTTTTTTTTAACCTCTGTGCATTTGCTTACCATGGATACCTACTAAAAGTAAAATCATACAGAGTGCAGGTGGCTCACACCTATAATCCTAGCTATTCAGGAGGTTGAGATCTGAGGATCACTATTCAAAGCCAGCTTGGAAGGAAAGTCTGTAAGACTATCTCTCTCTCTCTCTGCCTGTCAGGGGGCTTGAACTCAGGCCCTGGTCACTGTATATGAGCTTCTTTGGATCAAGCCTAGTGCTCTACCACTAGAGACAGAGAGCTACTCAGGCTTTTTTCTGTTTATTTGGTACTGAGGAATCGAACCCGGGGCTTCATGCATGCTTGGCAAGCACTCTACCACTGAGCTACATTCCCAGCCCACGTGAGACTCTTATCTCCAATTTAACTACCAGAAAACTGGAAGTGGTGCTGTGGCTCCAAGTGGCAGAGCACTAGCCTTGAGAAAAAACCTCAGGGATAGTGCTCAGGCTCAGAGTTCAAGCCCCATGACCGACAAAAAAAAAAAAAAAAAAAATCATACAGTATGTGTCCTTTTCTGTCTTGCTTATTATTTCAAGTTGTATAATGCTCTCAGGCTTCATCCATGTTGTGGCATATATCAGCATTAGATTCTCTCTCTCCCTCTCCCTCCCTCCCCCCCCTCTCTCAGTGGTACTAGGATTTCAACTTGCTAGGTAGGTGCTCTTACCACTTCAGCCAAACCACCCCTAACCCTTTTGTCTAGGCTATTTTTCAGACTGGGCATCACACCTTTTGCTCAGGGAAAGTCTAGTCTGCAATCCTACTATTTATAACTCCCTTATAGCTGGTATTATGGGCAATACCACCACGCTTGGATTTGTGTGTATGTGTGCTGGTCCTGGGGCTTCAGCTCAGGAACTGTCCCTGAGCATTTTTTGCTTAAGGCTAGTAGCAGTCTACCACTTGAGCCACACCTCCACTTCAGGATTTTTGGTGGTTAATTGGAGATAAAAGTCCTAGGGACTTTCCTGGCTGGGCTGGCTTTGAACTGTGATCCTAAGATCTCAGTCTCCTGAGTTGCTAGGATTATAGGTGTGAGCCACTGGCATCACATTTGTTTTTCATTTTTAAAATTGTTATTATAAAGTTGATATGCAGAGGGGTTATTGTTACATAAGTCAGATAAAGAGTAAATTTCTTTTTGGACAATGTTACCCTTTCTCTCACCACACTTTTTATGGTGCCAGCTTTGGGGCTGGTCCTCTTGTCTGGCGTTTTCACTCAATGCTAGTACTCTACCACTTTAAGCCACAATTCCACTTCCGGTTTATCGGTAGCTAATTAGGTAAGAGTCTCACAGATTTTCCTGCTAGGGTTGGCTCTGAATAGTAATCCTTAGATCTCAGCCTCCCAAGTAGCTAGGATTACAAGCATGAGCCACCAAATGCCCCGTTTCTCATTTCCCAATATTTGTTGGTTAATTGGAGATAATAGTCTGGAGGATTTTTCTTCCTGGGCAGGCTTTGAAGCACCAACCTTAGATCTTAACCTCCTGAGCAGCCAGTTTTTTTTAATTGTGAAAATACCATACAGAAGGGTTACAATTACATGGGCAAGATAATGAGTACATTTCTTATCAAGCATTGTTGCCTCTGTTGTCTCTTCCTTTGTTTCCCCTTCCCATTCTCCCCCCCCCCCCCCCCAAATGTGGTCTTGACAACTTTGTTTACTGAGTAACTGGGATTACATGTGTGAGTTATGCCACCACACACAGCTCTCATTTCTTTTAATGGCTGAATGCTATTTGATATATATTACATTTTGTTGTAGCATATATCAGCACTAGATTCCATTTCTCTCTCTCTCTCTTTTCAGTGGTACCAGGGTTTCAACTTGATAGGTAGGTGCTCTTACCACTTCAGCTAAACCCTTAGCCCTTGTTCTTTTGTCAGTTGTGGGGCTTGAACTCTGGGCCTGGATGCTGTCCCTCAGCTCTTCAACTCAAGACGAGTGCTCTACTACTTGAGCCACAGAGCCACTTCTGGTTTTCTGGTGGTTAACTGGAGATAAGTCTCAGACTTTCCTTGTCTAGGCTGGCTTTGAACCGTGATCTTAGCCTCAAATCTCAGCCTCCTGCATGGCTAGGATTACAGGTGTGAGACACTGGTGCCTAGCACACTCCTAGCTCTTTTGTCTAGGCTATTTCATTCATCTCTTTATAAGACATTTGGATCATTTTTGCTTTTTGTTGTAACTCATTAGATTCATTAGATGGAAATCAGAGGGCTCCGGTACAGTGGCTCAAACTTGTAATTCTAGCTATATGGGAGGTGGGGATAAATTTGTACGACTATCTCAAACAATGGCTAGATGAAGTGGTACACACACACACACACCCTGGTATTGCAGACACACACACACACACACACACACACACACACACACACACACACACACACACACACACACACACACACCCTGGTATTGCAGACAGACAGACAGACAGACAGACAGACAGACAGACAGACACACACACACACACACACACACACACACACACACACACACACACACACACACACCTGGTATTGCAGCTACACAGGAAGCACAATGGCTGGCACAGTGGCACATACCTGTCATCTCTAGTGACACAGAGAAGCACAAAACAGAATGACTGCAATCTGGACCTGCCAGGCTATAGTGAGATTTAATCTTGAAAATAATCAATGCTAAACATGGTGGCTAGAGGCATGGCTCAAGTTATAGAGTGCATGCCTAGCAACCTTCATGCCCTGAGCTCAATCCCCAGTACTAAAAAATATTAATCAGTTTTTTTGTTTTTTTTTTTTTTGGGTCCGGTCGTGGGCCTAAACCCTGGGCCTGGGCGCTGTCCATCAGCTCTTCACTTCAAGGCTAGTGCTCCACCACTTGAGCCACAGCACCACTTCCGGCTTTTTTTTTCTGCTTATGTGGTGCTGAGGAATTGAACCCAGAGCCTCCCGCATGCAAGGCAAGCGCTCTACCACTGAGCCACCTTCCCAGCCCCATCAATAGCTATTTGTAAAACATAAACTCATTATTCTTTTAATTCTCTCTTCAACCTAGGTCAGCTTCCATTCCATGTGTTCATCAGTACTATATCACTAGTAGATTTCACAAAGGTCATCAAAGATCGTCATTTTATGAAATGCAGTAGGCAAGTATCAATCTTTTTTTTACTCAATCTGATTTCCAACAACTGATCACTTTTTCCTGGAAATACTTTTTTCACTTAACCTTTGTTGATTGCTCATCCTTAATTTCTTTACATTACTAGATGTTCGTTTTCCTTTCTCTTTTTAACCTTTAATTAAAATTCAACAGGAATGAGGTCTTAGACATGCTCTCTAAATCTCACTCTTAAGTCATACAATTTTTTATCTCAACACTTTACAAACCAACTATTTGCTAGGTACCAGTGGCTCACACCTGTAATCCTAGCTACTCAGGAGGCTGAGATCTGAAGATCTCAGTTCAAAGCCAGCCCAGGCAGGAAAGACAGTGACACTTTTATTTGGGGGGGTATTGGGGGGGGTCTAGTTGTGGAGCCTGAGCTCTGAGCCTGGGTGCTGTCCCTCAGCTCTTCAGCTCAAGGCTAGTGCACTACCACTTGAGCCATAGCACCACTTTTTTTCCTGCTTATGTGGTGCTGAGGAATCAAACCCAGGGCCTCATGTATGCAAGGCAAGCACTCTACCACTGAGCCACCTTCCCAGCCCTGACAGTGAGACTTTTATTTCCAATAAACCACTCAGAAAACTGGAAGTGGTGCTGTGGCTCAAGTGATAGAGCACTAGCCTTGAGCTGAAGAGCTGAGGGACAGAGCCTAGGCCAGAGTTCAAGCCCCCAACCAACAAAAATACAACAACAAGGGCTGGGAAGGTGGCTCAGTGGTAGAGTGCTTGCCTTGCATACATGAGGCCTTGGGTTTGATTCCTCAGCACCAAATAAGCAGAAAAAGCCAGAAGTGGCACTTTGGCTCAAGTGATAGAACACTAGCCTTGAGCTCAAGAGCTGAGAGACAGCACCCAGGCACAGAGTTCAGGCCCCATGACCAACAAACAACAACAACAACAACAACAAAAAAAAAACAAAAAAACTATTTGTTGTGGACACTCATGATTATATCTTCAGGAGAGGATATTCAGGTGAACTTCCGACTTGAATGCAATAAAATATTTGGATTTAGCTAGATTCTTTTCTTGTCAAAATCCTTTTCCAGTTTTCTTCTTTTCACTAAACAGTCCAACATTCACGGACAACAGTTCAGGCTGAAAACCTAGTTTGCCCCCCTCTCCCTTCCTATAATTTACATATAGTTAGTTAACAAATTCTGGAAAAATCCTCACTTAGAAGCCATTTAACTCAATCAGAATACTTTAAAATTAATGTTACTCTACTAAAATGCTCAACTAAATTCCTTATCATTATCTAGTTTTCCTTTAATATTTATTTGCATGCCTCAAGCCCTATCTTTATCAAGACTCATCATAACAAACATAAATTTTGTATTCAGTTATTATAGAAATAGAACTCTCAAAAAAAAAAAAAAAAGAAATAGAACTCTCATTTGTACCATGATGGCAAGAAATTATTTTTAGTTCAACTGAGATATAGGCCATTACAATCACAACAGAATAGCGGTAGAAGGAATGGAAAGAAAACAGAAAATATTTATTATCTATACCTAGATTTACAAAATTATTTCATGTCGAAAGATACATTATGGAAACAATTCAATGGAATCACTGAATGAGACTTTATGGTCTCTCATAATAAGTCACTCCTATTCTGATTTACACAAGACTGAGATGATAAATTTCCATTCATAGTTTCTATTTTTGCAATAACAGAAGACAAGGATATTGCCTGAAGCATTAGCAGGAAGAGTTTAGGCAAAAGATTAGAGAATGAAAGCAGTATTAAACATTAGATCATGTAGATGACAAGAGGAAATTGTAAGGTCTCTCCTCAAAATATCAGATCAAATGGTTAAATCATATGCTCTGAGCGGTTCTGTTCAGAGTAAATTAATTTGACATAGTCTGCCTCCTATATATTACAAATAAATCATATATGTTATTCTTGTAAAGTTTAGAAAGCACTAGTCTAAGATAAGCCCTTGAACTTACCAATCCTGAGCATGATTACTAGCTTCCTGAGGTGGGAGTGGGCTGGCTAATCGAGATACTTGAATCCAAACTGAATCATATAGGTCTTTCTTCCGAGTATTCATAGTACAGGGAACAATCAGTGGCATTCCAAAGAGGCTGGGGCGGTTCTTCTGAGATGACAGGAAATACAGTTCTGTCCTCATCTGTATGTACAAATAAGAGAAGAGAGAACTGGAAAGATAGGTCTCTGCCAATAAGATGTATTAACCATTCATTTTCAAATTAGTTATTAGGGCTAGGAAGGTAGCTCACTGGTAGAGTGCTTGCCTTGCATGCATGAGGCCCTGGGTTTGATTCCTCAGCACCACATAAGTAGAAAAAGCCAGAAGTGGTGCTGTGGCTCAAGTGGTAGAGTGCTAGCCTTCAGCTGAAGAGTCTGAAGGACAGCACCCAAGCCCAGAGTTCAGCCCATGACCAACCAAAAAAAAAAAATCAAGAATTCAAATTAGTTATTATCATACTCTTCTCTTTACATATAGACTTCATCTTCATTAATCTGAAAAGAATTGGTTAAATGGAGCCATGAAAAGGTTGAGGTAATACCAGCTTCAGGGTTATCTGTCAATCCTGAATTTCAGTAATTGAAACATTTGTCAAAGAACATTCTTCTATCCCTCCAAAAAATACATACAATGACAAGAGCAAAACCTTCTCCAAAGGCATTCACATTTATATGGTAGAGAAGATATATATGCCTATAGGCACATGAACACACAATAGACATAAATTCAAAAGAAAGTCATATTCAGATATATTAGCTATCCTGCTGCCTCTTAATACATGAGGAATGCCATTTCATATATTGACTATAACATATGCTATGAAAATGTATTAAAATGAAGATGTTACACAGACAGAAAATAGCTGTATTTCATAAATGGCAGTGGCAGGATAAACAATAAGTTGCCTAAAATATAACTAACCATTTTTCGGTGGACTGCAACAATGTATCCTGTAACAGGGATGTCAGGAAGATATGGCAAATGACCATTCACCATTCCATTTGTAAAACTCTTCTCAGTTCCACATGGCACAACAGTATTTGGCATTCCATTGGGGATGAATATTGGTCGAGACAGGTCCCCGTTGGTAGTTAGGCTGAACATCCCATTTGTAGATGGAGAAGAGGAGAAATCTATAAATTCAAAGATATGTATGGCACTTAAGCTTTGGTACCTTTATTTTCATTCTTTTCTTAAGGTTTGTTTTGTGTCTATGTGTGCGCGTGTGCACATGCACGTGCACCATGCACTGCTCCTATGGTCTGAATTCAGGGAGAGGCACTGTCCTTGAACTTCTTTTGCTCAAGTTTAGCGCTCTACCACTTAAGCCACAGCTCTAACTCTGGTTTTTGAGTTTGTTTTTTTTTTTGGTTTGTGATTAATTAGAGATGAGAGTCTCATGGATTTTCCTGCCCTGGCTGGCTTCAAACCACAATCCTCAGATCTCAGCCTCATGAGTAGCTAGGATTATAGGCATGAGCCACTGGCACCTGGCATTTCTCAAATATTTTAAGGATCTGGACCACTTGTAGTAGTTTCTTTTATATAGAACACAGAGAAATTACAGTTCAAGTAACAATTATAGACTTATTTGGAGGTTTTTTTTTTTTGGTCGGTCATGGGGCTTGAACTCTGGGCCTGGGCGCTGTCCCTCAGCTCTTCAGCTCAAGGCTAGCACTCTAGCTCTTGAGCCACAGTACCACTTCCGGTTTTCTGAGTGGTTTACTGGAGATAAGAGTCTCACTATCTTTCCTGCCCGGGCTGGCTTTGAACATCAATCCTCAGATCTCAACCTCCTGAGTAGCTAGGATTACAGGCATGAGCCACTGGAGCCTGGCTTAAATTTAGATTTTATTTATATTACTCATATTTATTTTTAAATAGCAAAGTAAGAAGCTGATTATAAGAAACTAAGACTTTTGCAAAACTTCATATAAATATCATGTAAGCCGAGCATCCGTGGCTCATGCCTGTAATCTTAGCTACTCAGGAGGCTGAGATCTGAGGAATGTGGTTCAAAGCCAGCCCAGGCAGGAAAGTTCGTGAGACTCTTATCTCCACTAAACCACTAGAAAACTGGAAGTGGAGCTCACCTTGAGCTGAAGAGCTGAGGGATAACGCCCAAGCCCAGAGTTCAAGCCCCACACCCAACAAAAAAACAAAACAAAAAAACCCAAAACATCATGTAGTATACAGAAAATAATTATTTTTCAGTTTTTGCTTTTTGTGCCACTACTGGGGCTTGAACTCAGGGCCTGGGCACTGACCCATAGCTTTTTGCTTAAGGCTGACACTCTACCTCAAGGCCCAACTCTACCTTCAGCTTTTGGCTGGTTAACTGGAGCTAAGAATCTCTAGAATTTGTTTGCCAAGACTGCCTTTGACTGCAATCCTCATATCTCAAATCTCCTGAGAGTTAGGATTATAGGTATGAGCCACTGATGCTTGGCAAATAATTTTATCTTTTATCACTTCTATAATTTGTTTTCTTTCCTATTATTATTATTATTATCATTATTATTATTGTCAGTCAAAGGGCTTGAACACTCAGGGCCTGGGTACTGTCCCTGTGCTCCTTTTGCTTAAGGCTAGCTAGTGTGCTGTTACTTTGAGCCACAGTGCCACTTCCAGTTTTCTGGTGGTCAACTGGAGATAAGAGTCTCATAGGCTTTCAACTGTAATCTTCAGATCTTAGCCTCATGAGAAGCTAGGATTAAAATTATTACTTTTTAAAAAATATTTTTATTAAGCCAGATGCAGGTAGCTCATGACTGTCATTTCAAAGTGCTCAGGCTTTGAGTTCATGTCCCACAAACATTTTTTTTTTTTTTGTCAGTCATGGGACCTGAACTCTGGGCCTGGGCACCATCCCTCAGCTCTTTAGTTGTAGACTAGCACTCTACCACTTGAGCCTCAGCCCCACTTCTGGTTTTTTCTGCTTATGTGGTGCTGAGGAATCAAACCGAGGGCCTCATGCATGCAAGGCAAGTACTCTACCACTGAGCCACCTTTCTAGCCCCCACAAATGTTTTTTAAAAATTATCTTTAAGGGGCTGGGAAGGTGGCTCAGAGTTAGAGTGCTTGCCTCGCATGCATAAGGCCCTGGGTTCGATTCCTCAGCACTACATAAACAGAAAAAGCCGGAAGTAGTGCTGTGGCTCAAGTGGTAGAGCACTAGCCTTGAGCTGAAGAGATGAGGGACAATGCCCAGGCCCAGAGTTCAAGCCCTATGACCAACACGCGCGCATACACACATAAACATACACATACACACACACAGTTATCTTTAAGTACTTGTACAAAGGAGTTGTCACTGAACAAAGCAGGTTATGAATTCAAAGCATCATGATCAATGTCTAAATTCTTTATTCCTCTAAGAATGCAAAATGCTGTCTGCTAGACAGTTAATGCTTTTTAAATTAAAATTTAAATTAAAAGTACATTTCTTTAGTCTTATTAGTCACATTTCAAATGCTTAACAGTTTAAATGACTGATGGATACTGTATTGGAGGGCAAAGATCATAGACATATTTCTTTTACTGCAAAGTTCTATTGAACAGCGATATTCTAAATAGAAAGCAACATCAAGTCATCATTAGTACTATCTAGTACATGCTATTTGAGAGGAGCTTCCTTCTCTATGAACCCCTTTATAATTGGAGGATTAGCATAATTATAAGCAGTAAAAAAGAACAAACAAAACCTCGTATTAGTGGCTCATGCCTATAATTCTAGCTATTCAGGAAGCTGAAATCTAGGAACTGAAGTTTCAAGACAGCTGGGGCAAAAAAAGTGTGAAATTCTTATTGCCAATTAACCAGCGCAAAAAGCTGGAAGTGAAGGTATGGATAAAGCGGTAGAGAGTCTTTAGCCAAAAAGCTAAAGGATATCATTCAGACCCTGGGTTCAAGACCCAGTAACTGGCTGGCTAACTGGCACACACACACACAGACACACAGACACAGACACACACAGACACACACACACACACACTCTTCTAGCTACTTGGAAGAATGAGATCTGAGGACAGTGGTCTGAAGCCAGCCTAGGCAGGAAAGATTGAAAGACTCTTATCTCCAATTAACTACCAAAGAAAGTGAAGTGGAGCTGTGGCTAAAATGGCAGAATGCTACTTATGAGTTTTAAAAGTGCAAGGACAGGGTCCAGGCCCTAAGTTCAAGTCTCTGGACCAGAAAAAAAAAATTGGGGACAAAGTCTACTTGAGAGGCAAAGAATCAAAGATTAGGAAGATCAGGGTTTGAGGCCAGCCCAGGCAGAAAAGTTCAGGATACTCCTTTTCAAATGAGGGCCAGGTCCAATGGAGCATCCTATCATTCCAGCTATGAAGAGAAGCCTAAAATAGGTGGATCATGACTGAGGCCCGGACACAATCAGAGAAAGTGAGACTCCATCTGAAAAATAATTGGCACACAGGTTGGGAATGTGGCTTACTGGAGAGAGCTTGTCTAGCATGCATGAAGCCCTGGGTTTGATGCTTCAGTACCACATAAACAGAAAAAGCTGGATGTGTCACTCTGGCTCAAGTGGTAGAGTGCTAGCCTTGAGCAAAAAGAAGCTCAAGGACAGTGCTCAGGTCCTGAGTTCAAGTCCCAGGACTGGCAAAAAAATTAACACAACAAAGGACCAGAGGTGTGTCTCAGCAGTAGAGTATTACCCTAGGAAGAACAAGATAGAGTCCAAGTTCAAACCTCAGTGCAACAAAAAAAGAAAAAGGAATGAGCAAAGCAAATAAATGGCAAAAAAGACTTACAAGGTACCTGTATCATATGCAATAATTGCATAACACTCTTATTCATCTATTTTTGTTTATGTTCCCTGGTAGCATGTTGCTCTCATACTATATGGTGCCATGTTAGTATCAGAAAGGAGTTAAAAGAGATCTGAATGCTATTGGAATTTGAGCTAATATCTATATACTTAGCTTATACACTTAGGTTTTCTGAATTTCAGGCTTTTCATCTATCAAAAAAAAGGAGAATGTAAGCCAAGTAATTAGTAGAATTCTCTCAGAAATCCCTTTGAATAGCATTAAAGGTTTGTCTGGGCTCAAAGATTCTTTTGCTCTAATATCTTCAGCACAATAAATAGAAAAAAAATGATAAATGTTAGATCAATATTTAAAGCTGAGATAATGAGAAAGAGCATTCATTCTAGCTTACCTGTTTGTACTGGACTAGATTCTGAAACTGGAGATGGAGGAAGGGGGATTTCAAATGCACACAAAAATCCACTCACTGAGAGGCGAACTTTTTGGTTGTCCTGAGGCAAATTCTAGAAATAAAAGAAAGATGAAAAAGGAGTGAAGTATTAACTCTCTGAATTTTTTTTTTTTTTTTTGGTCTGTCATGGAGCCTGAACTTTTGGTCTGGGCACTGTCCCTCAGCTCTTCAGCTCAAGGCTAGTGCTCTACCACTTGAGTCACAGTGCCACTTCTGGCTTTTTCTGTTTATGTGATGCTGAGGAATCGAACCCAGGGCCTCGTGCATGCAACATGCAAGGCAAGCAGTCTACCATGAAGCCACCTTCCCAGCCCTCTCTCATGTTTTTTTTTTTTTTTTTGCCAGTCATGGAGCCTGAACTCTGGGCCTGGGTGCTGCCCTTGAGCTCTTCAGCTCAAGGCTAGTGCCCTACCACTTGAGCCACAGCACCACTTCTGGCTTTTTTTTTTTTTTTGCTTATGTGGTGCTGAGGAATCGAACCCAGGGCCTCACGCATGCAAGGCAAGCGATCTACCACTTAGCCACCTTCCCAGCCCTCTCATGTATTTTAAGAGAATAACAGGAATTTTGATCATAAATAGGGATGGTTGAATAATTTTTCTTATCTAAATAAAAGATAAATAATGGGTAAATACACCCTACTGTAAAGAAAACAATTATATGCTGGGTACCTGTGGCTCATGCCTATAATCCTAATTTCTCAGGAGGCTGAGATTTGAGGATCACAGTTCAAAACCAGCCTGGGCAAGAAAGTTCATAAGATTCTTATCTCTAATTAACCACCAGAAAACCAGAAGTGGTTCCATGGCTCAAAGTGGTAGAGTGATAGCTTTGAGCACAAACAGGCTCAGAGACAGTGCCCAGGCCCTGAGTTCAAGCCTAGAATTGGCAAAAAAAAAAAGAAAAAAAGAAAAAAAAGAAAAAGTTGTTGTATTGTTTGGGGAATAATGACAAGGGAAAAAAGTCTACACATGTTCAGTGTAGATGAAATATTTTATTTTTTGAGTATTTCCATTTGTGTTAACTCTGATGATGCAGAACTCTCCCAGATGCATGTCTACTTGTATATTCATATGTACATATTCATAAAAACAGAATAATCTAGACAAATTCCAACTATAATTGTTGGGGAAAACAAGAGATACATTAATCCATATGAGCAGTCTTACCAATTTACCTTCTTTAAAAGTACCTTTTTTAAAAACAGAATTTTCAGATAAAAATAAAGAAAAAAATACCACTATCATTTGGGCACTGGTGGCTCACACCTGTAATCCTAGCTACTCAAGAATCTGAGATATGAGGATGGAGGTATAAAGCCAGCCCATGCAAGAAAGTCCATGAGACAATCGCCAAAAATCCAAAACAACAAAAAGCAGATATAGAGCTGTGGCTCAAGTGGTAGAGTATTAGCCTTAAGCAAAAAAGCTTGAGGATAGCATTGAGGCCCATAATTCAAGCCTCTAGTATAGGCCCAAATAAACATGGCTTGAATGATAAGAGACTACAACCACATGCAAAGCTAAAATACCACCAAAACCCATTATCGTCAAAAATAAAAAGCCCATTGTCATTACAATTTCTTTATTTTGGTAGATAATCCTTTTAAGTTTCTGGGTTTGTAAATGATATATATTTTTTTGTTTTTGTTATCGTTTAATGTTTAACCCTTGGTATTTTGCCTAACAACTGATGATAAAACGAGAAAAGTGTGATCTTTGGAGAATAGAATCCAAGATTTCTAAGAAAGAACAGCTAACAATACCTTTATGTTAGAACCATGTACTTCTGCAAGAAGGATCTGTTCTGATTTAAGCCCACAGAGATCACTCAGTTGTTTTTTCAAACCTGTATACTTTTCATCCATATTTAGTCTTAGTCCATAGCGTATGGGGGTGGTACCATCTAATTTAATTACTAATAAAAAGAAAAGATCTTTTATTAGTAAAATACATGTTACAGTGAAAGTCTTTTAGACAGTAATATCTAACTTGCAAACAGCAAACATTTCAGAATAAAGTTGTACTTTCTATGTAAATATTAAAACACAACTTAGGAATAATATTGAATACTTATTTGGTAATAGAAGTATATGTTGCAATGATTTAGAAGAACTTCTGGCATGTCTGGAACTAACCAATCATCAATGAGCACAAAATAGGCCCATGTTCCCAATTTTTCAACTCTTTTTTTTTTTAATTGTGAAAATACTGTACAGAGGGGTTACAATTACAAAGGCAAGATAATGAGTACATTTCTTATCAAGCATTGTAGCCTTCTCCTTTGTTTCCCCTTCCCATCCTTTCCCATCCTCCCCCCACACTCACCAAAGTTGTAAAGTTTGTTTTCGACATAACATCCAATTTTTCAAATCTTAAATCATGCCTGAATATAATTCCTACATTTTAACAGGCTGACTGCTGATTTTCATGTAAAAAACTATAATTAAAATTATGGCTGCTTGGAAAAGATAAAGAGAAAATAAGAGTAAGTTCTCAAAATTTTAAGACCCACCTGTTATTTCTAAGTGCATATAACTGTCCATTGGTAGTGGCAAAGACAAAAAATTGAAAGGGTCAAATCGGACACTTATATGTCCACATGTCTTGCACCTGACTTGGGATCTTAGCTGCCCATGGAACAAATCCACAACAATTGATCTATTTCTCCTCAGATGGTTGTCCCAGGCCTACCAAGATAAATAGATCCAAAAATTTTATTTCAAAAATTCAAAGGATAAACCACTTATATTCAAACACCAAAACATTATCATGAAATATATTTAAATTTCAATAATATAATCCTTAATCTTCATTTAAAATATAAACATTTGTGTCTATAAAGTTTTGTGGGTATGTGTGTATGTGGGTCCTAGGGCTTAAACTGAGGTCTTGGGAGCTGTCCCTGAGCTTTTGTGCTTAAGGCTAGTGCTCTACCACTTCAGCCACAACTCCACTTCCAGCATTTTGGTGGTTTGTATTTTTTTATTATTTTTATTATTTTTGTCAGCCATGGGGCTTGAACTCTGGGCCTGGGCACTGTCCCTCAGCTCTTCAGCTCAAGGCTAGCGCTCTACCACTTAAGACACAGCATCACTTCCAGTTTTCTGATGGTTTATTGGAGAGTCTCACGGACTTTCCTGCCTGGGCTGGCTTTGAACTGTGATCCTCAGATCTCAGCCTCCTGAGTAGCTAGGATTACAGGAATGAACCACTGGCACCCAATTCTTGTGCCTACAAATGTCTCTGTCTCTGTCTCTCTCAGGGCTTAATGTATGCTAGGCAGGTATTCTACCACTTATGCTACTCTGCCAGCCCAATAGATGCAATTCAAAGTGTATTGTTACTAAAAGAGTAGAAAAAAACAGTTATTGAATAGAATGTGTTTCTGAGTAGTCTACAAAGTATTAGGCCCAGGATCTGGAAGTGCAGCTCAGCAATAAGAGTGCTTTCCTAGTACATATGAAGTCCTGGGTTCCATCCCAACAGCACTGAGAACAAATAGATGATAAATACAAATGGAAATTCCTAATTTTTAATTTGTTCTTACTATGATAACAATGATGAGTATTAAAGATCTTTGTCCATTTAAAAGCAGATATCATGCACCTATTGATTACTGTATACCTTACTTTAGCATTTGGGGGAGCCTATTAAATTCTCCTAGAAAATTATTCCTATATACTATCCCATAGTTTTATCATGTGGAATAGCAACATTTTTCTATTTTCTTTAAGGTACTTTTGTTCTGTTATGACTATGTAAGAATTAGACAGCCAGGCACCAGTGGCTCATGCCTATAATCCTAGCTACTCAGGAGGCTGAGATCTGAGAATCTTGGTTCAAAGCCAGCCCGGACAGGAAAGTCCATGAAACTCCTTATCTCCAATAAACCACCAGAAAACTGGAAGTGGCACTGTAGCTCAAGTGGTAGAGCACTAGCCTTGAGCTGAGGAGCTGAGGGCCAGCGCTCAGGCCCAGAGTTCAAGGCCCATGACTGACAAAAAAAAAAGAAAAGAAAAGAAAAAAAAAAAGAATTAGACATAGAAATGTGAATTCTTTTGCTTTCATAGTAAAATTCTAATCATAGAATGGCTTAGTTTGACATACGTTTTATCACATATATTTGTAGGCAGAATACTTTATTTGTTGCTTGCACCAGAAATTCAAAACTGACAAACCTCTGCAGCTACTTCCCAGTCTGGTCGGCCATCACTGTCCTTAAGTTCCACATATGGCTTCTCATGTACTCGGTTGAGATCTTCATGAAGACCATCCAAGAGAAAAGCCAGGAGTTCCTGGGAGTCTTGTTGCTGGAATCCATTAAACCTGGGAGCATATTTTGCTATGGTCCACTATAAATATGAGGAGTAACAGTTATTATTTCCTACCTCAGAAAATTTAGAATAAGCATACTCCATAATTCTATCAGAGACATACATTTTGTATAATCATTTAATCTTTACATTCTTAATCTCAAATGACCTAAAACAAAGTAATTTTGGCTAGAATAACATGCAGTTTACTAGCATGTAAACAAATTGAGTTTTTTTTCTTTTTGTTGTTGTTGTTGTTTGACAGTCCTGGGATTAAACTCAGGGCCTGGGCACTGTATATGAGCTTCTTTTGCTCAAGGCTAGCACTCTCACTTGAGCCACAGCACGACTTCCAGCCTTTTCTGTTTATGTGGTACTGAAGAATCGAACCCAGGGCTTCATGCATGCTAGGCAAGCACTCTACCACTAAGCCACATTCCCAGCCCTATAATTGATTCTTAAAGCTTTTTTTTTTCTTTTCTTATTAAAAAGGTGTTTCTTGGGCTGGGAATGTGGCTTAGTGGTAGAGTGCTTGCCTAACATGCATGAAGCCCTGCATTTGGGGCTAGGAATGTGGCTTAAGAGAGTCCATGAGACTCTTATTTCCAATTAAACACCAGAAAAACAGAAGTGGAGCTGTGGCTCTAGCCTTGAGCTGAAGAGCTCAGAGACAGCACCCAGGCCAGAGTTCAAGCCCCATGACCACCACCACCAACAACAAAAGAAGTATCTCATATTTATCTAAAATAAATAAGAATACTGGGCATCTGGTTTGTACATAATGAAAGATCCTAACACATTGATTAAACTAAAAGCTACACAAAGAAAACATGTAGTAAAAAATGGATACTTAAACAACTGTTTAAGGAATACCTTTATTTTAACCTGCTTACCCGAAGCTTTAATGGGGCAACGTTCTTCTGAGTTCCACTCCAAAGTTCCTGTACTAAATCACCATAGCATTTGGCCATGTGACCCTTCATACCAATGGGATTTGTCCTAGAAGTTCAAAAGGAAAATTTGTTGCCAAAGAATCTCATAAATGACAATCATGTGGACACAGAAATGCATAGAGTATCACATTTAAAAATAACTACTTTTTTTTTAAACAAGAGAAATATACCTAGTCCTTATTTCATACTAATCAGAGTAATAAAATTTTTCTCTCCTAGGATAAAGAAAGAGTAAATCAAGGTGATACTGGGCTCAGATAAAAATCATAAATCAATTTACCAGTGGCTCCAAAAAGCTTACCTGTTCAGTTCATAAAGATGTCTCCCTGAGATAAAGTACTGTGTCAGTGGCCGTGTGTTACTAACACACTGGATGCTTGAATTCATGAAGCATGTGTTTCCCAGATTACTCAGACCTGTGGCTCCCTTTTCTGTGGGAACTGAAAAAGAATTAATAATATGAGAACCAAAGCCTAGATGTAGCAATATGCTGTAGAACCAAGTTACTTGTACACACACACACACACACACACACACACACACACACACACACTCATGTACACACACAATTTTTTTGAAAGAGGGTCTGAATATTTAGCCCAAGATGACTTCGGAAAAACTATTCTGGATTATAAATGAGATGGGCCAGGTGCTAGTAGCTCATGCCTAGAATCCTAACTATTCAGGAGACAGATCTGAGGATGGTGGTTCAAAGCCAGTCTGGGCAGCAAAGTCCCTGAGACTCATATCAAGAATGGCACTATGGCTCAAAGTGGTAGAGTGTTAGCTTGAGCAAAAAAGCTCAGGGACAGCTCCAGGCCCTGAGTTCAAGCCCCACAATCACCACCTATCACTAACAAAAATAAGTGAGAAAGGATCATCATGACTACCAAAGATAGTCTTTGAAAAAAATGTCTCTACTTTAGCACCATTTAGCTGACAGGTATGATGATGCAAATCTGTAATCCCAGCACCGAGGCTGAGGCAGAAGGAACTCAAGTCCAAGGCTAGTCTGGGCTACATAATAATATTTTATTTCAACAACAACAACAAACTAGCTGGGCAGTAGTGGCTCATGCCTATAATCTTAGCTACTTAGATGGCTGAGATCTCCACAGTACAAAGACAGCCTAGGCAGGAAAGTCTGTGAGACTCTTATTTCCAATTAACTAGCAAAAAGCCATTAGTATAGCTGTGGTACAAGTAACAGGGCACTAACCTTGAGCACAAAACACAGGGACAGTATCTAGACCTTGAGTTAAAGCACAGGATACACACAAAAATGAATAAAACAAATACAACCAAGTGTATGCAGGTAGCTCTCACATGTAATCCTAGCTACTCAGGAAGCTAAGACCTGAGGATCCGGGTTCAAAGCCAGCCCGAGAAGGAAAGTCCATGAAACTTATCTCCATTTACTACTAAAAAAACTGAAACTGGACCTGTGATTCAAGCAGTAGAGCACTAGCCTTGGTCTAAAAAATTCAGGGTCAGGAGCTGGGAGGGTGGCTCAGTGGTAGAGTGCTTGCCTTGTATGTATAAGGCCCTGGGTTTGATTCCTCAGTACCACATAAAGCAGAAAAAGCTGGAAGTAGCACTGTGGCTCAAGTGGTAGGATGCTTGCCTTGAGCTGAAGAGCTTAGGGACAGCACCCAGGCCCAGAGTTGAGGCCTCACGACCCACAAAAAAAAAAAATAAATAAATAAATAAAAAATTCAGGGTCAGCACCCAGGCCTTGAGTTCAAACTCTAAGACTGGCACGCGCGCGCACACACACACACACACACACACACACACACACACACACACACACACACACACACACACACACACACACACACACACACACACACACACACACACACACACACACACACACACACACACACACACACACACACACACACACACACACCAGAATAGGCTAGAAACTCACTTACCTTTGTGTCTATCTATTTTACTACTGTTAGCTATAAAGGACATCTCTTCAGGCCAACTCATGTCTTTGTTTCGAACTGGAAAGACAGATAAGAAGGCGTTCATTTCTCTTCCATACAATTCACACCTACTCAATTGCTTCTTTTTCTTTTTGGTACATATTACAAAATTGTTATTATAAAGGTAATGTACAGAGCATTACAGTTACATAAGTCAGGTAATGAGTTTATTTCTTTTTGGACAATGTCACCCCTTCCCTTGCTCTCTCCCAGTTTTTCCCTCCTGCCCCCACCTACAAGTTGTAGAGTTTGTTTTCTACAGGGTTTAGTGAGTACCATAGCTGCATTTGTTCACTGTTTGTCCCTCCATTTCTTTTTGGGTTTTTTTTTTTGGGTCCAGTCGTGGGGCCTGAACTCTGGGCCTGGGCGCTGTCCCTCAGCTCTTCAGCTCAAGGCTAGCGCTCTACCACTTGAGCCACAGCACCACTTCCGGCTTTTTTCTTTTTGCTTATGTGGTGCTGAGGAATCGAACCCAGGGCCTCAGGCATGCAAGGCAAGCGCTCTACCACTGAGCCACCTTCCCAGCCCTGTCCCTCCATTTCTGTGTTCCCCATTACCCTCCTAAAGACAGATAAATGAATAAGATAAAAAGAAAAACAACAAAAAAGCTCTTTTTTTTTCAAGTTCATTTCACTATTTTTTTTTGTTTTGGTAGTCGTGGGGCTTGAACTCTGGGCTTGGGCGCTGTCCCTGAGCTCTTCAGCTCTAAGCAAGTGCTCTACTGCTTGAGCTAAAGCACTACTTCCAGTTTTCTAGTGGTTTACTGAAGATAAGAGTCTCATGGACTTTCATGCCCCGGCTGGCTTTGAATGGTGATACTCAGATCTCAGCCACCTGAAGAGCTAGAATTAAAGGAGTGAGCCACTGGCGCCTGGCTGATAATTTTTTTTATATGATCAGATGCACATAGGCATTGTGTCTTTGTGTTTCTCCCCTAAGAATATCTTCTTCTGGTCTCACTGTGTGTGAATATCTAGAGTCTTGTATAATTTATCATGTCCCAGTGTATTTTAGATCTAGCTTCCACATATCTGAGAAAATAATGTGCCATTTGTCTCTCTGAGCTTGGTTTTCTTTTCTTCTAAGAATTATTTTAAATTAGAAACTTAAAAAGAAAAATCAAGTAAATTTCAGTAATTGGCTCTGAGACCATTCCTACTCCTTTCTTTTTGGTCATGGGGTTTGAACTCAGGTCTGGGAGCCTGTCCCTGAGCAATTTTTTTGCTCAAGGCTAGTGCTCAAAACACTTAGATCAATAGCACCACTTCCAATTTTCTGGTGATTAGCTAGAGATACCAGTCTGAGGGACTTTCCTGCCCCTGCTGGCTTTGAACTGCAATCCTCAGATTTCAAGCCTCCTGAGTAGCTAGGATTACAGATGTGAACGCAGTGTTCTGCTCATTCCTACTATCTCTATCGGGGACTTTGAAGCCACTTGATAGAATTCAGTACTTCCAATAAAATTATACTCAACTATCTAAGAAATAAAGTTCAGACACAATGAACTGTTTACAACATTAAAAATATGACAGTTGATAGAGTAATTAAGGCGATTAGCAGTGTTCTCATGAGTCTTCATGGGAAAAGACAAGTTTTCAATGACTTGTATATGCCAGTGTAAACTTACGTGTGAATATATAAGAATCCCTGTCAGTAAGGAGCTAATGTTGATGACTAATGAAAACCTAGGGTTTTAACTGAGAAAGTTGGCATTCTCATTTAAACTAGAGTTACCTTGAAAAGTTTAAGAATCTCTGTAAAACTGTAACTAAACTTACTTGCTTCTATCCACTCTTGCCATTACTGTCAATCTATGACTATACATAGTTACTTTTCTTTTAAACTAAGAAAAACAGTATGGTAGAATTACAGAACAATTCAATGGATAGGCTCCATCATAAAAAAACTTAATTAGAGCTTGGCACTGGTGGCTCATACCTGTAATCCTAGCTACTCAGGACGCTGAGATCAAAGGATCATGGTTCAAAAAGCCAACCCAGGCAGGAAAGTCTGTGAAATTCTTATTTTCACAAGAAAAGGAAAAGTGGAGCTATGGCTCATAGAAGAGTGCTAGCCTTGAGCAGAAAAGCTCAGGGACAGTGCCCAGGCTGATTTCAAGCCCCATGACCAGGAAAAAAAAGAACGTAAGTAATAGTTGCCTTAGGGAAAACTGTAAGATGAAATATTAGTAATTCTTTAAAAATCTCCTAAAATTTTAATATATAGGCATATTTTCATTTTGTACCTTCAATTACCAGGTGCTGTTCATCCTGGATTTTCAAATATTCTAATCTATGATCTTCATCATCCAGAAGTGTAAGGTAATTCTGTGTAAGGAGGAATGCTCTGGTTAGTTTGGTTAGAACACATTTAAACACATCTAGAAATAAAATTAAGACCAGGTGCTGCTGTCTCACACCTGTAAACTTTTTTTTATTTTTTATTTTTTTCCCCCTTCCCATCCCTTCCCATATCCTCCCCTCCAACCCCCCCCCCACCCCGTGTGCCTCACCTCCCCAACTTGTAATCTTAGATATTCAGAATGCTGTGATCTGAGGATCAAGGTTCAAAGTCAACCCTAATCTCCAATTAGCCACAAAAGGCTGGAAGTAGAACTGTGGCTCAAGTGGTAAAGTGCTTGAGCAAACAAGCACAGGTACAGAGCTCAGTTCCCAAGTTCAAGCCCCAGTACCAGGACAAAAAAAGACAGAGTATTTTTTAATTATATTCACTTATAGTTACATAATTGATATCAAAGATATTTGGTATACCATAGTTTTTCAGGAATATATATAATTTAGGTGGAACAATGAGGGAAACGTATTGTCTTTTTACAACCATTGTCTATGTCTCAAACAAAAATATTTATAATCTGAGGGGGGCTGGGAGGAAAACCAAGTTATGGACCATCACATATCAAACCAAAGTTATTGAGACTTAGACTTACTAAAATGTTTGCAGGAAAGAAATTTTCTTTAGAATCTATTATGAAATTCAGTAAATGTACCAAATGGCCGTTGGCCACTTATTACAAACTCATAATATAAAATTAAATCTCATGCAGTAGAATTATACATTTTATTTATGCTCATACTATTTAAGGTGCTTTTAAAATTAATTCCTTTAATTTTCACAATAACTCTGAAAAGGACATCACTATTTTCTCATTTCACTAGTTTGAAACTGACAGTGAATTCCCCTTAGTTAACTAAAAAAAATGGCAGAGCTGAAATTTAATTCCTGGCAGTATGGGCCCATGAAATGAGTACTTTGTATTTTATTATTATTTTTGGGGTATGTATGAGTATGTGTGTGCCAGTACAGCTTCTTAGCTTTTTCTGCTCAAGGCTGGAGCTAAATTTACTATTTGAACAACAGCTCTATTTCTGGCCTTTAGTGGTTAATTGGAGATAAAAGTCTCACAGACTTTCCTGCTCTAGATGGCTTCCAGCCATGATCCTCACATCTCAGCATCCTGAGTAGCTAGGATAACAGATGTGAGTTACCAGAGCTTTTATTACTATGTGATACTGGCTCTCGATGGTAACTAGAGGAGGATGTAAGAATGCACTAGTTTCAGAGTATGATTTATGTTAAATGTATTGGGAAAAATGTACACACACTTAACGGTACCTCTGAGAGGAGTAGAAGACAGTGGTCAAAAGGATGGAATGGAAAAATTTCATCATGTACTTTGTATTTAAAAATTTTGTTGTAATATGTGTATAAGTTATTGTTAAACAAATCCAAGACTAATTGTAGTGGCTCTACCCTTGAATCCTCGGTAGTTGGGAGGCAGAGACTGAAGTTCATGGTTCAAGACTAGCTTGGGCAAAAAGTACACGAGACAACATCTGAACCAATGGCTGGGCGCCATGGCTTGCACCTGTTATCTCAGCTACAAAGGAAACACAATGGCTAAGTACAGTGGCATTTGCTTGTTATTCTCAGTGACATGTGGAATTACCAATGAGAGAGAAGGAGAGACAGAGAAAGAGAGAAAGGAAAAGAAAAAAAATCAACATAACATTTAGTTAGAAGAAAGTAGTTGTGCAGGGTGCTGGTGGCTCACACTTGTAATCTTAGCTACTCAGGAGGCTGAGATCTGAGGATCACGGTTCAAAGCCAGCCCAGGTAGGAAAATCTATAAGTCTCTTATCTCTAATAAAACACCAGAAAACTGGAAGTGGCACTGTGGCTCAAGTGGTAGAGCTCTAGCCTTGACCTGAAGAGCTGAGGGCCAGCGCTCAGGCCCAGAGTTCAAGCCCCACAACTGACAAAAAAAAAAAAAAAAAGAGAAGTTATTCTTTTATAATGTAATAGTAATATTTACAAGATGGCAATATTCATAACAATGAACTGATAAGATCTCAGGTGGCAAATACCTACATCCATGCAATAATGTAGTCAAAGATTTATGGATACAGCTTTTGGTGTAAATACTGTAGGCAAAAATTTCATACTCATGAGATATGATTTAACATTTAACTCACCATGACTCTGAAATGCCTCTTACCTCGCTATTATATAGCCACAAGCGCATATCTTCCTCTTTGATGCGAAGCCTTTGAGATAGATACTCATGAATTTCCTTGATGGTCTGCATTCTACTAAAACAGCCTGTATAGGCTAATACTCGCTTTAGAGGTGCATTTGGAGAAGGTACATTTCCTATGGTTATAGGAATCACAATAAGGAAAAAGAAAAATATTAAAAAAATTATCACCCAGTAACAGGGACCATACTATTTTAGGAAGTAAAGATGAGAAATGAGAATTACAGGTTTAATAATTTCATAAATGGAGAGTACTATGAAAGCATTAAAATGAAGACAAGAGATGAAGTGTCTTAAGAGCCTTAGTTTTGAAAAGAAGACCAATAAAAGCATGGAGCCTCAAATAATCAGTACATTTGGATCTCAAGAGGAGTGAAAACATGCTGTCGGGGGCTGGGAAGGTGGCTCAGTGGTAGAGCGCTTGCCTTGCATGCTTGAGGCCCTGGGTTCGATTCCTCAGCACCACATAAGCAAAAAAGGAAAAAAACCGGAAGTGGCGCTGTGACTCCAGTGGTAGAGTGCTAGCCTTGAGCTGAAGAGCTGAGGGACAGTGCCCAGGCCCAGAGTTCAGGCCCCACGACCGGACCCCCCCAAAAAAAAACATGCTGACAAAAAAATTGACATTCACACATGGCTGTCTTCAGTTGGACTGCACTCAATAGCAAGATGAAGTAACATTTAGTAATTCAGAGTAGGGAAGATGACTGGAAATGTAGCTTATTGGTAGAGTCCTTGCCTATCATGAATGGGCCTCAAAGTCCAGAACTACAAAGAAACAAACAAAAACAAATGAAGAGATTAAATAGGACAGAATTAGACAGATAGGTAATTTGAGTTACTTAATCTACATTCTTTTTGTTGTTGTTGCTGGTCAAGGGGCTTGAACTCTGGACCTGGAACCACAGCGCCACTTCTAGGTTATTTTTTCTGGTGGTTAATTGGAGATAAGAGTCTTAGGGAAGCTGGGCACCAGTGGCTCACGCCTGTAATCCTAGCTACTCAGGAGGCTGAGATCTGGGGATCACAGTTCAAAGCCAGCCCAGGGAAGGAAAGTCCCTGAGACTCTTATCTCCAATAAACCACTGGAAAACCGGAAGTGGTGCTGTGGCTGCAGCTCACATGGTAGAGTGCTCACCTTGAGGTGAAGAACACAAGGACAGCGCCCAAGCCCAGAGTTCAAGCCCCACGAGAGTCTCACAGACTTCCCAGCCAGGGCTGGCTTAGAACTTCAATCCTCAGCTCAGCCTGCTGAGTATCTAGGATTACAAGCATGAGCCACCTGGGCCTGGCTTCATCTACATTCTTTTTTTTGTTTTGTTTTTGTTTTGGGGTCCAGTTGTGGGGCCTGAACTCTGGGCCTGGGCGCTGTCCCTCAGCTCTTCAGTTCAAGGCTAGCGCTCTACCACTTGAGCCACAGCGCCACTTCTGGCTTTTTTCTTTTTTTGCTTATGTGGTGCTGGGGAAATCAAACCCAGGGCCTCATGCATGCAAGGCAAACGCTCTACCACTGAGCCACCTTCCCAGCCCTTCATCTACATTCTTTTTTTTTTTTTTTTTTTTTGGCGGTCGTGGGGCTTGAAATTCATCTACATTCTTTTTTTTTTTTTTTGGGGTCCGGTCGTGGGGTCTGAACTCTGGGCCTGGGTGCTGTCCCTCAGCTCTTCAGCTCAAGGCTAGCGCTCTACCACTTGAGCCACAGCGCCACTTCCGGCTTTTTTCTTATGTGGTGCTGAGGAATCGAACCCAGGGCCTTGAGCATGCAAGGCAAGCGCTCTACCACTGAGCCACCTTCCCAGCTCATCTACATTCTTAACTGAATTATTAATCGCATCACTCTGAGACATTAATTGGCCTAATCACCTAGTGGAAGATATACAGAAGAGAAAATTTTACTTAAGATTCAAATTGGCATAAACTATATATGGCCAAAGAGAATTTTAAAATGAAGTCAAGAAGCTTCCATTGTCAAAATAATATTAAAAAGGGTGAAAAAATCATATATACTCTGCCTGCCCAGTAAGATGACAACAGACATGTCCTTAAATTGCTTAAGGACTCAAGGTGGAAACAAAAACGATTGGCAATACAGTGTCCCTGAAAATCTTGGGCATTAGTTTGAGGACCACCATCTCCATGATACCAAAATGCATGAATGGCTCAATACCCTCACACACAATGGCAGAGTACTTGCAAATAATTTATGAATACCTTCCCAGATACTTAATTTTGAGAATATTTATAATATGTAACTATGTAAATGCTATGTAAATAGTTATAATAATATTGTATTGTTTTCTGTTTGCACTGAGTTTAAATACATTTTTTCTAAATTCTGTTAGATCTGAACTTAGCTTGATCTGTAGGGAAGGAATCCCTGGACAAGGGAGGATATACTATACAGAGGGAAAAGAGTGAAGAGTGAAAAAAGAATATACCACGTCAAAGGATATACTTTCAAAAGAGAATGGGGAAAAAAAATCCAACCAGAAATCTTTTTCTTTTTTTCTTCTTTTTTTTTTGTCAGTCCTGAGGCTTAAACTAAGGGCCTGGGTGCTGTCCCTGAGCTTCTGCTCAAAGCTAGAATTCTACCACTTAAGCCAGAGCCACTTCTGGCCCTTTCTGAGTTAGAGATCAGAGTCTCACAGACTTTCCTGCACAGGATGGCTTTGAACCATGTTCCTCAGATCTTAGCCTCCTGAGTAGACAGTATTATAAAGGTGAGCCAACAGCACCTGGCATAAATGCTTTTTAAATGAATAATCCCACCTGTTTTATAAACTTTGATTTTAATATCCCATGTTTACTTTGTTTGTGTGTGCTGGTCTAGGTACCTGAACTCAGGAACTGGGCCCTGTACCTAAGGTTTTTTTCTTAAGGCTAGACACTTGACCAATTTAAGCCACTTTACCACTCTACTTCTGGTTTTTGGTGGTTAATTGGAAGTAAGAGTCTCACAGACGGGGCTGGGAAGGTGGCTCAGTGGTAGAGCGCTTGCCTTGCATGCCTGAGGCCCTGGGTTCGATTCCTCAGCACCACATAAGCAAAAAGAAAAAAGCCGGAAGTGGCGCTGTGGCTCAAGTGGTAGAGCGCTAGCCTTGAGCTGAAGAGCTGAGGGATAGCACCCAGGCCCAGAGTTCAGGCCCTATGACTGAACCAAAAAAAAAAAAAAAAGAAGTTTAAAAAAAAAAAAAAAAGAGTCTCACAGACTTTCCTACCTGGGTTGGCTATGATCCTCAGATTTCAGACTTCTGAGTAGCTAAGATTAAGTTCCAGGATTACTTTTACATTGAATTACATAATGAATTCTGGAAATCATAAATAAAGTATCACAAAAGAAAAGACTAGTATTATATTAAATGTACATTATGTAAAAAAAAAAAAAATGAACCATGGCCGGGCACCCGTGGCTCATGCCTATAATCCTAGCTACTCAGCAGGTTAAGATCTAAGGACTGCAGTTCAAAGCCAGCCTGGGCAGGAAAATCTGTGAGAATTGGGATGAAATGACAAGCAATACTGGAAATCAAAGATACAGTTTTTTGTTTTTTGTCAGTTGTGGGGCCTGAACTCTGGGCCTGGGCACTGTCCTTGAGCTCTTCAGCTCAAGGACAGCACTCTATCATTTGAGCCACAGTATCATTTCCAGTTTGCTGTTGGTTAACTGGAGATAAGCCTCTCATGGACTTTCCTTGCCTGGGCTGGCTTTGAACTGTGATCCTCAGATCTCAGCCTGCTGAGTAGCTAGGATTACATGTGTGAACCACTGGCACCCAGCTGAGATACATCTCTAAATAAAGAAAATTTGCTAAATTTTGGTTAACTAATCAAATACCTTGACAAAACCTGTAGGTTTTTATCTATGGAAAGTTATGTTTTATTGAGCAACCACAAATAAGAATGTAGTGAACAGTATAATCACTCCAGGGTACAAGTACACATTCCAGGTAGTTTTCTACCCACCCACGAATGATTTCACTTTTTTCCCTTCCATTAAACATGGTTTTAGTGAGTCCTCACCAATTAGCAAAGATGAGAAAAATACTGGCATTATCTATTTTAGAGCTTCTAAGCATAATCCATTCCCCAATGATAGGCTGAAAAGGGACTGGGAAGGTAGCTCAGTGGTAGAGTGCTTGCCTCCCATGCATGAGGCCCTGGGTTCTATTCCTCAGTACCACATAAACAGAAAGAAGCCAGAAGTGGCTCTGTGGTAGAGCACTAGTCTTGAGCTGAAGAGGTGTGGGACAGCGCCCAGGCCCAGAGTTCAAACCTCACAACCAGTTAAAAGAAAAGAAAAGAAAAAAAGTTAGGCTGAAAAGTTATGAGAGAATTTTGGGCTGGAAATGTGGCGCTGTGGTTCAGGTGGCAGAGTGCTAGCCTTGAGCTGAAGAGGTGAGGGACAGCACCCAGGCCCAGATTTCAAACCCCACGACCAGCAAAAAACAAAGGAAGAAAGAAAGAAAAAAAGATAGGCTGAAAAGTCATTTATAAGATAATTTGGGGCTAGAAATGTGGCTTAGTGGTAAGAGTGCTTGCCTTGCATGCATGAAGCCCTGAGTTCAATTCCTCGGTACCACATAACCAGAAAAAGCCAGAAGTGGAGCTGTGGCTCAAGTGGTAGGGTGCTAACCTTGAGCAAAAGAAGCGGGACAGTTCCCATGCCCTGTATTCAAGCCCCAGGACTGGCCAAAAAAAAAAAAAAGATAAAGCTTTCTGTAATCTTTTTTTTTTTGGTTATGGGGCTTGAACTCAGGACCTGGGCTGGGCCTTGAGCTATTTTTGCTCAAGGCTAGCGCCCTATCATTTTGAGGCACAGCTCCACTTCCCATTTTGGAGTTAATTGGAGATAGAGCCTCAAGGATTTTCCTGCTGGCTTAGAACTGTGATCCTCAGATCTCAGCCTCCTAAGATGTGCAATTTCGACTATAGAGAAAGTTACATTTCAGTCATTACAATTGTGACAAAGTTTGTATACTTGTCACTTTAATAAATAGCTAAAGTAAAAATTTGAAAGATGATGAGTATTATGCTGTGATAGGAAAAAACTCAACCATGATGAATTTTTAAACACCATAGCAAGGCAAATCTTTTACTATCAGCAAGCAAAGAATAATCTCTAAAAGAAAACAAAAGAACAATTTTCTCTAATTATACATCAGAGGATTAGTTATAAGATTACAGCAAGAAAGCATATTTTTATAAAATTCAAAATGATTAATGATTGATTTCATAACCAATTAGTAAGGAATAAAGTTTCAAATTAACAACAAATTTGGAGTATTAGAACAACCAGTTCTAGGATTCAAAAGCATATGCAAGTGTCCAAGTCAACCTCTATTGAATAAGAAAATTTATTTGAATTCCAGACAGTTTTTACAGCAAAGCTCATTAAGCAGGCAGCCACATATACATAATTTCGTGCTTTGGAATAGCACCAGCAAATCTACAGGAATTTACAGAAGCAGCAAAAATCTAGGATCAGCACAAGAGTTACAAATACTTACTAAAAGCACAACAACGCATCTTGCCTCTCATGTTATCTTTCAAAGAGAATTAAAAAAAAAAACATGCTATGGGTGCCATGGAAGCAAGGCTATACTTCTATTCAATGGAAAATTAAATTAAGAATGTTTCACAGAGATTTTTATTTCACTGCTTTTGATTTTGATAAATCCTTTAAGACAAAAATTTCATTAGGCAGAGACCACTATTTTGTTATAATTCTTACAAAAATACTTTAAATAATCTTCAAATATTATCTGACTATAAATTTGTTGGTTTTTGTTGAACTCAGGATCTGGACACTGTCCTTAAGCTTCTTTTGCTTGAGGCTAGCCCTGTATCACTTGAGCCACAGCTCTATTTCTGGTCTTTTCAGTAGTTTATTGGAGATAAAAGTCTCACAGACTTTCTGGCCCTAGCTAGCTTCCAACTGCTATCTTCAGATCTCAAGTCTTCTGAGTAGTTAAGATTATAGGCAGGAGCCACCAGCTCCTGGCTGACTATAACTTTTAAGAAATAAAACTAGTATTTTCTAAATTCAAAAGTAGTTCTTGCATACTAAAAATGATTTATTATAGTAATCTGACATTGTTAATATAAGGTCTGAGACTTTGTACATATTTTAATTCATTATTTTACTGCCGACGAACAATTTCAAATATTTGTAAGAGAACAGTACAGAGTAAGTTTCTCTCAAGAGAGAAGTTAATCAAGAGCAAGTTAATAATTAAACGGAAACCTTTTGCATATCATTTTTAAGAATGGGAAGTGTGTTATATACCATTTTAATAGGTTTGGTATTACTTTCCTTGTGGGGACATGACACATATAGCACTTTCATTTTGAAAAATATACACTGGTTCTGTTATCTGTCTCTTCTAAAGCATTTAGATTGCAACAAATGTATCATGTTTTGCCGAAACAAAAAATGACATCATTGAAGGGAATCACTCCTACAAATGTAAGTGGAGTTGAAAAGACCAATCAATGACTAGGAAACTATAGTTTAGATCTAGCAACAATTTACAATGGATTTTTTTTTTTTTTTTGGTCGGTCCTGGGGTCTGACCTCTGTGCCTGGGTGCTGTCCCTCAGCTCTTCAGCTCAAGGCTAGCGCTCTACCACTTGAGCCATAGTGCCACTTCCGGCTTTTTCTGCTTATGTGGTGCATGCATGGTAAGCACTCTACCACTGAGCCACCTTCCCAGACCTACAATGACTTTTCATAATTAAAAAGAAATATATAAAATCTGTTTTTATTTATTATTTTCATACGTTAACAACCCTTCTTGGTTAGCTGCAGAATTTTAGCTTCTATCCCCATCTAGTCTTGCGCATGACCATAGATCTGAGCCCACAAGTAATTTACTGATTCTGTATGAAAGCAGATGGGCATGTGAATTAGTACAGTGGCACCATACTTTGAGCAACTTGGTTTCACTTTTTTTTTTTTTTTTTTTAACTTTTAGGGAAATGCATGGTATTCTTGCTGCATTCTTAAGTTACCTCTCGGTAAATGCTGAGGAAACATTCTCAGGCTCATCATACCCATATTCACCCAGATGTTAGACTGTTGTGTCCGAGTTGCAGGCTGCTGTCTTAGGAAGAGAAGATGTCGAGGAAACAATTCCAGCTCTGGAATGTCTGTCTTGCTATTCTTGATCACCTATGTTGTGAAAGATAAAAAGTGATCAAGGCTACAAGAATCAAACCTTGCCATTTTAATCTTAATTCTGAAATATGTTTATTACTTTTTTTTTTTGGGGGGGGGTCCGGTTGTGGGGCCTGAACTCTGGGTCTGGGCGCTGTCCCTCAGCTCTTCAGCTCAAGGCTAGCGCTCTACCACTTGAGCCATGGCGCCACTTCCGGATTTTTTTCTTTTTGCTTATGTGGTGTGAGGAATCGAATCCAGGGCCTCAGGCATGCAAGGCAAGCGCTCTACCACTGAGCTACCTCCCCAGCCCTATTTTTTGCTTTTTGGTGGCATAGGGATTTGAACTCAGGATTGCAGCTTACTAAGCTGTCTCTAGCCCTGCTTTTTGCAGATTACTCTGGAGATGGTAGTCGTTTACCAGGATTGTGCTCAACTCTATCCTCTAGATTTCAGAATTCTCAGTAGCTAGGATTACAGGCATGAGCTACCATTGCTAGCATGAAATTTATTGATTTATTTATTTATTTTTTATTGTGAAAATACCGTAAAGAGGGGTTACAATTACACGGGCAAGATAATGAGTACATGTCTTATCAAGCATTGTTATTGTTGTTTCCTCCTTTGTTTCCCCTTCCCATCCCTTCCTACCATCCCGCTCCTCGGCCCCCCTCCCGCCAAAGTTGTTAAATTCGTTTTTCTACATTAATGACTTGTACATCTCATTTTTGCAATAGTGAAATGTATTTTTATTTTGTAAATTGTGTGTGTGTGTGTGTGTGTGTGTGTGTGTGTGTGTGTGTGTGTGTGTGCGCGTGCGCACACGCGCGCATTTGGGGTTTTTGTGTATGTTTGTTTTGCTAGTCATGGGGCTTGAACTCAGGACCCTAGGCACTGTGTCTGAGCCTCTTTACACTCAAGGTTAGTGCTCTAGCAGGGCGCTGGCGGCTCACGCCTGTAATCCTAGCTACTCAGGAGGCTGAGATCTGAGGATCGCGGTTCAAAGCCAGCCCAGGCAAGAAAGACGGTGAGACTCCTCTCTCCAATAAACCACCAGAAAACCGGAAGTGGCGCTGTAGCTCAAGTGGTAGAGCACTTGCCTTGAGCTGAAGAGCTGAGGAACAGCGCCCAGGCCCAGAGTTCAAGCCCCACGACCAACAAAAAAAAAAAAAAAGGTTAGTGCTCTACTACTTGGGCCACAGTATCACTTTGCTTTTTCTGAGTAGTTTATTGAAGACTTTTCTGCCCAGGCTGGCTTTGAACCATGATCCTCAGATCTCAGCCTCCTGAGTAGCTAGGATTACAGGCATGAGCCACCAGCATCCAGCTTAAAGTATATTTTTATTACCGTACAAAGTGGTTATAATTCAACAAATTTAAACTAAAATGCTGAGTAAGTTCATTGCCTATATTTAATGAAATTCACATATTTATGTCACATCGGTTTTAATATGTCAGGTTCCTCCCTAATCCTAAACTCATTTCAAAGACTAGAATTACTTCAAAGAATTTTCTGCCCTTATCCATATAACTAGTTACAAGTAAAAAAAAAAACCATGAAAGTATTCATATCAGTATTTAGACAGGCTTTCTCTCTCTCTCTCTCTCTTTTTTGGTCTGTCATGGGGCTTGAACTCTGGGCCTGGGTGCTGTCCCTGAGCTCTTCAGATCAAGACAAGCACTCTACCACCTGGGCCACAGTGCCACTCCTGGTTTTCTGGTAGTTAATTGGAGATAAGAGTCTCATGGACTTTCCTGCCTGGCCTGGCTTTGAACTGTGATCTCAACCACCTGAGTAGCTAGGATTACAGGCGTGAGCCACCAGCACCCAGCTAGATAGACTCTATTGCTCAAAATCTGGAAGTTTATACTATTCCCAGCAATGTATGAGTATACATCCCCACTTTGTTAAAATATAAATTTTCTTAAAATTTTATTTACAATTTTTATTTAATTAATCTATTATGAGTAATGATAAAACTGTGCCATGTAAAAATTATTTGCTATACTTGTGATTCATGATATGGGGGCATGCTATATAGTCTATGAGCATTCTACAAAGGCCCAGCTAGCCTTAGACTCTTGAGTCTTAGCATTACAAGTGTGTACTACAATATCTGGCTTTGTTCAAATGACTAAAAAATTGGATGCATAAAACTCACGTTTAAAATTGTTGAAATAGAGCCAGGCACTGGTGGCTCATGCCTGTAATCCTAGCTACTCAAGAGGCTGAGATCTGAAAAATCTTGGTTTGAAACAGCCTGGGTAGAGCACTAGCGTTGTCCACAAACGCTCAATAACAGCTCCTAAGCCCTGAGTTTAAGCTCCATGAGCGACAAAAAAAAAAAAAATTGTTGAAATATGATTGTAAAGTAAATCCTTTCAAGCTGGGTGCTGGTGGCTCACACCTGTAATCCTAGCTACTCAGGAGGCTGAGATCTGAGAATCACGATTCAAAGCCAGCCCGGACTTCGTGAGACTCTTATCACCAATAAACCACTAGAAAACCAGAAGTGGCGCTGTGGCTCAAGCGCTCACCTTGAGCTGAAGAACTGAGGGACAGCACCCAAGCCCAGAGGTTAAGCCCCACGATCAAGTAAAAAAAAAAAAAGTAAATCTTTTCAAATAACCTATTTATTAATCCAGATATAGGTAAACATTTATATCAACATATGATTTCATGTTTTTTTGTGCCAGTCCTGGGGCTTGAACTCAGAGCTTGGGCACTGTCCGAGGGTTTGTTTTGTTTCGTTTTTGCTCAAGACTAGCGCTTAAGCCACAGCTCCTCTTTCAGCCTTTTTAGTGGCTAAGTGAAGAAAAAGAGTCTTACAAATTTTCCTGCCCAGGGTTGGCTTCAAACAGTGATCCTCAGTTCTTAGCTTCTTGAGTAGCTAGGATCACAGGTGTGAGCTACCCGCACCTCATTTCATGCTTTTAAGATTAGCACAGTACCAGTTTTATATCCTAACAGGACCATCATGGTTAATACTTAACTCTTTGAAACAGAAAATTCTACAGAATCTTTAACAAAAGATCCTCTTCTATGCTACTTATATAAGACATTATTAGCTATACTTACTGGTCTAGGTAGGGCCAGATTTGCTCCATACCAGTGATAAAGTGCTCTCCATACAGGTTCTGGAACCATTTCATAATCTCTTCCATGGATCAGCTGGGGAGTTCGTTTTAATCGTCCTCCTTCTAATGTTAATGATGTGGCCTTACAAAGAATGAAATGTAAGTATTGGTTCTTAATATTATAAAGTCTTGGATACTAACAAAACAGACATATCATATGTCACCAAGTAGTTGCTTCTGATAACCAACCTACCAACCCTCCCTTCCTTCCTTTTTAAGTGGTTTTGAAGACCTATGGCCTCCTGCTTCATATCACTGAGACATATATCCCCAGTCTAGAAAATTGATGTTCATTTATTTATTTTGTGGCACTAGGGGTTGAACTATTTAATTTTCTTTTTCTTTTTTATTTTTTTAAATCCTGGGGATCAAACCCAAGAAGCTGTACTTGCAAGGCAAGCACTTTGCCACTGACCTACATCCCAGCCCAGAAATGTGGCTTTTCAAGGGGAAACTTTGGGAATGAAATCCCATATATATTTCAATATTTCACAGTAGCTATTCAAGAATGAAAGTATTTCTGAGGCTCACTATCCTACTTCAAATATGAAGTCACAGACTTTTCTCACAGAAATGTACTATGCAAAGAAATTTCCATCTACTATTGAATTGTATGTGTTACTCTAATTGAAATCGGCATTTTTTATATGCTAACTCTCTAAAATATAATTTATTGGCAACATAAAAATAATTTAGGGGTAGCAATTGTCCAAAAAGAAATGTACTCTTTACCTGCCTTAGTAACTGTAACTCCTCTGTAATCACCTTTATAATAATAATGAAAAAAATCTGTTTAAAGTGAGTAATTTTAACATTCAATATCAAATTACCTACCTTTACTGGTTCTTGAGTTACTAGTGGCTGGTTATCAATAGCTCCTGGTTTCTGAGGATTAAGGTGTAACAGAATATTCCCATTGGCTCCTAGCAAACACTGGTTGTTATTGTCAGAAGTGTTATGTTGTCGAGCAAAGCATATATCTGTCCCTGGTGTGGCAGAATACAAAAAGCCTATAAGGGAAAAGAGTATGCAGCTTCTTATTTTTAGATATTATACATATATAGATTGAAGATATATAAACTCAAATGTCCATGTTAAGTTGATATTATTAGTTTTGATAATAATAAATTTCAATAGTTTTAAGTTCTAATAAATGTGTAAATGATAGGCGAGGCAGTAGGGAAGATAACATTAAGTAAAATAAAAGCTTTCAAAATTATTACCAAATGAGTTATTTGGTCATTCTTCAAGACTATCTAATAATTTATGGTGAGAATTACAAATCCCCTGACAAAAAGGAAAGAGATTTGGCTAAGTACATGGGCTAGTTGTTCTTAAATTCTTTCTTCTACCTCCAAATGTTTTAAATACTCTTGATATAATTATAATATATTGCAACAGGAAGTAGCTAATCTAAAGGGAAGAAGACAACTCCAACAAAAAAATGTTATTCCTTAATGTATCTGTTTAAAAAGAAGGCACGGTTTTTTATAAAAAGATGTTTTTATTAGCATGCATTAGTTGTACAAGGGGGCAGGTTTCATTATGACATTTCTACACATGAATACAATGTGTTCTGATCAAATTTTGCCCCTCTATCATTCTCCCTTATCCCTTTCCCACTTCCAAAACAATTTATAGGTTTTACTGTTCTATTTATATGCAAATAAAGTACTGAAATCATATTAGAAAGCATGATCTTTACAATAGGAAAATATGCACAGAGAAAAGATTCACGATGGCTTAGAATTGTGAATCTCATGTGGTTATAAGGTATTTCAACTCGTTATTCCTGTGTAAATTTCTTTTCTTCTTTGTTGGTATAAAGGCTTGAACTCAAGGCTTTGCACTCTTGCTCAGCTGTGTTCTACAACTTGAGCTACACCTTCAACCCAAGTTTTTGCTAGTTTAATGGAGATAAAGTCTCACGGATATTTCTGCCAGGACTGGCTTTAAACTATGATCTTCCAGGTCTTAGCCTCAATAGTCAGGATTAGGAGTTGTATCAGCCACTGACACCCAGTTTAAACTTCCTAGTATAAATTACTTTGTAACCTTCTACTTGTGGTAACAGAGCAAATACAGTGAGCACATACTAAACCAACCTTAGATATAATCTGTTTGGGGCTGGAGTATTGCTCAGTGGCAAAATGTTCACTCAGAATGCATCACATCCTAGGGTTCAATTTCCAGAATTAAAAGAAAAAAGTAACTTGTCAAAGCTGATCAGAGTACTTCTAACACTGTTAAGTGATCCTTAGAGAAAAAAAATAGTAGATTCTACAATAAACTTTGTAGGAAAAGGGTAACTTTGACAATTTTCTTATTTTCTTCATAGGAAGGAGAAAAATGTCCAAGAGGAAATAACAGAATAACAATAAATGTCCTGCTAATTTAGCAGAAAAACAGGGATCATCTCAATTCAGTTGGGTGACAATACCAAAGCATCTTCCTCAGAAGTATATAGCTACTACTTTATATTTTGTAAATACAAAGGACTAAAGGAAATTACTTATTATTTTATTATTATTTTAACAAAATATTCTCCAAATTCAGATCCAAAGTGTCCATACAATCTGGTAAGAGGGTTCATTTAATCTAAGAAGGTTCTAGAAATAGAATATTTTACTTTCTCACTTGTCTTTGCAAATCTAAATTTATTGACAAAAAAGACTGAATAGGTAAGTAGAGCTATAATTAATGGAAAATTAAAAAAATTTCACAAGACTAATAAAGTACAATGTAGAAAAAGTTTATCTGTAAGGCTGCTAATATATCTAATAATATTAAAGTGGACTATTTCATTCAAAACTTTTTCTGTGAATGGAAGGCTGAAGCCTAGCACCCCACCCACTACACTCTACCAAAGCTGGCTCAATTTAAAATTAACCATGATTAATTTTAATAGAAGTCAAGTCATATTTACCACTGCCTGCAGATTCTGAGGCTTCAGATGCAGTAGAAATGTTGTCTGAAAACTTTTCTTCTGAGGTATTCATGTAACTGAGGTTACCTCCAATTCTATCATCACCCTGCTCTATAGGATGTACTGCTGCACCAAACGAAAATTTTCCTCCATTCATAACAGATGAGGGCTCAATTACAACAGGGTTGGCATCCTAAGATTACAAAGTCAGAGAATAATCAAAAATGAATGATCTGAAACTATAACTTTTAAAAGATGAACCTCAAAAAATCAATCTCACAATTATTTATTATTTCATCTTCCTGGGGCTAGCAAGAGTCATTTAAAAACATTCAAAGCCACACTAAGAATATAAAGCCAGAAAAGTACTTCAAAATAAAGACTGGTGCTTTACTCTAATATTCCTATTCTCTATCTATAGTCAACATTATCTACCTGCAAGATCCCTAAAGTCATTTGCTTACCTTTATTACCTTAATTCCAAAGTACATGACTGTCAAATTAATACATTTTTACATTGGGAAACACTTGTGCTGGGAATGTAGCTAAGTGGTAGATTGCTAACATATGGGAGATGCTGAGTTTAATCCCCAGAACCAGAAAATCAAACGAAAACAACAAAAAACAACCCTCTCTCCTCCCTCTTCCCCTCTGCACGCCCCCCTGCAAAAAAAAAAAAAAGCCCCATGGGGGATTGGAGGAGGAGAGAACAGACCTAGTTATTTAGGGAGTTCAAGGCCAACCCAGGCTATATGAGATTTGTCTCCAAAAAATACAGAAATGCTGGGCACCAGTGGCTCACACCTGTAATCTTAGCTACGCAGAGGCTGAGATTTGAGGATTACAGTTCAAAGCCAGCTCAGGCAGGAAAATCCATTAAACTCTTATCTCCAATTAACCACCAGAAAATTGGCAGTGGCTCTGTGGCTCAAGTGGTAGAGCATTCACATTGAGCTGAAGAACTCAGGGACAGCACCCAGGCCCAGAGTTCAAGCCCCACGACCGACCAAAAACAAAAAGCAGAAATAACTATTATCCTCAATCCTCCCCCAAATATAAATAACCCCTGCTTTCATTTTCCACTATTCATGGAGAGAATTAAAAATCTAGTTATTTGACCTTTTTATGTAAAAATACAAATGTTTCTGAAAAATAATAGCCAAACTAGTATACTATGAAAATAAAAAGCAGGGCTGGGAAAGTGGCTCAGTGGTAGAGTGCTTGCCTTGCATGCATGAGGCCCCGGGTTCGATTCCTCAGCACCACATAAGCAAAAAGGAAAAAAAATAAGCCGGAAGTGGCGCTGTGGCTCAAGTGGTAGAGCGCTAGCCTTGAGCTGAAGAGCTGAGGGATAGCGCCCAGGTCTAGAGTTCAGGCCCCATAACTGGACCAAAAAAAAAAAGAAAGAGCAATTTTAAAAATAAAATCATCTTTTACAAGTAAAAACAATGCCCCACAAACCTACACACATTTGAAAACTTTAGCTGCAAAAGGAAAAGGATTGAAGAACAATAAAATAGATAATAAAATTGGTTACCAAGATCAATACTAAATAATGACACAACAGAGAAAATTAAATTATAAAAATTTTGGTTAGGAACAATATGCCAAATACAGTAATGCTATATACCAACTATCTCTCTATAAATGGAGACATTTGACTTCTGGCATTATTCTTTTCAGTTTTCCAATTGTGGAAAAATAAACTTTCAAATTAGACTCCGTAATATTAAAGCTTGAGAATGTTTTCCTTAACTCTTTAACTAGAAGAATTGATTACCTTGTAAAAATTGAATTCTAATATTGAATATGAAATTTCTTTTTTTTTTTTTTTTTGGGTCCAGTAGTAGGGCCTGAACTCTGGGCCTGGGCACTGTCCCTCAGCTCTTCAGCTCAAGGCTAGTGCTCTACCACTTGAGCCACAGAGCCACTTCTGGCTTTTTGCTTATGTGGTGCTGAGGAATCGAACCCAGGGCCTCATGCATGCAAGGCAAGCACTCTACCACTGAGCCACCTTCCCAGGCCCTCTTTTTTTTTTTTTTTTTTTTGAGTCCGGTCATGGGGCCTGAACTCTGGGCCTGGGCGCTGTCCCTCAACATTTCAGCTCAAGGCTAGCACTCTACCACTTAAGCCACAGCGCCACTTCCAGCTTTTTTCTTTTTTGCTTAGGTGGTGCTGAGGAATCGAACCCAGGGCCTCTGGCATGCAAGGCAAGCGCTCTACCACTGAGCCACCTTCCCAGCCCTGAATATGAAATTTCTTAAATAGGTAATTACCCTTTCTTACCAACAGCCTCCAACATTTCAATGGAAAAGATGAACTAATGAAGGACAATATAAATGATATAGTTGAAAGAATACATCCTCTAAACTGTTTAGGCTGGATCCAGATCTTCTACTCTGAGGAAGACATTAAGGCTTCTTTTTCATTTAGCACTAAGTTCCTCATAGAAAATATGGTTACAATATCATTTTCCACACAGGGATGCTGTGAGAATTGAGATATGAGTGGCCTAATATACACAAATACCCTGTGTCTAATATTACCTTTCTTGCAGGATGTTGAAAGTAAATAAATTTATGTAGAAGTTTATACACAGAATCTAATCATATAAATATTACATTTCAATTTTTTCAATGTTTATCTAAGTTGGAACATTTCATTACTGGTCATTAGTTATACAAGGTCTGATGGAGTTGGAATTCCTTTGACAAACACAAGATAATAGGAATCTAACTCACGTATTTGACATATTCTTTCCACTGTTGCCACCACTGCATGGAGATGATAAACCAATTGTGTCCTGGCTGCAGACCATACCTGCTTTCTCGTTCTAACCATCCTCTGTACATACAAAAGAAATTCAGTACATCAAATGAAGTTGTGTGAAACAAAGGACAAGACCCACACTTACCATTAGAAGTTCTACCAAACAGATATATTTGGGAGACAATGTCATAAGTTCAATTAGTGAAACATTGTTTCCCTTGAAAAGCCAACTTCCATAGTAATAGAGACTATAGAGATTTGTCTCCAAAAAATACAGAAATGCCAGGTACCGATGGCTCACACCTGTAATCCTAGCTACTCAGTAGGCTGAGATCTGAGGATCATAGTTCAAAGCCAGCCCGGGCAGGAAAATCCACATAAAAATAATCCCATTTAGGATAATTTATGAAATATCAAGTTTGCCTGTTATAAGTGCACAATCAAGTATTTAAGTAAACATTTATTGTAAAAATGCTGTACAGAGGGGTTACAGTTACATGAGCAAGGTAATGAGTACATATCCTATGGAGCATTGTTGCCTCCTCCTTAGTTTTTCCCCTTCCATCCCTTCCCTCCTACCTCCACAACTACTCCCCCCACCCACTTCCCCACCACTCCCTGCAGTTGTAAAGTTCATTTTCAACATAGTACCTTGTACATCTCATTGTTACAATGGGTCAACCTGTATCCCTAATCATTTTGTTTTTTCCCTCCCCCTCCCCAAATTAGAGAAGCATATATAAAAGATGCAGGGCACCAGCGTGAAATACAGTGAAAACAGGGGTTATACCATGGGGGAGGAACATACAACGAAAAAAAAATCACATAGTACATTATAAATACATTAGAAACAATAGCAAGCAAGAAAAAAATGTTTGTGTCCCTATCTTGGGGTTCATTCTTTTTAACATCATTTTATATGGTCATATGTGCATAGCTTTTAACATATCTAGTCCTAGATATGTACTATTTATTGCAAATAAAGGAAACCATAGGATCTATGTTTCAAAAATACGGAATGTGGGCTGGGATGTAGCTCAGTGGCAAAGCGCTTACCTAGCAAGTGCAACGTCCTGGGTTCGATACCCAGTACCAAAAAAGTCAAGTCGGAAAAAAAAAATACTGAATGCTTCACGAATTTGTGTGTCATCCTTAGGCAGGGGCCATGCTAATCTTCTCTGTATCATTCCAATTTTAATATATGTGCTGCCAAAGCCAGCACAAGTAAACATGTTTATAGATATGTACAACCACTGCCATAAACCAGTTTTGGACTATAGAGAACATTTCAATCAACCCAAAAAGATCACTTAGGCTTCATGCCAGCAGTGACTGCTTTGAACACAGCACAAACACTTTGAGGATGCTACATAACAATCACAACTGTTTGCTACAGAAGTACAACTCCAGTGGCTGAAAGGCACTGTTCCACTCACAATAGTTTCAATAGCTTATTCTGAACCTTTTTTTTTTTGGTGTTGGTCCTGGGGCTTGAACTCAGAGCCTGGACACTGTCTCTAAGATTCTTCTTCTCAAGGCTAGTGCTCTACCACTTGAGCCACAGTGCCACTTTCAGCTTTGAGTAGTTTATTGGCGGTAAGGGTCTCATATACTTTCCTGCTCCGGGTGGCTTCAAACCGTGATGCTCAGATTTCAGCCTTCTGAGTAGATAGGGTTACAGGTGTGAGCCACCGGTGCCCAGATTGTACTAGACTTTCTGACACTGTAAGCCTCAGTGACCTCTCAGTGAACTGTGGAAGACCATGTAGCCATTTCCTCCCATATCAAAGGGGGTGCATTACCCTTGGTGGACCAACAGAAGGCTTGAGACTGGTAAACAGTCATTTACCACCATGACTAGTGACATGAGAGGCTATGTGCCATGACTGTTTCAGATACCTTTGTAACATCTTTTACTGGTTAAGCAGCAGGCTTTGGGTTTACTTTGGGGGCCAGCCAGGAAACACATTCCTGGGCTACCCCCTGAGGTTGCAACATTATGCTGAATAAAAGGCTTATCTTGAGGGATCTTTTCCTGCTCTTGGTCTTTATTATCGATAGACTAGACTGAAGTGTTACCATGAAGAGAGGACAGCAGAACAGAAGGGAAAGTATAGTGGTAGCAAAGGCAGTAGTAGGAGCAGGAGCAGCAGTAACAAGAAGAGGGCAGTTGAAAGGTTCCAGATAGCAGCAAGGGAGGGCAGAAATGACAGAAAACAGAAGAATAGAGACAATATAAAAGTGAAGATGAGATGCTGTGGGCCTGGATCTCTGGAAGAGTTCCAAAGAGGAACCAAGGTCCCAGGGCCAAGGTCTCAGACATGCTAGACCCAAGAGCTATTAACTTCAGCTACATCAAAGGCATATCTCAGTCCGAGCTCTAATAATTCTTGCTGTCAGAGGCCAGGGATTCTGACATCCTAGACCTAAGACTGTATCATTCAGTGCTATAGGACTGATGCTACCAGCACCAAAAGCTTGTACAAGAGCTGCAACACAAAAAGGTGCTGCCTGCTGTTGTCTACTGTTACAGCCCACTGCTGCTAGAAGTAAAGGATTACAAGAGCTACCAAGTGGTAGGTCACTGGTAGTTGAAGCGTAGGGCAATCAGGCCCTTATTTCTGAGGGTTTGGAGCTGTAGGCCTCTAAGTCTGCCAGTCTAGCCCATCTTTGCCTACTTACATGTGTAGAGCAACAGGACCAAGTGAACTGATTTGTAACCATGTTAGGACTTGTATATTGATGGTTTTGCTTTCACTACATGCCATACAATCCACCTCCACTTATCCACCTTATCCAAGGTAGCCTCTACTGCCTCCACCATGGCCATAACCACTCCAGCCGTCAGGCATCCTATACACTGCTCTACTGTAACTGTTCTCTATTCCTATTCTTCCAACAGAGCCATATACTTTCTGATTATCCATTCCATCTCTGTTGTATTCTCCCATTCCAGAACATCCCATTCCAAAGCTGCCTTCATGGACATAATTCAACAAGAGTTCCACTTAGCACTGTTGCATGTTGTTTTTATTGTCAAACATGGGAGTCCACTGGATGTTCATGTGTAACAAAACTGTATACCTACTTGCCATCAGCTCTAATACCAATATTTTGTGATTTAGTGATGAGAAGCAATTAGCAATGTCATTTTCAGTTGCATCTCTTGTTAGGTACAACATTCTGAACTTGCATTTTCAGGTTCACCACAGCCATAGCCTTCTGCACCTTTTTCCAGCTCTTATTTTGTTACCAAAGCCATTGTTCCTATAGCTATAATTATTATAGCTACCACAGTTACCAAAAGCTCCATACTTCCACACTCAACTCCTTAATAAACCTCTCTTCCTCTATGTAATATGGTGTGGATCACTGTCCCAACAATTTTCTTAGTAAATTTTAAAGTTCTTTGTTGTTCTTACTACTTATAAAGATCTCAACATAACTTGAAAGAATTAAAATATTTCTTCTTTGCTACTATCAAATGGCATCTCAGAAAGTTGTACTGTCCTATATCACTAGTGTCATTTGGACCATTATGTATCATAATTAGACTTAAATGCTCCTTTTACCATTACCTGTTGGGTAATGGTAACACAACTCTGGTGGCAAACAGGTCTAATCATGAACAAGAAGTTTACCTCAGGCAGTATTCTCTACAATAGCTAAGGAAGCTTCCAGTTCTCCATTTTATAAATGGATTGTTGAGTTATAGGAGTTTTTTATATATTATTACAACTTCTGGACTCTTACCAGATACATGATTTATAAATATTGTCCCTCATTCTGTAGGTTATTTTTTCAATTATAAGTCAACTATTACTATTATTATTCTTTGTGCGTGTGTGCCAGTCTTGGGGCTTGAACTCAGGGCCTGGGCACTGAATATCAAGGCTAGTGTTGTCCCAGATGAGCCAGGCTCCACTTCTAGATTTTTGGTGGTTAATAAGAGATAAGAGTCTCGGGGCTGGGAAGGTGGCTCAGTGGTAGAGCGCTTGCCTTGCATGCTCGAGGCCCTGGGTTCGATTCCTCAGCACCACATAAGCAAAAAGAAAAAAGCCGGAAGTGGCCCTGTGGCTCAAGTGGTAGAGCGCTAGCCTTGAGCTGAAGAGCTGAGGGACAGCGCCCAGGCCCAGAGTTCAGGCCCCACTACCGGACCCCCCCCCCCCAAAAAAAAGAGTCTCATGAACTTTCCTGCCTAGGCTGGCTTCAAACTGTAATTCTCAAATTTCAACTTCCTGAATTGCTACGATTACAGATATGAATCACTGGTGCCTGGCTAAGACAATTACTGTTGTTGTTGTTGTTGTTGTTATTGTCAGTTATGGGGCTTGAACTCAAGGTCTGGGCACTATACCTGAGCTATTTTTGCTCAAGGTTAGTGAGTGCTCTACAACTTGGAGCCACAGGCCCATATCTGACTTTCTGGTGGTTAACTGAAGAAAAGAGTTTCACAGACTTTCCTGCTTGGGCTGGCTTTGGACCATAATTCTCAGATCTCAGTTCCTGAATAGCTAGGATTATGAGCTACCAGTTCTCAGCTTGGCAATTATTTTTTGATGTATGAAACTTAAAATTTTGATCAAGTGGTCTACCACTGAGCTACATACCCAGCCCTAGTATGGTTTTTTTGTTGTTGTTTTATTTTGTTTTTTTTTTTTTTTTTTGGTCGTGGGGCTTGAACTCTGGGCCTGGGTGATGTTCCTGAGTTCTTCAGCTCAAAGTGAGTGCTCTACCAAGTGAGCCACAGTGCCACCTCCGGTTTTCTGGTGGTTAATTGGAGAGAAGAGTCTCATGAGCTTTCCTATCCAGGCTGGCTTTGAACTGTGATCCTCAGATCTCAGCCTCCTGAGTAGCTAGGATTACAGGTGTGAGCCACCAGTGCTTGGTTCATTTTTTTCCTTTTTAATGCTGGTCCCGAGCTTGAACTCCGGGCCTGAGCAATGTCTCTGAGCTTTTTTTTTTTGCTCAAGGGCAGCACTCTACCACTTGAGCCACAGTGCCACTTCCAGCTTTTTTCTGAGTAGTTTATTGAAGATAAGAGTTTCATGGACTTTTCTGCCTGGGCTAACTTTGAAACACAACCCTCAGATCTCAGAATCCCAAGCAGCTAGGCTTCTATGTGCAAGCCACCGTATATAGCTTCCAAGTATAATTTTAAAAGAATTTTATTTCTAAATTAACCTAGTCCCTTGACTTGGAAAATGCTTTAAGGAATGGTTTTATAACAATACTTAGAGTGGAACATGCTACTACTTAGTAATCAAGATATTTTAAATATTAAAAATTCCAGGTATATAACAAGAATATACACATATATAACAAGAATACGAACACACACACACACACACACTCTCTCTCTCTCTCTCTGTTAATTTACCTAATAATTTGTCCTTCTTCTTCTGGAGTAGCTGGTCTTAACCCAAGAACTATGTGACATACCTAGAGAAAAAAAAAAAAAACAACATAAATTTTATTGACTGGTGCCATTGACTAGACTGTATATTTCATACTGTATTCAGAAAATCCTTTTTTTTTTTAATGCCCACCTGGGGCTTGAACTCAAGGCCTGGAAGTTGCCCTCAATGCTAGCACTTAAGTCATAGCTCCGCTTTCAACTTCTTGGTGGTTAACTGGAGATCAAAATTTTATGGATTTTTGCTGCCCAGGCTGGCTTTGAACAGTGATCCTCAGGTCTCAGCCCCTCCTAAGAAGCTAAGATTACAAATGTGCACCACTGGTGCCCTGCAGAAGATCCATCTTTCAGATGAGTATCTTAGCAATAGGTATCAATGATTTAGTGGAATAAAATTTAAGTTTCATTGTGTTTTTAAATTTAATACTTTAAAAAATAGAGGCAAATTCCCAAATCTCTAAAAGAAAAAAAGGAAAAGAGAAAGTAGAAGGGAGGGAGAAGAAGAATGGAAAAGTATGAAAGAGAAGAGGAAGCAAAAAAAAAAAAAAAAAAGGCCAGGTCTGGTGGCTCACACCTGTAATCCTAGCTATGCTGGAGGCTGAGATCTGAGGATCACGGTTCAAAGCTAGACTCTGCAGGAAAGTTTATGAGATTTTATTTATTTATTTATTTATTGTTGGTCGTGGGGATTGAACTCTGGGCCTGGGCACTGTCCCTCAGATCTTCAGTTCAAGGCTCTACCAATTGAACCACAGTACCACTTCCAGTTTTCTGGTGGTATACTGGAGATAAGAGTCTCACTGACTTTCCTGCACAGGATGGCTTTAAACCATGATCCTCAGATCAGCCAGCTGAGTAGCTAGGATTACAAGCATGAGCCACTGGCACTTGACTTTATCAGGCACCTGGCTCTATCAGACGCTTATCTCCAATTAAACTCGAGAAAACTGGAAGTGGAGTTGTGGCTCAAAGTAGTAGAGCACTACTAGTCTTGAGCAAAAGAGTTCAGGGACTGTGCTCAGGCCCTGAGTTCAAATCCTATGACTGACAAAAAAAAAAGAAAAGAAAAGCTTGTTACAGCCTAAAACAGAAAACATAAACATGAAAACATATATGTAAAAACATGTCACAGGTGGTCAGTGAACAAGTTTCTATAGAATATAAATATGGAGAACATGATACTTATTGGGTTTTTAGGGTATAGAAACATCCAAGTTTCACAAATATTACCAATTTCAATGATTTTAGCAGTTTACATTAATGTCAATAATGTGTGAAAAATTTACTTGCTTTTATCACCAACAATACATCACTTAATAACTTTATATGTTTATGAAAGGGGCTAACCTCTTTTTTTGCTTTTGTTTTGTTTTGTTTTTATCAGTTGTGGGGGTCTGAACTCTGGGCCTGAGTGCTGTCCTTCAGTTCTTCAGGTCAAGGCTAGTGCTCTACCACTTGAGCCACAGCACCACTTCCAGATTTTTCTGCTTATGTGGTACTGAGGAATGGAACCCAGGGCCTTGTGCATGCAAGGTAAGCAAGCACTCTACCACGGCACTCTACCTTCCCAGCCCGGGGCTAACCTCTTTGGTTACTATGTTAATAGTTGTTTAAAAACCGTTAGCCAACAACATGGTTATGTTTTAAGTTTATCAGATTATATATGCTTTAAATACGTAACACTGATGAACTAACAAGAAGAGACCAGTTTCCATTTATTCTAAGACAGCTGGGTAGCAGGTAAGTTATCCTCTACTTAAAATGAAAGGTTGGGAAGTGGCGCTGTGGCTTAAGCAGTAGAGTGCTCGCCTTGAGCTGAAGAGCTGAGGGATAGCGCCCAGGCCCAGAGTTCAATCCCCACAACCGACCAAAGAGAAAAAACAACAACAACAACAACAAAAACCGAAAGGTTGTAATAGGGCATAACATACCAAATCATTCAAATCTTCACAAGGGTGATTTTACAAGGAAAGAAAAACAAAACAACCCAGAATAACCAACTATTAAATAAACTTAAATATTTATGAAGAACTACAAAAAATGGAAAAGGAGTGTAAATTATTTCTTAACAAAATCAAAAACAAGAGAACTAGTTTAACTGAATAAAATTGGGGAGGCTCAATGGCTTAATGTTCAAAACTCTTGTATTTCCTTCCTTCCTTCTCTATTTTAGTTGGGTCTTCTAAAGAATAAAGTAAAGGAGCATTTGTGTGTGTGTGTGTCTATGTTTAATTTGTAACAAAGCCTTACAGGACAGGCACAAACAATAAATCCTCTTTTGCAACCCAGAACTCATTGAGATTTTGGTACATGTAAGAAGGAATATGAGGGGCTGGGAAGGTGGCTCAGTGGTAGAGCGCTTGCCTTGCAGGCATGAGGCCCTGGGTTTGATTCCTCAGCACTACATAAGCAAAAAGAAAAAAGCCAGAAGTGGTGCTGTGGCTCAAGTGATAGAGTGCTAGCCTTGAGCTGAAGGACAGCGCCCAGGCCCAGAGTTCAGGCCCCATGACCGCCGCCCCCTCCCCCCCCCCCCCCCCCCCCCCCCCCCCCCCCCCCGCCAAAAAAAAAGAAGGAGTATGATTCCTACAACAGTTAGCATTGTGAGTGTTTGTTAATTCACACAGGTTGCTCTGAGAATAAAGCTGATGTAAAAAGCAAGAAAATAAAAATAAAATAGGCTTATAACAAGGATCTCTCAACTAAAGAGAATGTATACTTTGAAAATTTCATAGTGTTCATATTGTCCTTACTATTAGGAAAGGCCCTTTTAAAAGACAAGAGGCCAGGCGCTAGTGGTTCACGCCTGTAATCCTAGCTACTCAGGAGGCTGAGATCTGAGGATCAGGTTCAAAGCCAGCCCAGGAAGGAAAGTCCATGAAACTCATCTCCAATAAACCACCAAAAAACCTAAAGCGGCACTGTGGCTCAAGCAGTAGGGTGTTTCGCCTTGACCTGAAGAGCTGAGGGGACAGTGCTTAGGCCCAGAGTTCAAGCCCCACAACTGACAAAAAAAAAGACAACAAGTGGCTGGGAAAGTAGCTCAGTGGTAGAATGATTGCCTTGCATGCATGAGGCCCTGGGTTAGATTCCTCAGCGCCACATAAGCAGAAAAAGCCAGAAGTGGCGCTTGGCTCAGGTGGTAGAGAACTAGCCTTGAGCTAAAGAGCTGAGGGACAGCGCCGATGCCCAGAGTTCAGGCCCCACGACTGACCCCCCCCCCCCCCCCAAAATAAAAGACAACAAGGGCTGGAGGATGTAGTTCATTGGTAGGGCACTTGCCTAGCATTCATGAGTCTGGAGTTGACCCTCAGCCCTAGGGATGTAAGTAGGGGAGTAGGCAAGGGATATAAAAATGAAAAAAAAGTGGGCTGGGAAGGTGGCTTACTGGTAGAGCGCTTGCCTAGCATGCATGAAGCCGTGGTTCGATTCCTCAGCACCACATACACAGAAAAAGCCAGAAGTGGTGCTGTGGCTCAAGTGGTAGAGTGCCAGCCTTGAGCAAAAAGAAGCTCATGGGACAGTGCCCAGGTCCTGAGTTTAAGCACTGGCAATAAGAAGAGGAGGAGGAGGAGAAACAGGAGGAGGAGAGGTAGAAGAGGAAGAGGAAGAGGAAGAGTAGTAGTAAAAAAATTATGATGTCTTCTACAATTAGGATTATTTTCTATATGTCTAAATGCTGCTTTGAGTTATAATAAAATAAGCAACCATATTTCCATTCTGCTTTCCTATTTCCCACATCACGATTTTGAGAAGATTCAGTGGTTACTCGTGTCTATCTTACTATCCTTTTGGAGATGTACAAGATAATGTAATTCTATCTTTCCATAACATGATTTAGCAGCTTAGCTGTGATAACTGTAGTATTATATAGTGGAAAATAGTATTACCTCTGCTACAACTTAATACCTGTTGTTTACCTTAAACATACCTGGAAGAGAAGATTCAAAAATTCATTGGCAAGAACATTTTTCACACTCCAGATCTGATAGTCTTCTAGAGTAAGATGGCCTATCTGAAAATGAGACATTGAAAAGATCTCACGTTAAGTTAGAATACAGTCATGTCCCTGAAAGCAAGCCCATAATTCATATTAGGTACTATGTGTTCATCTAAAAACAAGCCAGTAGTGTAAGTTTGCAGGTCATAAAACTTAGGCAAATTCATTTGTGATTTTATTCAAGCAAGCAATAAAAGCAAAATGTTATTAATAATAAATTTTCCTCACTAAACTTGGGCTATAGCCAGGTGCTAGTGGCTTATGCTTGTAATCCTAGGGTTATAGCCAGGCGCTAGTGGCTTATGCTTGTAATCCTAGCTACTCAGGAAGCTGAGATCTGAGGATTCCTGTTTGGAGCCAGCCCAGACAATAAAGTCCGTGAGTCCCTTGAGATTCTTATCCCCAATTAACCCCCAAAACCTAGACATGGAGGTGTGGCTCAAGTGGTAGAGCACTATCCTTAAGCAAAAAGCTCAGGGACAGCACCCAGGCCCTGAGTTCCAGTACATGCAAAGAAAGAAAAAAAAAAAACTCTGGGTATAACAAAATTATTTCTGCTTCAAAGGTTACCAATGAAAAACCATAAAGGAATACGGAGTGGACAAAGTGAACATTTACAAATTTTCAAACTAAGTAGTTGACTTTCATTTGCTAGTACCAGGGCTTGAAGTCAGACGTTGGACTTTCTCTGCTTGTTTGCTCATAGCTGGCACTCTACTACTTAAGCTATGTGCCTCTAGCCTGGCATTTTTCTGGTTAACTGTAGAAATCTCTCAAGATTTTGTCTGCTGGGGCTGGCTTTGAACCTCAATCCTCAGATTTCAGTATTCTGAGTAGCTAGGAAAACAGGTGAACTACCAGAACCCAGCTTAATCCCTAATAATTTTATGACTTTCTTATGGAGTATTTACCTTTCTCCAAATATTACTTTTCTATAAAAAAGCAACATTTTTGTTATGTCAATGTGTACAAAAATATATGTAAATATATATCAAATGTTTATCTCACACATCAATTGTGTTTTTTGTTTTTGTTTTGTTTTTGCCAGTGCTGGGGCTTGAACTCAGGGCCTGGGCATGTCCCTGAGCTTCTTTTGCTCAAGGCTAGCTCTCTAACACTTGAGCCAAAACACCAATTTTGGCTTTTTCTTTGTATGTGGTACTGAGAAATTGAATCAAGGACTTCATGCATGCTAGGCAAGCACTCTACCACTAAGCCACATTCCCAATCCTCACTGAATGTTTTTAACTTTTTGAGCCACAGCATTACTTCCAGTTTTCTACTGGGTTAATTGGTGATAAGAGTCTTACAGACTTTCGTGACCGGGCTCGTACCAAACAGTGACCCTCACGCTCATCTCCTGAGTAGTTAGGATTATAGGCATGATTATAGGCTATTTTTAAGTTTTTGCCATTTAATGATACTATGTTCTCTGTTCATCATATAAAAACATGTTATATAAGGTTTTCAATTAATTATTATTAATTATTATGATTAATTATTGTAATTGTTTTCTATGAGACAACTACTATTTAGATTTACTAATAGCAATCTAAATGGTGGCAGTCAATTAACAAGATAAAGACATTTTCTTTCTTTTGACGGTATTGTGGCCTGACTCATACATCATTTTTAAGAAAACAAAACACAGCTGACTTCTGGAATCACTGAAGTGTGTATTTCAACTGCTATACCCAAACAACAAACATGTAAAGATTTAATAGTAAGAAAATCTTAATTGTAACCCCTCCTTGTATATCAACTTGACAATAAAATTTAAAAGAAGTAAAAGAATATCTTCCAAATCCATGTAGAGAAATTAAAGGGAAAGAAAAATGAAAAAATGAAAAACCTCACTTCTATTTTTCTAAGCATGTTTCTATTCAGAAATTGAGGAAGGATGGTGTTGGTGGCTCATGCCTGTAATCCTAGCTACTCAGGAGGCTGAAATCTGAGGATCACAGTTCAAAGCCAGCCTGTGCAGGAAAATTCATGAGACTCTTGTCTTTAATTAACCACCAGAAAACCAGAAGTGGCGTTGTGGCTCAAGTGGTAGAGCTTGCCTTGAGCTAAAGAGCTCAGAGACAGTGCCCAGGCCCAGAGTTCAAACTCCATGACCAAAAAAAAAAAAAAAGTTGAGGAAGTATAAGCAAATCACTACATTATGCCTAGTATCACAGAATCTTTCTTATCATGACTACTTACTTAAATTGCTTGTTCACTTATCACAAAGAGGAAGTGCTCTGAAGGGGTTTGTATGTTTTTCTCAAATCTAGTACAAGGAATTGAAAACATCTAGATCTATATTACAGAATTCCCCCAAAGGATTTCTAACTTAGATCTTTGATCTATACTCCCTAGTCTTCTGCACTTTTTATTTTTGAAACAAGGTGCTTCCTGCTTATGTGCTTACATGGACCACAATCCATCTATTTTGGCTTCCTGTTATATCTGGACTAACAGGCATGCTCCACCAAACCCAGTTATCACTTATAAAGTGGTGTCGCTAGCTACCCTGCCCCGGTTGGCTTCAATCTGTAACTTTTCATATCTCAGCCTCCAAGCAGGTAGGACTACAGGCTTGAGCCCAACTACTCTGGCAATTTTTGAAACAAGGTCTTGCTTTTTTGCCCAGGTTTCTTGATTAATGCTTCTTACCATAGCAGAGATGACAGGCATGCAATGCATGAGCTTTTTCTGTTGAGACAGAGTCTTGCTGAGATGTTCTTGATCTGAGCCACCACACATAGCTAGGATATACAAGCATGACACCTCATCTAGCTATTTGGCATGTGTCTTTGAATCTTTGTGTCTGTGTTTGCCTGCAGAGTAGCTAAGATTACAGGTTTCAGCCACCAGAGTTGAACTAATCTGATTCTTTTATGTAGCCAAACTATACAAATAATTAAGGCACCTAGTCTCAAATATTTTAAGGAACAATGTTCTTTTTTGTGTGTTGGCACAAGGGTTTGAAGTCAAGGTCTCATGTTAGCTAGGAATGTAATATCACTGGATCTACATCTTCCATCCTTTTTTGCTTTTAGTTATTTTTCAGGTAGGATCTTGGTTTTTGCATGGTACCGGCCTCAGATCACAATATTCTTACCTATAGCCTCCTATACAGCTAGAATCACAAATGTGTATTACCACACTTGGTGTGTTCATTAATATGAGATACTAAGAATTCTTTGCCTACACTGCTTCAAACTATGATCCTCCCAGACTCTATCTCCTAAGTGGCTAGGATTACAGGCACAACCACTCTACATGGCTAAGGAACAATTTCCATAGTGAAGTTATACTACATAAAAGAAATGTTAATATTGTCCCCCCTCCCCAAAAAAGAAATATAGAAAGAAAATACTGTATATTACCATATAGATTAATCATATGTACACTAACAGTCAAAAGCCCATTTGGAAGCCAGGCATGGCAGAGCTTAGGTCTGTAATCCCAGAACTCAGGAGAAGAGGTAGAAGGATAATAAGTTTAAGGCCAGCTTGGGCTACATGGTTTCAGGTTAGTCCAAGTTATATAGCAGGACACTGTCTTAAAAAAAAAAAAAAAAAGCCAGGCACTGGTGGCTCATGCTTGTAATCCTAGCTACTCAGGAGGCTGAGATTTGAGGATTGTGGTTCAAAGCCAGCCTAGCAGGACCATCTATGAGAAAACTGGAAGTGGCTCTGTAGCTCAAGTAGTAGAGCTCTCACCCTTAGCTGAAGAGCTCAGAGATAGCACCCAGGCAGAGTTCAAGACCCACTACTCTCTCTCTCTCTCACACACACACACACACACAAGAGCCCATTTGCTATACCAACAATTAAAAACTAATTAAAACATACACAATTTTGCTTAAAAACTAGAGTAGTAAGTTAAGGGAAAAAGTGAGGGCTGCCGACAGCCATTTTTCTTTGTAATGAAGATCAAAGGTAGATACAGAATTTAGGGGAAAGATAAGCTTAGATGAGGATGCAAAAAAACACACAAAACAAATAAATGAAATAGAAAATATAGGCATAAAGAAACAAAGACTAGTGGAAATCAAATTAATAACTCTTCCCAGGCTAAAAGAGATATCGGAGGTGTGGCTCAAGTAGTTCCAGCCTTGATTAGAAAAAAACAAGTGAGAGCCTGAGACCTGAGTTCAAATTCCAGTGTTGGCACAAAACCAAAAACCTCTAAAGAAAAAAAAGCAACTAATAAACCTTATGATTATGGAACCCAGGAAATTTCCCTGCTGGCAGAGAGGGCCCTGACTGTTGCTTCTCCCCTTTCCTCCCTCCTTTTTTTTCTTCTGCTCTTATGAAGGCTTCAACTTTTAGATTTGTTTATTCTCCCTATGACCCCTTCCTGACTCACTTGACTCTCTCTTTTTTTTTTTGGTCCAGTCGTGGGGCCTGAACTCTGGGCCTGGGCGCTGTCCCTCAGCTCTTCAACTGAAGGCTAGTGCTCTACCACTTGAGCCACAGCACCACATCTGGCTTTTTTCTTTTTGTTTATGTGGTGCTGAGGAATCGAACCCAGGACCTTATGTATGCAAGGCAAGCGCTCTACCAATGAGCCACCTTCCTAGCCCCTCACTTCACTCTCTAACTGATAAGACCTACATAGGTGAAACACCAGCAGAACAGATCAATTTCATGGGGATCTACTATATGGACCTTAGAACAATTCAGCCTATACAACAGCAATCAAAGGCAAACTCTTTTGGGAGTAAATCATGTGCCAACTGCTACTGATGGAAGGAAAACAGGTACTCAGCTCCTCAGGATGAACCCTAAATGAGTCAAAGAAGCAAGAACTACAGATTCTTTAGCTAGTGAATGTGCTACAGTGGTAGTGTTAGTGGATTGTTTTTATGTTGATGAACTTGCTTGTGAGTGAACAAAGCAGGAGTACTGCATGATTCCCTGGTGATGAGTGCTACCTTGGACACCGTTCTGGAACTTGGCTGCACTGACAAATTTGTATACCTCTTTCTTCGTGTCCCACCCTCCTCTTGCTTTCAAAGAAGCATTGATAGCTAGAAACTTCCTTTGTCAAGGTAACCAACTCACATAGCCAATCGGATAAGTATAGAGCATAGAGTTGAGTGCCAGCTGGAATACACTGGCTTAATAACTAGAAAGGAAACTCCCAGTCCAATTCATATTATAGAGCCCAGCAAGCAAAAAACTGATTTTTTTCCTATTTATTTATTTAGTCATTTGTGGGGCTTGAACCCAGGACCTGGGTGCTGTCCCAGAGCCTCTGTGTTCAAGTCTAGTGTTCTACCACTTGAGCCATACCATCACTTCCAGTTTTCTAATGGTTAACTGGAGATAAAGAATCTCATGGACATTCCTGCTTTGAACCATGATTCTCAGATCTCAGCCTTCTGAGTAGCCTTCTGAGTAGCTAAGATTACAGTCATGAGCCACCTGTGCCCAGCCAACTTTTTAATTTTTTTCCCTCTTTTTCTCACTGGTAGTCCATTCCAACTCCCACTCTCTTTATTACCTCTATCTTTATTTTCCCTTTCTGTATATATGAGAAATCTTCAATTATGCATTCCATTCCCCAGAGCCCCATTTTCCACATCTTTTTTTTTTTTTGGGGGGGGGGGGGGTCCAGTCATAGGGCCTGAACTCTGGGCCTGGCGCTGTCCCTCAGCTCTTCAGCTCAAGGCTAGTGCTCTACCACTTGAGCCATAGCACCACTTCCAGCTTTTTTTTTTTCTTTTTGCTTATGTGGTGCTGAGGAATTGAACCCAGGGCCTCACGCATGCAAGGCAAGCCCTCTACCACTGAGCCACCTTCCCAGCCCCTTCCACATCTTTTATCCTTTCTGCCACCACCCCCCTACTTTTAATAGCCAAGTACTATTTTCTACACAAAGCAACTTTATCATTCTGATATCCTTTGGAAAGAATCAAAATCCCTAGGCCCTAGGCCCTTGTATATATAATGTGTTTGGTGTATACATCTTGTAAACTAAGGCCTTTTGTTTGTAGATATTTGGTTGGGTTTTGAATTGGTGAACTTTTATTTTTGGGGGGGGAGGGTCTGGTCATGGGGCCTGAACTCTGGGCTTGGGCGCTGTCCCTCAGCTCTTCAGCTCAAAGCTAGCACTCTACCACTTGAGACACAGCGCCACTTCTGGCTTTTTTTTTTTGCTTATGTGGTGCTGAGGAATTGAACCCAGGGCCTCAGGCATGCAAGGCAAGTGCTATACCACTGAGCCACCTTCCCAGCCCTGAATTGGTGAACTTTTTAACTCCACATCAAGGACAAGAAACAGAACATCAACCAAGCTAATACTCATTCCTGTGAGAATACAGAAATTAACTCAGTGGAGAGACCTCAAGTGACTAACACTCAAGTTTACTTCTGCTCTTAAAGTTAATATAAACGGAGTCATACTGTGCATTGTTTTATTTTGGTTTAATTTTCTTTCTTTCTTTCCTTTTGTTTTGTCAGTTTGGGTCTTAAACTCAAGTCCTGGGTGCTGTCCCTGAGCTCTTTCGCTCAAGGCTCATGCTCTACCACTTTCAACCACAGCATCATTTCTAGTTTTTTACTAGAAATTGGGGATAAGAGTCTCACGGGAACTTTTCTGCCCAGGCTAATTCTGAACCATGATCCTCAGATGTTAGCCTCCTGAACAGCTAGGATTACACATGTGAGCCAACAGCATCCAACTATGTTTGATTTCTTCTACAACATAGTAAGCTTTATTAGAAAGGAAGAAATAATGGTTATAAACTACAGAGGTCAAGAAGTTTATTTAGTTCTTACATTAGACTTCATAGACTTGCTAAAAGATGGAACAAAGTCTCTTTACAGATAATTTTGAGCTACTATAACCACAGGTCCAGGTAAATATTTAGCAAAGGTACTTGACCATGTATATAAGCTATACTTTTTTTTTTTTTTTTTGGCATGTGTATGACACTACTGGGGCTTGAAGATAGGGCCTAGGTGTTGTTCCTTAGTTTTTCACTCAAAGCTAATACTCTATCACTTGAGCCACAGCTCCATTTCCAACCTTTTGGTGGTTAACCAGAGATAAGACTCTATGAACTTTCCCACCTGGGCTGACATTGAGCCAAGATCTTCAGATCCAGCCTCTTGTGTAGCAAGGGTTACAGGTGTGAGCCACTGGTGCCTGACTAAAGCTACACAATGTGATTTATGAGTATATGGTTATTGGGGCTGGGAAGGTGGCTCAGTGGTATAGCACTTGCCTTGCATGCTCGAGGCCCTGGGTTCGATTCCTCAGCACCACATAAGAAAAAAAGCCGGAAGTGGTGCTGTGGCTCAAGTGGTAGAGTGCTAGCCTTGAGCTGAAGAGCTGAGGGACAGCGCCCAGGCCCAGAGTTCAGGCCCCATGACCGGACCCAAAAAAAAAAAAAAAAAAAAAAGAGTATATGGTTATTTTGAGAAAAAGATAAATTAGTCATAGTCTGACTTACTTTTGTAGTGTCATGTGCATCCAATATGCCTTCCACAATGTCAGAGAGATCCTTATGCAATTCCTTTAAAAAATAACCCAAAAGAGTAATAAGAAAAGGCTATGTAAATATAATTTTTATTATTCAGTAGCTAAATTATGCTGGCCAAATATTTAAAAATTACTATAGATTCTCACATTGTTTCACAAAGTAAGATACTCTGCTGTTTCATTCTTAGTCTACACAATAAGCTCAGTTTATTAAATTTTCCTAAGGCAAATTTCTTAATTTTACATATTTAGCTATGAATACTTGGAGTAGCACAATATACCAACTAAATGCAGTAACAAATCCTTCTTGTTTTTTTTTTTTTTTTTTGGTCAGTCATGGGGCTTGAACTCAGGGCCTTGGGTCCTGTCCCTGAGCTCTTTTGTTCAACACAAGTCCACCTCTGGTTTTCTCATGGTTAAATGGAAATCAGAGTCTCAGAGAATTTCCTGCCCTGGCTGGCTTTGAACTGTAATCCTTAGATCTCAGCCTCCTGAGTAGCTAGGATTTCAGGTGTGAGGCACCAGTTCACAGAACAAATGCTTTTTTCTTTTCTCTTACAAATCATCATTCAATTTTCCTGTTGGAGGTTTATATTCAAGAAGATGCAATAATCAGAACTTACGGGGATATCATCAGTGCGGTTGTCCTTCCAGACCTCTAAAAGTGCAACCACCATGTCTCTCAGTTCAACCCTGGAGAGAACTCCATCACGGTCAACATCAAACACCTTGAAACAAACTAATAAAAAGAAACGTATGGAGACAAATGACTTTTAGATTCTGAAGTATAAAACACTTTATTAGAAACTGCACTGCATACTTACTTAATTTTTCAAGCAAGCATATTCTGGATCAGTTTTCATCAGGAGTAGATTATAGTCTATCAGTATATTTTTGGAACTTATTGAATTTCCTCAATAGACTTCACAAATCTGTCTCTAAATAATTACCCAGGTTGGGATGACCTATCTATCACATAGATCTAACTTGTTTATAAGGTAGAAATAAGGAGCCAGGTGCCAGCAGCTCATACCTGTAATTTACCTTGCTACTCAGGAGGCTGAGATCTGAGGATCACAGTTTGAAGCCAGTCTGGGCAGGAAAGCCCATGAGACTCTTATCTCCAATATAGTACTCAAAAAAGCCAGAAATGATGCTGTAGCTGAAAAGAAGCTCAGGGATAGGGCCCAGGCCCTGAGTTCAAGCCCCAGGACTGACAAAAACCCATAAACAAAAAACAAAACAAAACTAGAGAGCCCTGTACTAGTGGATCACGCCTGCAATCCTAGCTACTCAAGAAGCTAAGACCTAAGGATCATGGTTCAAAGCCAGCCCAGGCAGGAAAGTCCATGAGGCTCCTATCACCAATTAACTACCATAAAACCAGAAGTGGTGCTGTGGCTCAAGTTATAGAGTGCTTGCCTTGAGCTGAAGAGCTGAGGGACAGTGCCTAGGCCCAGAATTCAAGCCCCACGACCGACCAAAAAAAAGAAAAGAAAAGGGACTAAACAAATATTATCTTACAGGTTATAAACAGGTAATATAAGTCCTTAAGTTAATTTCCTTTTTCCTGTAGTTTTCCACCCTCTCTCTGTATCTTCCCCCTTTCCTTTTTAATTTTTAGTGATGCCACATATCAAAACTAGGGCCTGGAGCCCAGGCAATCTGTTCTACCACTGAACTTGATCTCCAGTCCATTAAAATTTCTTTCTTTCCTTCCTTTTTACTGGTCCTGGGACTTGAACTCAGGACCTGGGTGCTGTCCCTGAGCCTCTTTATGCTCAAGGCTAGAGCTCTATCACTCGAGCCACAGCACTACTTCCAGCTTTTTCTGAGTAGTTTATCGGCAATAAGAGGCTAACAGGCTTTCCTGCCTGGGCTGGCTTTGAACCTCGAACCTCACATCTCAGCCTCCTGAGTAGCTAGGATTACAGGCCTGAGCACCAGTGCTCAGCTTCCTTCCTTCCTTCTTTTTGTTTGCTTTTGAAATACATCTCACTATAGAGATATATAGATACATATAGGCTGACCTTGCTTGAGGCCTTAGTAGCGCTGGCATTACAGATGTGTACCACCATATCTAGCTCATTTAAGTTATTGTCTAATGCTCAAAACAGATGAATGGAAATCTATTTCTATTTATTTTCTTGTTTGTTTAGGCAGCACTAGAGTTAGAACTCAGGGTACTGAATTTGGTAGGCAGATGCTCTACCACTTCATTTTTTTTTTATTTAATTTAAATTTTTTTTTGTAAACATACTGTACAGAGGGGTTACAATTACATGGGCAGGATAATGCATACATTTCTTATCAAGCATTGCAGCCTCCTCCTTTGTTTACCCTTCACATCCCTTCCTTACCTCCCCCCTACCTCCCCACCACCCAATCCTCCCCCCTCCCCACCTCTACCACTTGATTACATCTACTGCATATACAGTTGTTTCTTATATACATTTAATATCCTATCTACACTGAGAATCACAACATGATGATGGAAATATACCTTGTATCCACTTTAGCTTTCTAATGTAACAATGTACATTAATTTTTTTGCCAAGAACAAGTTCAGCTCTTCAATAAGGCTTATATACAATATGCTAAGGATCAGAAAATTAATACTTCATTAATTAACTCCAATAGAATCACTTTAATTTGTTAACAGACATATTTATCATCAACAAAATTGTTTTTTTATAGTTGGAGTGGTGGGTCAGTCATGAGGCTTGAACATAGGGCCTGGCACTGTACCTAAGCCAGCCAGCCTACCTGCCTTCCTTCTTTCCTTTCTTTTTTTGTGCTCAAGGATAGTGCTCTACCACTTTGAGCCATATTCCACTTTCAGTTTTTAGGTGGTTAGATGAAAATAAGAGTCTCACAGACTTTCCTGCTTAAGCTGGCTTTGAACTGCAACCCTGAGACCCTGCCCCCTGAGCAGCTAGGATTACAGGTGTGAGCCAACAGCATCTGGCAAAAAAAAAATCTTAAAATTGTTAAAAGCAGTAAGTAATCTCAACAAAAAGCAGAGATTTCAGTTGCTTTTCTTAACATTAAATTTTTATAATTTTCCTAAAGCCAGTTTAGAGCAATAATACATTAACAAGGAGTAAAAAGTCTGGATTTTTAGGATTAAAACTTCTGTTTATATAGAATAATTATGATATTAAATCAAAATGGATCATTGTATAATATTACTCAGTCAGACAAAAATATTAATACCCCAAACAGGCAATATTTGGGAAGCTCTATTTTAGGAAGTCAGAAATAATTACTCTAGTAAATACATTTGAATTAGATTCCAATTAAATGTAAATGGTTGCATTTTCTCAAGTATGATCACGATTTAATAATGCAATATATACTTATACCGGTACATCATGCTGTAACATTTTAGTCAGGTTAAAAAGACCATTTCAGGGGCTGGGAAGGTGGCTCAGTGGTAGAGCGCTTGCCTTGCATGCATGAGGCCCTGGGTTCCATTCCTCAGCACCACATAAGCAGAAAAAAAAAAGCCGGAAGTGGTGCTATGGCTCAAGTGGTAGAGTGCTAGCCTTGAGCTGAACAGCTGAGGGACAGTGCCCAGGCCCAGAGTTCAGGCCCTATGACTGGGCCCCCCCCCCCCTAAAAAAAATTTACTTATGTAAAACATAATTTATAAAAACATAACTCTTATAAAATATAAACTTTTATAAAATATGTAGTCAAATATAAAAAATGAGTTCTATTTCAAATTATATATGACACAAAACTCTCAATACAGACTAATAGAAAATATTTCTTAAATGTTTAAAAAACTTTCATTTATCAAGAATTGATATTTCAGGAAAAAAAGTCTTTGTTTTATGCTGGTACTGGGGCTTGAACTCAGGGCTTGGGCACTGTTTCTGAGCTTTTTTGCTTCAAGGCTAATGTGCTATCATTTGAGCCACAGCTATACTTCTGGGTTTTTGCTGGGTAATTCGAGTAAGAGTCTCACAGCCTTTCCTGTCTGGGCTGGCTTCAAACTGTAATCCTCAGATCTTAGCCTCCTGAGTAGCTAGGATTATGGGCACGAGCTGGTGGCACCCAGGTCTCAACTCCATTATTAACAGCAAAGATCTAAATTACTGCTCAGTAAAAAAGAATAAATGATTTTTCTTCTTTATAGACTTATCTAAGTAAAAGACCAACCTGAGATTAACATGTGCCAACTTGACAATTATAAAAACTTGAACTTCATTAAGTATATATTGAAAAAAAAAATAGCCTAAGTGCCCCATTTGTTAGGAAAATGGAAAGACGTGGGAAAAATTATAATTAAGTGAAGTAAGCCAGGCCCAAAGAAACATAGGTCCCATGGTTTCCCTTATTTGCAATAACTAGAATATATCTGAGACAAGCAGAAACGTCAGATAAGTTGATGTTAGGTGAAATGAACCCCAAGATAAGGATTCAAATGTTTTTTCTTGCTTGCTATTGTTTCTAACATATTTAAAAGATATTTCTTTTTGCTTTGTATGTCCTCTCCCATGGTATAACCCCTGCTTTCACTATATTTGATGGGGTATAATTTGTGGAAGGGAAGGGCAAAAACAAACCGTTTAAATAGGGATACAGGTGGACCCATTGCAACAATGAGATGTACAAGTTGTTATGTCGAAAAATGAACTTCACAACTTTGGAGGGGGCGGATGGGAAGGGATGGGAAGGGGAAAGAAAGGAGGAGGCAACAATGCTTGATAAGAAATGTACTCATTACCTTGCTCATAATTGTAACCCCTTTGTACAGTATTTTCACAATAAAAAAATCTAACTTGCAAAAAAACAACTTGAACTTCATTAAGTATATATTGAAAAAAAATAGCCTAAGTGTTAGAGATAGTGAATAAATATATCCAGTTTTAGTTTCAAAACCAATTTCCTGAATTCTAAGTATACAGTAAGCTGCCAATTTTGATCTTGTGTTGCTCTTTACCCACATGAGTTTTTTTCTTTTTTTTTTTATTATTAGTATTATTATTAATTAGAGGAGGGTGTGGGGGGAGGGGGAAGCAGCAATACTGTGTTTAAAAATTATAATCTGTATCTGGCTTTCCTGTGTATGTTAACCACTTAAATGTTATTATTATCCTGCTTTGGTTTTATAGTGATTGTGAAACATTCGATGCAAGTATACAGTTATTTTCTCATTAAAATAAACTTGGAACTTCAGTCCACAGATAATCTACCTGAATACAGTTGATTTTCTTTCAATAGTTTGCAAATCTGGGACACTGTCTTAACTCACTTACATTTCTGTCTTTCAGCCAGGGGTCCCCTGCAGCAAGCTGATAACCCACAGGATATCTCCTTAAAGTCTATGTGATTGTCACGATTTTCATCAAAGGCATTAAACAAACCTACAAAATAGAAAAAAAAAAAATACCATAAATCACAGCCAACTGCCTGCTAGTGTTAGTACTGACATGTTTATGAAAGAAGGAATGACTAGTTTCTTTCTTGTAACTTTGTTGAATTAAAAAGAAAAAGTATATCAGTAACTCCTAATGCCTTATTTCTCTTAGTACATTTGAAACATAATACCAGAATTATAACACTTTGGTGTGATTATATTTGTAACTTCCTTATATAAATTCTATTACCTTAAATATGCCCATATATACCTAAGTGACAAAGGATCCAGAAAAGTCCTTACTATCAGATTAAGAAGAAAACAAAAAAAGTAGAGCAAAAAATTATACTGCTTATTTAAAATGAATATTAAAAATATGCATGATATCATTAATAAAGATCCACCAAAGCTCTACCACAAAACAAAGGAAATATAGTATGCTATTTTAAAAAGTCTTTATCTTATTGCTTACAGATTATTATTTAAAATTTCATAAAAGGAAAGGGATTTCAAGTCTAGTCATGTATTTTTCAATCTTTTTCTTGTTTTGTTGGTCATGGGGCTTGAACTCTGGGCCTGGGCACTGTCCCTCAGCTCTTCAGCTCAGGGCTAGCTCTACCACTTGAGCCAAAGCACCACTTCTGGCTTCTTCTGATTATATGGTGCTGAGGTCGAATCCAAGGCCTCATTATGCAAGGCAAGCAACTCTACCACTGAGCCACCTTCCCAGCCCTCAATCTTTTTTTCCAGAAAATATGGAATAATTTTGTTTTGAAATGAAGTATGCCCAATTCTAAAAAGGCAAAAATACAACTTCATTGTTGAATTGATAGGAACCCATCAATACCTACACTAAGTCTCCTAAGGAGTACTTTGGAAGCATCTTAGGCATCTGAAAAAAGCACAGATTATATATTTCAAGAGGGCTGGGAAGCTGGTTTAGAGGTAGACTGCTTGCCTTGCATGCATGAAGCCCTGAATTCAATTCCTCAGTACCACATACACAGAAAAGGCCAGAATTGGCATTGTGACTCAAGTGGTAGAATGCTAGCCTTGAGGAAAAAAAGCTCAAGGACAGTGCCCAGGCCCTGAGTTCAAGCCCCAGGACTGGCACACACACACAAAAATATAAAATATATATTCCAAGAATCTAATTTAGAAAACTAAAGCTGAGTAGGAGGTAGATGATTTACATGCCAAACATGTAAAAGGCCCTGGGATTGATCCCCAGCACTAAAAACAAAAAATTCGCAATCAGAAGCAGAAAATAAGTATTAAGATTCTAGATATGAGCTAGGTACCAGTACAGTAGCTCACATTAATAAATCGTAAATACTCAGGAGGTGAGATCTGAAGATCTCTGTTCAAAGCCAGTCCAGGCAGAAAAGTCTGTGACACTCTTCCAATTAAACAGCAAACAACTGGAAATAGAGCTGTGGCTAAGACAGCCTTAAGCAAAAAACAAAAAAAACAAACAAACCAACAACACTGGACAACACTCAGGCCCTGAGTTCAAGCCCAGGCCAACACACACACACATACACACACACACACTCCTCTCTCTTTCTCTCTCTCTCTCTCTCTCCATATATATACGTACATATGTATGTACTCATATGAATGAATATCTGTGTATATATACATATGTACAAGTGTGTATTTATACACATATACATATATATACAAAAATATATACATTTTATATATATTCCAGATATACCTATTATGTTATCAGTAATTTAAGATTCCATTTAAATTATTTACTTTTAAAGTCATAGTAGGGGCTGGGAAGGTGGCTCAGTGGTAGAGCACTTGCCTTGCATTCATGAGGCCCTGGGTTCAATTCCTCAGCATCACATAAGCAAAAAGAAAAAAGCCGGAAGTGGCACTGTGGCTCGAGTGGTAGAGCACTAGCCTTGAGCTGAAGAGCTGAGGGATAGCTCCCAGGCCCAGAGTTCAGGCCCAACAACCAGACCCAAAAATAAATAAATAAATAAAGTCAAAGTAATAAGGATCTATATTGGACCTCAGATATATCTATTCTCTTTTTCTTTAAGGGTAGCAGGAATATATTCTGTATGAACAAAAAAAAGTAGCCGAGGAAGAGGTGGGGTCATGAGCAAACCTGGAGCTCTGCCCATTTAGTGGCCACGCTCCCAATTAATATTTTACCTGACATTCTTTACTGGAGCATAATTTCATAACCACTGACTTGGTAAAACTCATTTTATATAGGAAGTTTATTTAGATGCAGAAAACAAAATTGATTTTTGCAAGGCTATACAAGTAGAATATGAAGGTTAAAACTGCAATCTTAATTTCCATCTTGGTTTTTTCCTCAATATACTAAACAATAATTAGCAAAGAACTTAAAAACCTGTAAGAATATGGCTTTTCAGAATTAAAATAGATTAAAAATAAGGGCTGGGCTTATATGTATTTATTTACCAATGATAATCTGTAAAATAATGGAATGCTTCCTACCTTCACTTAGAGAAGGACGAATAGGTGGTGAAACCAATGGGCCAAAGGTCTCTAAATCAAATCGTCCAGTTCGGGATTGAGCCTTTAGCAACCAATAACGCTTTTCGAGATCAATGATGTCTGATTCTTCCACTGAGAATCAAATCAAACAAGATTATAAAAATTTACAATATCCTTCTGGTTGTTAGTTAATCCTGATAATGTATCCTGGAAGAATTTAATATCTCAATTCAATTCCTAAAAATAATTATAACCACACACTGAAAGATAAATTTATTACAATTAAAATGGTAGGGAAATTAGATCCAAATAACAGAGAACTTAAAAGCCAGAAAAAAAAACTCTTCAATTTCTTATTAAGTAAGCTTCTAAATCCAGCATATAAAGTAATACACAATTGAGCCATGTCTTTTGGTCTTCTCAGACTACTTTTCATTACTTCCATTTTTGTTCATTTCCATTTTGTGTACATCTTCTCTCCTGGGTAGACTATAAATATCATAAATAGCAGGCTACAGGTCTGATTCCAACTGTCAACATAGTGACTCATTGATTGTTCAATACTTTTTGAACAAATAAAAAAATATAGTAAAAAGCTAGGTGCCAGTGGCTCACGCCTGTAATACTAGCAAAACAGGAGTCAGAGATCTGAGGATCACAGTTCAAAGCCAGCTCAAGCAGGAGAAAGTCCATGAAATTTTTATCTCCAATTAATCTTGGAGCTGGTAGTTCCTACCTGTAATCCATGAAATTCTTATCTCCAATTAACCAGCAAAAGAGTCAGAAGTGGGGTTGTGGCTCAAATGGTAGAGCGCTAGCCTTGAGCAAAAAAGCTCAGGACAGAGTCCAGGCCCTGAGTTCAAGCTCTAGGACCAGCACCAAGAAACTCCAACCATGGTTATATTTGTATGTGCTTTTTTTCCCTTCTAAGAAATTAAGCTGGGTGCTGGTGGCTCACGCAGGAGGCTGAGATCTGAGGATCATGGTTCAAAGCCAGCCTGGGCAGGAAAGTCCATGAGACTCTTATCTCCAATTAATCACCAGAAAACTGCAAGTGGCTCTGTGGCTCAAGTGGTAGAACGCTCACCTTGAACTGAAGAGCTCGGGGACAGTGCCCAGGCCCAGAGTTCAAGCCCTACCACTGACAAAAAAAAGAAAAAAGAAAAAGAAAGAAAGGAATTAAAATAAAACAGAGAAAGCATATACAAGGTATTATTCTGAATTAAACATAACAACTATTCTATTCAAATGTAAATCTCAGAATGTCCACTTCTGGCCATAATGAGTAACTAGCAATGGATTTGTTCTCATATCATAAATGACTAGAAAACTATAAAACAAATGTTCTTAAAACTCAGAGAAGAGGGTACAGGATTGTGATCTCTGAGGTGAGGACTTCCATCCCGTGGCCTTCTGCCTGAAGTTACTTTGCAGACTTTCACAAAGCATGAGGACCCTCAGAATAGAGATTTCACTGAATTAAGAACAGAGGTTAGTACAGGAAAGTTGAGGCAGCTAAAATTTAGAGAACAAAGTAATATAGAGGAAAGGGTTATGCAAACAAAGGGCTCTAGATACCCACATAGGAGTCTTGTCTTGTTGAACTTAAGCAGAATACTAAGCTGAATATGCACAAAGCAAAACTCACTGAAGCCAGACTAGGAATAAATGCTGAGGAACTATAAGCCTATAACTATAAGCCACATAACAGTCACAATATCTAACACTGGAAGAAAACATGGAAGAAGTAAGAAAATGTGACACCAAAGATAAAAATTAGCCAACAGAGTTTGACATATACATTTTATGGTTGTATGGAAATGTCACAGTGAAACTCTTCTTATACAACTAATACATGCTAATAAAAAAATCTTTTTCTGGAGATGAAGTATTGGGATTTGAACTCAGAGCCTGTTCTTACTAGGCTGGCACTCTACTACTTGAGCCAACCTACAGTCCTGCTTTTTGCTGGTTCCTTTTGAGACGGTATCTGGAGAACTTTTCTGTGCTAGTAGCTTCTTGATAGTTCTACTCTCAGCTTCCAGAGTAGCTAGGATTACAGATGTGATTCCACAGGGACCTTGACACCATTGACTTTTAGGTTCAGATAACTGCTTTTGTCAGGAAGCTGTCCACTACACTCACTGTAAGATTTTAAGCAGCATCTGGCCTGTATCTGTATTAGCAGGATCCCAAGTTGTCCATCCCATAAGCTGTGCAGACATTGCCATTATGTACTATAGGATACAAAATGGCCACCAGACTAGAAGCACTGCCATAGATACATTTACATATACACCAAGGCCAGACAAGTGATACATAAAACAACTTATTTTCATAAACATACTCATTTTTATTGGAGAAGAGTTAAGTAAATTATTAGAAAATAAATCCTTTATGACAAAAAATTTGAATATATTGAATTCTACACCATTTTCATTAATTTTAAACTAAATCACTATTGGAAACAATGTAGATATAACATTGAAGATTAGTGCTACTTATGATTGGATCTATAACCGCAAAAAAACAAAACCAGAAGGAGGCAACAATGCTAGATTAGAAATGTACTCATTACCTTGTAACCCCGCTGTACAGTATAAAAAACTTCATTAAAAAAAAACAAAAAACAGAAATGCAGCTGTGGTTCAAAGTGGTAAAGTGCTAGTCTTGAGCACAAAAACTCAGGGACACTGCTCAGGCCCTGAGTTCAAACCCCAGGACTGGCAAAAACAAAAACAAAAAAATTTAATCAAGAGGGTAAAAACCTTAAGATTTAAATGACAAACAAGATTTTAAGGTTATACTATTTTCATTCATAAGTATACAATCTCTCTATCATAAGAGATCTTATAATTGTAATCATACTGTAACTTTTATGTCATGTTGCTTTGTGCTTATATTAATGCTATCCAATTAAGACTACAAAATAAAAGCTGGGTGCCAGTGGCTCATGCCTGTGATCCTAGCTACTCAGGAGGTTGACATCTGAGGACTGCGGTTAGAAGCCAGTCCAGTCAAAAAAGTCTGAGAGACTCTCATCTCCACTGAAAATAACTACCAAAAAAGCTGGAAGTGGAGCTGGGGCTCAAGTGGTAGAATACTACTAGTCTTGAGCAAAAGAAGCTCTGGGACAGCACATAGGCCCTGTGTTCAAGTCCCAGAACTGACACATACAAAAGAAGAATATAGGGCTAGGAACATGGTTTAGTGGTAGAGTGCTTGCCTAGCATGTATGAAGCCTAGTGTTTGATTCCTCAGTACCACAAAAACAGAAAAAGCCAGAAATGGAGTGTGGTGCTCAAGTGGTTGAGTGCTAGCCTTGAGCAAAAGCAGCTCAGGGACAGCACTCAGGCCCTGAGTTCAAGCCCCAGGACTGGCAAAAAAAAAAAAAAAGAATATAAAAAATATAAAACCTAAGCTGGGTACCAGTAGCTCACTCCTGTAATCCTAGCTACTCAGGAGGCTGAGATCTGAGGGTCATGGTTCAAAGCCAGCCTGGGCAGGAAAAGTCCATGAGACTCTTATCTTCAATAAATAACTAGAAAACTGGGAAGTGGCACTGTGGCTCAAGTGGTAGAGTGCCTAGCCTTGAGCTGAAGAGCACAGGGACAGCACCCAAGCCCAGAGTTCAAGCCCCATGACTGACAAAAGAAAAGAAAGGAAAGAAAGAAAGAAAGAAAGAAAGAAAGAAAGAAAGAAAGAAAGAAAGAAAGAAAGAAAGAAAGAAAGTCTATCTTTTGAAATGCTACTTTATTATTACAAAAAGAGAAAACAAAACACAAGCAATGGAAATTATTCAGCAATTTCCAAAGCTTTTGATTTTCTTGTAATTACTTTGTGAATTTGCTTTAATTTCATAAGTAAATTTTGTCATTATTAAATTTAAAACTGACCTGGGCACCAGTGGTTCATGCCTGTAAATCTAGCTACTTGTAGGCTGAGCTCTGAGGACCAAGGTTTGAATTCGGCCTGTCAGACAAATCCTCAAGACTCTTATCTCCAATTAGCCAGCAAAAGTCAGAAATAGAGGTATGGCTTAGCAAAGGCTAAGCAAGAGTGGGGGGCCATGAGTTCAAGCCCCACTACTGGCACACACACACAAAAACATCTAAAACTAAGTATCTAGAAAATATACAACAACAAAAAAAAAACTTATCACTTTTAATGCTATCATCCTAAAATAACCAATAATAAAATCTGTTACTACTACTAATAGTAGCTTAATTTTTCATTTGTATTACTTGTGGCTTTACATTAGTAATTAAAGTAGTAACACATTTTGCTGCATGAAAAACATTGAAAATGTAAATCAAGAGGAAAAATGAAAAAACGTTACTGCATATTTGTATATAATTAATCACAGTATTTCCATCTAATATGTCACCTGACTATTTAGGATTTCCAATGTGTTCACTCTGCAATCTACAGTATGTATGATTTTTCAAATTGCACAAATTCAGGTTCATGTATTTAAGTAATCAACAGAATAAGCTCCTTTAAAAATGTGGCTTAGTGGTAAAGCGCTTGCCTAGCTCTGGTTTTGATTGGTCAGCACCACATAAACAAAAAAAAATGTTAGATGCCGGCTCTGGTGGCTACTCAGGAGGTTGACATCTGAGGATCATGGTTCAAAGCCAGCCTGGGCAGGAAAGTTCATGAGACTCTTTATCTCCAGTTAACCACCAGAAAACTGGAAGTAGTGCTGTGGCTCAAGTGGTGGAGCGCTCAACTTGAGCTGAAGAGTGTAGGGACAGCGCCCAGGCCCAGAGTTCAAGGCCCAAGACTGACAAAAAAAAAAAAAAAAAAAGCTAGAAGTTGTGCTGTGGCTCAAGTGGCAGAGTGCTAGCCTTGAGCAAAAGAAGCTCAGGGACAGTGGTCAGGCTCGGAGTTCAAGCCCCAGGACTGGCAAAAAGAAAAAAGAAAGAAAGAAATATTATAATACAAATTTTTTAACCTTTTCTTTTTTTTTTTTTGCTCCTGCTGTGGTTTGAACTTAAGGCTTTACAATCTTGCTGGGCTTTGTTGATCAAAGCCCACAGTCTACCACTTGAACTATGCCTCCGGTTCCCACATTTTGCTAGTTAATTGTATTTGCGAGTTAATAGGATTTGTCTATACCCCAGGTGATT